CATTATGATTTGAACTGTTTTTCTTTGCTAGTATTGGTCATGATTCTAGTTTGAGTTGTATTCTAGAAATAAACAAATGCTGATTCATTTTACACATACTCCCCACCCTGTGGCTTGTTTATTGATGAAGATAACCGTGTTCTTGATACTTCCAGAGAAGCTAAAGTGTTGTCTCTGTCACTGGGAAGGAATGTAAACCAGGCCTAAAGTATAGGTTAAATATGCTGTATGTGTTTAAATACCATGGGATTTAAACATTTTGAGCAGTCCCCGTGCTATTCTTTAATGTTTTGCGTATTATAATATTGTCTTACTGGTGTATGTTAGTGAATTGAAGTAGAATTGGAGCTTCCTCCATGTCCAGACTTCATTCTCTGGTCAGACCCCTCTTTGAATACTGTGTACAGTTCTCTGGTCATTTGACATTAGTGAACTTTCCAGGCCTTAGAAGTGGTGCAGAGGAGAGCAACAAAAATAATTCCTAGTGTTAGAGGGAACAATTTATGAGTTGGGCCAATAGCAATGTGTGAAAATATTTGCCCCAAATTGTACTGAGATTTGAAAACTTTGCAGAAAATTGTGGGGTAATTTTTGACAAATTTTGAGAAAATTACCAGGATTTGATTGGTGCTATTGAGGTAAATTTTACTGCCAACCTACATTTTTTCACTTTATTGATAAAAAAAATTAACATGAGGAAATGGCGTATATTAGATTGTTGCAAAAAAATATATTTATTGCTTCTTTAACAAAAACTGGGCATCCCTGTTTTTTTGGGTGGAGTGAGGTGCACCAGCGAGGCTAAGGAGCTCACCACCTGCCTCTCGGTGCTTGGCACCATACAAAGACAGAGAGACACACAGTCACAGAGAGAGACTCTCTCACTCAGACACAGAGAGAGAGAGAGAGACACACACACTCACTCAGGGACACAAAGAGAAACACACAGACACATATGCACGCACGTGCACAGACAGAGGAGAGAGAGACACATACGTTTACACAGAGACACTCACAAATACACATGTAGAGGAGCGAGACACACATAGAGATGCTTGCAAACGAATCAGAGGAGAGAGACGCACTCACACAGACTCAAACACATAGAGAGAGACACGCACTCACATAGAGACACTCACAAACACATGGAGAGAGACACACAGGCATACTCACACAGACAGTCACAGATAGAGAGACTAGTAAGAGACAAATGCCTAGAGAGAGACACATATCGACACATTCACAGAAACCCAAACACAGAGAGAGAGACACACACTTGCACAGACACTCACAAGCACAAAAAAGAGAGACGCACACAACAACTTGCACTTATATAGCGCCCTCCACGCAGGGTAGTGTCTCAGACAGACACTGACAAATGCAGAGAGAGACACACTCGCATAGACACTCACAAACACAGACACCTGCGAACACAGAGAGAGAGACAGACAGTTGTGTTGAGTAAACAGCGAGAGGCCCGGGGCCAGAGGCTTCATTTTATAGCGGGTTTGTAGCAGAGGAGGGTGTTTGTAGCAGATTCCGCAGAAAAAGTGCAGCCGCACTTTTCTATTGGCCCAGATTCTGAGCAATGACTAGACAAATTTGGACCCTTCAGTCTTGAGAGAAGACAACTCAGAGGAAACCACGTAGAGGTGTAGCCAATCTTAAATAGAATTGAAATAGTAATCCCAGATCAATACTTAAGATGTACAATAAACTTATGATAACAAGACACTAGCTTAACTTTTCACTACCACCTAGTAGCTATGCTGTCAATATTCCGGCTGCTTCCCATGGAAAATGTTAAGAGATTTCACTTTACTTGTCACTCTGCTTAACACGTAGTCGCATTCTAGAAATTCTTGTAAGTACTTGCAATTTAAATTGATCAGATAATTTGACCTACAAGATGGCACCTTGCATCATAGAGGCCTCCTGCCCTATCTTGTGACAGGATAGAATGGGAGACAATGGCGCTGACCTGCAATAGACCAGAGACCTTTGTGATACATATGAGCATACACACCCAACCACCGCTGAGTGCCTGCAGCAATCACAGCACCCTCTTATGATTCAGGAGGACCCAACACCAACAAAATGACATTTAGAGAGCGCCTTTCACGTTGGGAGGACGTCCCAAAGCACTGTACAGTCAGGTGTCGGAGCATGGGGGAGGGGTGGTGTACGGGTGAGGGGAGGTGAGAGGGAGACCAAAGGCACGGTCGAAGAGAAGGGTCTTGAGACCGGCCTTGAAGGAGGCAAGGGAGGAAGCGGGGTGGAGGGACCGTGGGATGGAGTACCAGAGTGTGGGGGCAGAGAGGCTGAAAGCCCGGCTGCCGATGGTAGGGCGGGAGACATGGAGCAGGCCGGAGCCCGCTGAACGGAGGGAGCGGGCAGGTTGGTAGGGTGTCAGCAGGTCAGAGAGGTAGGAGGGGGCAAGGCCATGGATGGCCTTAAAGGTGAGGATAAGGATCTTGAACTCATACAGTAATTGTATGAGGAACAGAAAATGTCCACTACACATTCTTGCTTTTTTAACTGAAAAAAAATTCAATGTAAATTCGCATCACATGATCATAAGAGGAGTTTGGATGAAGAAGGCTGTCTGGCCTATTTGAATGTCATATTTTCAGAATATTCATCCTACTGTCCTCACAGCAACAACAGATTCTTAAATGCATTCAGCTTCCTAGTCTCAATCATTTTTCTGAAGATGTTTTTCAGTCATTAATTACCCTCTGTAAATAAATAGTTTTGGTGTGTGTCTTCAAATTCCATTTACAACTCTGAACCTATGGTCCTTTGTTCTGTTGCCTTCTGAATGTTTTGCCCTGGATTGACTTTTCCCAATCCCATCTAGATTTTTATATACTGTTTTCAGGGCCATCCAGCACCAGTGTATCTCATGATTCCTCTTAATACTTAAGATCCTCCTCCTTGGCTGCATTGCCTCCAGAGAGTGCAGTTCTGTTTACCCTTCATGTTGCAGAGACCAGAACAGAAGCCATTCTTGAGGTGTAGTCTGATCAGAGCATTGTACAACTTGCTGTCTGGAAATTTGAACTTTTAAGTATTGCAATAGCTTTGTTGAAAAGCTATGATTTGCTTAAACTTTAAAGCACTTACTAAGTTACCTACTTCTATAAATATTTTTGGTTTAGTTTGTGAAATGAACGGTTAAATGGGATGTAATATTTTTGCAGCAGCTGTTACCTACATATAGATATCCCAATCCAAAATCTTGGCAGCAGATGAGTGTTTTTTTAAATCGGGATTTCATTAAATCCCCATTTATTCTTAAAGCTGTAAGACTGGTTTGCATGGCCAGATTTTAGTTTTGTATTTTCTAGGTTAATCTTTCATTTCATTAATGCTAATTAATGCTGTTATGCGATTGTTAGCTTATCTGGAGTTTGACCATTGTAGTGGTTTCCTGTTAGCTTCTTAAGCAGCTTTAACCTGCTTTATTGGATGATTCAGATTCAATTTAAGACACCGTATGGACTTTTACTAATGATCTTAATTGCCAGTAGCCAAATTGGTGATGGTTGTAAACCATTCGAAATAAGAACCAGTTTTCCATTGTGAAATACTGTCCCATTCTTCAGAACTCAAGATAGATTAGTAAAAAAAATCCTTGAATTGGATTTACACAACAACAACTTGCATTTATATTGCACCCTTCATGCGGGGTAGCATCCCAGAGTGCTTAAGAGTCCTGGAGCGCTTACAATGGATGACCCTGTTAAAATACGCATTAGTATAAGAGTAACATTCTGGCTTGATTGGATGACTTCTTGCGCATTACATACATGTGCACTATGCAGACTGAAAATTACAGTGAACAGTAAATGAGTTGAATAACAAACCACCGTACTTAATAAACCTGGTATAATTCAACTGAACTATTTGGTAGTTTAGATGTTTCATCTGATCAGTATTCCATGTATACAATACATCAAGAAAAACCTTATTATTCCTAACTGAAACATCCTTCAACTTAATATTATTGAATATCTGTTGCTTTTTGTTTATCATTTTTAATTGAATGCAAAATAAAATTAGCCAATTGAGGTAGTTCTTAACTTCCTGGTTTTGATGAGTGCTATATTTTGAGTAAAATAACCAATCTAAGATTTTATTTCTAATTGTTCAGAAAAAAAGTAATTGTGCTCTTTTGTACGTCACTCCCTATTTATAAAATAGCTGCTCTGAGTTGGGCTGTTTTTGCTTCCCCCCTCCCCCAGTCCAAATATGCTAAGGCCAATTGAGCACTCCAATAAATGACTCAGAACAAATTGGAAATTAAATCTGTTTCCTTTGGGTCTGTATGCTTTCTTCCTACAACATGCAATACAGTATTTACAAATTGGGCTTTGGATGGAATCTCCTATATATCATAAAAATAATAATCCTTGATTTGATATAGCGCCTTGTCACATCTTCAAGATGTCTCAAAGTGCTTCACAGATGATACTGTAAAGTTAATTGACAGTATATTCTGTGGGCGAAGTGGGGCAGCTAATTGTGCATTGCAGTGTCCCACAAACAGTCATGGATTGAAGTGACCAATTTATTATTATTTCTTATATTTTGAAAGAATTATTACTCCTGGAAAAGCGATCCGTGAATTGACTAACAACCAAGTTCCTACTTACAGCTCGGTAAACATAGGCGTGTGGAGCAAGGAAACTTGCCCAACATTTCCCCTGCTGGGAATCAAACCCAGATCTCTCACTTGCGAGGCGAGTGCTCTTTCTACTAAGCTACAGGACTCAAATTAGATAATTAGGACTCTGATATTATTTAAATAAGTCAAAGTTTGCCTTGGTTATATTTGTATTTTTATAAATGGTTGTGTTTAGTTTGGCTGTTGAATGTGATTTCCTGAAAGACAGAAGTATAGAAAATTAGAAGTCATGAAATATTTTTCCTAGAAGTCAATGATGACAGATCAATTTTAATAGAAAAAGATAAACTTAATTTTCTTTCCATTTTAGAAACAAAAAAGCTTTGAACAAGAAAAAACTTAAAAGGAAGCAGAAAACTAAATCGAAAGCAAAAGCAAGAACAAAGGCAAGTAAATATCTTTGTGTTTGAAATTTTATCTCTCCTCTGTACACTGTATATATTTGGGACAGACAAATACAAATAAAACCATGTGGGTTGTACAAAGAGCAAAATATGGGAGAGAAATGAGGAACAAGGAAGGAAATGAAGAAAAAATGTGAAATATTTAAGCAGGGAAAAGTAAAAATGAAATGTAGGGAGAAACGGTAGAAAGTCTTTCAAGGTTGGAAGGACCTTACATGCCTGGTGATGTCACCCATCATTATACTTCTCTGAAATTTTATTGACCACTGGGTTTCAAACTCCTCAGTTCTGTCCCAAATGTGCACTAGTGCAGATGAGAAGGGAGTTGTGTAATCTGAATACCCATGCCATCTTTGTTTTATTTTTCATCGCTAGATGGTTTTGATTTGGATAAGTAAAGATTGTGCTATAAGCTTCTAAATGCCATTCTATATTTATCCAAAAAAGTCTGTGACGCATGAATTTTATCTTTGTTTATTTAATACAAAATATAGAAGTATTCTGTATGAGAACCAGACCAGAATGGCTGTCCCACAAAGCTATAGCAGTTTCTAAATCAGATAGCTGTCTAATTCCTTTCACTAACAGCAACTGTACACTGATAACAAATGTAAAAATATTGTATGGCAAAATATACAAACAAAACAGTATCAGAAATAACTGGAATTTCAAAAAATACAGAATGACTTTCAGTGGATCAAAAATATGTATCAGTTGGCTGATACCATTAATTTAATTTTCTCTTGACTACCAATAGCAGTGGTCTCATTATTGTCATATGTCAGCACATTGTGCCATGGAATATCTATCTTATTAATTTAAGGCCAGGATACTTAATCATGTGCTATTAATGAAGAGTGAGTGCCCTGACCTGTGAGTCTATGAACATTTGCACTGCAAGGAATGAAAGTTGTGATCTAAACATATCGATTTAAAACAAATGTAGGATAAAGAGATTAAATGAAAAGTGGACGCCTTGAACAAAGTAAGGGTGATAATGGACACCTGAAGAACCTCTGAGCTAATAACAAATAAGAGGTTGATGAAATTGATGAAACTTTTTAGCTGTGAACAAAACTTCAGTGGAAGACCATGATATCTTATTTGGAAGCATGTGGTCAGATCATATGAAAGATTTTGGATTATATCAAGAGATTTGGATGAAGCAGGCTCTTTATTCCAATTTTATCTGATCCTTCAACAATTCCTACCCATCGTCTTCCCATCACAACATCGAGCTGATTTTTTTTTGGTATGTCCAGTGTCATGGCCTCAAGCAACCCTCTTGGTAATCCATTTATATCATTAATTACCCTCAGGATAAATAATAATAATAATAATAATAATAATCCTTGCATTTGATATAGCGCTTTTCACGTTTTCTCGAAGTCTCAAAGCGCTTCACAGAATAGACCGCAAAGTGAATTGACCGTATATTTGTGGGTGAAATGCAACAGCCAATTGTGCACAGCAGTGTCCGACAAACAGTCGTGGATTGAAAATGACCAATTTATTCTTTTTTGTTCTGTTTTGGAGGGATTATTAGGTGTGTGGAGTAAGGAAACTTACCCAAGGTTTCACCCTGCCTGGAATTGAACCCAGGTGTCTCACTTGCAAGGCGAGTGCTCTAACCACAAATGCTTCCTTGATGTCTGTTTGGAAATTACCCTTTGCACTCCCAACACTGTTTTGTTGTCTTAATGCATTCAAAAGTATTGTTCTGAGTTTACTTTCTACTTTATTATGCATTTTAAAACTTTAAATACTTGTAATATATTAGGATATATGAGTCACCGAACTGTTGAAGAATGGGTAGCCTTGACATTGGTTTGTGGAATTGTCATGCTTAAAATACACTGGATCATAGATGAGGGCAAAGCTTTCAAGGTGATCAGAAAATTTGAGAGTTTATAACTTTAGCAAAATATATAAGTATGCTTAGGGCAATAATTTTATTTAATGCAATGGTTTTGAGATAAATGTAACACTGTCAAGTACGTTAAAATGTACCTACTTCAGTTTTATTGGCATTTTTCAAGTAAGCCAAATTGGAATAATGACTATACTAATAATTGAATGGATTTGACTTTTGAGTTAATCCTTCTCATTTGATTTATTTTGTTACATTTTTACAGCTCTTCATTTTGGTTTCATTATATTTTGACATGTTTACTTTTCTACCCTTTGCTTTTTATTTCAGAATGTCTAAATTTGTAATTGTAACCTTACAATTTGGAGCTATAATCAGTTTCTTAATTATTGCAATTTACTTGCTTATTCCAACTGTTTCAGTCTTCTTGGAGCTTTTGACCAAAAGTAAGCAAACCTATGAACCACCACAGACACAAAGAGGTATGAAGTGAATGGCAACAGTGTAAATATCTGTTCTTGATTCACATCGTTGAAATTTTCTAAACCTGTTAACATAATGAAGTTGATTCAAAGAGGAAAAAAGCTTAGACATTTGTCTCTTAAATAATTGGACATTAATTTTCACTTGATTAGATTCATTCCCAAATCTACAAAAGCTTGTACTTGTTTATCTTGTTTTCATTCCAGAGTGGTATTTATTTTCAGTATGAATGTCTCTAACACAATAATATTAGGTATCTCAAAATTGAATAATCCTCACAAAAGCTTTGTTCGAGTCTGAAGAAAACCACAAACCTAGCAAAAGTAAAGCCCCCCAAAAAATATATATAAATAATAGGATTATATAAATGATTTTTGGATAAGAACTGCTTTGATTCTTCATTTGTCTATTTCACAATATTTTAGGACTTCCACATGTAGATGCAGTGTATTTTGAGGAGGTGACAGAAAAGGAAAGTCCCAAGTAAAATGGCGGGGTTACTTTTTTCCATGAAGTGAAGGGCAATGAACCAGTGGGTATCTGGTTCCTGAATCAGCATCTTCGGGGAAGGATGGGAGAAAATTTGAAGTGGGAAACATTTCCTTTTCAGTTGCATTAACAACTGTTCATTGGATGTACTTTTCTGTTTTATAATGTCTAAGTAATAAATGCCAAATCAAGAAGTTCGCAGTTTATATATACAGAGCAATTTGAATAATTTAAAACGAGAGTTCAGCTGAGTACTTTTTCATGTATGCTAATACATGTTATACAGTGTTCTTAAAGTTGGTTGGAGAAGCTATTTTTATTTTTATATCACTCCATGTTCAAATGTCTCAAATCACTTCACACATTGATGATTTTTTTGTAAATTCTGGCATCAAATTGTGCCAGCAAAATCCCACAAACAACCATGAGGTGATTTGACCAATTCATTTTGAAGATTGTTGACTAGGGCATCAGGATTCTTTATGAAATAGTATCAAGGGATTTTTAATGACCACTTAATCAAGTAGATGAGACCTCAGTTCAATGTCTCATTCGAAAGATTGTCACAGTCTCTGTTACTGTTTCAAGTTTGAACAACTGAATTTCAGAGTTATTTTTTCAGATAAAAAATAAAGTGTGGAAACTAGTGACAATTTGAGCCAATGAAAATGGAGTACTATTGCCTTGATGACATTTGTGATAGGAACAATGCATTATGGATGGAGTTCAGGAATAAGTGAGGATATAGAATGCAAAGATGCTGATAAATCAGGCCATGTTATCTTTAGCCTCAGTTATCACCTGTGTCTTTACTTGTTCTCTCTTTTCTGCTTTGATCTCAATATTTTCTGGAAGTCAAATCATTTCGGAAAAACTTTAATTTGCAATTTTTTAAAACATTTATCCAAGCATCTTTTTCACTGTAAATACCCACATGTTTGAAGTTGATCAATCTTTTTTTTAAAAAAAAGCTCGGAAAAATATTTGACCTTTTTTGGCTATTTTCATGTACATGTCTTTGAGGTCCTGCCAATTTACATGCAAATTGTGTACTCCCAAGATGACCACTAAACATTTCCATTATGCACAGATTACTTAGTCCAACTCGGTATTAATATAACATGCTTCAGAACACATTATATGACATAAAATTTGCATGGCTATCTTTAACTGGGTAGAAAAGCATATCAGTGGCAGATTTTAATTTTCATTGAATTTGCCTTTATTTTGTTACTTTTTTTCTTGTTTATTTTAAATCTTTTTGACAAACCCTGAAATCTCAGAAAAATACTTGTTTTTTTAGTGGATAAGAGTGACTTTAATGGTCTTGATTGTATGTTAATGTGTATTATTAATACACTGTAACCTAGAGTTGATGCCAAAGATTCCTTGGAGCCTGCTTTTCAATGGGCTTCAGTGTTGCATTTAATAAAATCCAGTTTCAATACTGTTTGCAGTACTATGGAGCAAGTTGCTCATTCATAATCAGATTACAAACTAGATCTAAAAGCATGACCTTCAAATCGCATCATTAAATGATAATGGAAAATATAAAGGAAAGTTCACAATCTTAAAGATGGCGGTAAATGGAGCGAGAAAATAAAATGTTTTGTCAGCTGCTGTAATTCAGATGAAAAGTTACACTGGCTGTCTGTTCAGATCCTTTGACACAATTTGAAAAGAGAATGGAATTGCGTCTGGTACCTGGGCTGACGAAGCTCCTGATGAATTGGTGATCCACTTCATTGCTGATTGTTGCTGTGGGCAAATTGGCCCATAGCAACAATCCTGTGGTCATGTGTGAATACACGTGGCTATAATTGCTTCAAGTGTAGTAACTATTCATATGCGTGTGCTTTGAAATGTTTTGACATTACATTAACATTTACACAAGTCTGATCTGTATGAATCGTATAATCGCCTAAGTCGTACATCTGTCCAAGTCCCGTTGAATTTCCTATTAAATCCATGTAAATTTATCTGCATTAGTCATATTAACAATCACACCAACTTGAACAGCCGCTACCGAACTTATCGGTTGCCTACCTCCAATGGAACACAGCACATTCGCATCCTGACACTCTCCACGCCCTCCCTCCCAGAGCGTAACATTAAAGTCATTGTGCAAGGCAGTGGGGAGTGACGGGGTGAGAGACCAACATGGAAGGGGTGGGGAATGTCTGATCTCATGGAGAGTGAGGGCGGCCCTTGACCCCATACGCACTTACCGACCTTGAAGCAGCATACCCAGTGCTCCATGTGAGACAATTTCAGGAACTTAAGTCCCGACCTGTCATGTGCACTCACCGGCTGCAATGCCAAAGGACTGCATGCTCAGAACAAAATGGTGAACAGCTACGGAATACAAGGTTTTGATCAGCCATAATGGCATCAGGCAATGCAGATAGCTCACTAAACACAAATTAATGATAAAGCACTATCAGAAGTGCCAGATTCTCCAATTTTGTGAAGCAAGTCCTGAAATGAAAATGGACATTGCCTCCAAATTTGTTTTGAAGCCACAGACTTTGAGTAGGTAAGGTCAGGCTGAAGGTTTATGTTTGACTTAACATTTTCTTAAAAATTGATTGATAATTCAATCAGTGTAATATTGTAGTTCTTTCTCAGAGTTATATTCTATTAAAATAGTCCTGTTTTGAAACCTGTTTGGTTGTGCTATTTATTTTACAGTACATACTTTATGAACAGTACTGTATGTGGAAAGAATGGGCTATCATAGCTTTAATATGCATGGGTTAAACATGGTATAAAAATCTTGCCTTAATGTCACCAGCCAGTTCAGTATTTGTGTATTTGTTTTGTGTAAGTCATATAAAATCCATAAGTGCGGGAGTAATGGAGGGTAGAGGAGCAGTATTACTAGTTAACAGGTGATTAATGTGAGTAGTGAAAGAAATCAAAGTGGTTTTGATAGGAAACTGAATGGGACTTGGGTGAATGCACAACTTGGACACTTATATGATTTATAAAGATGACACTTATGTGAGTTTTACAATAACCTTTGGGAATTGAGGGGATCTTGCAATTTGCACAGTAACGCTTCTCGTAGCTAACAGCACAGCACCATATGCTTACTATTGTGCTACTACAGACATAAATAAATTACCTCTGGGACATTCTGATGGAAGAATGTCATGTTTAGCTTCTGCTTAAGTTAGGACAAATACTAAGACGTCCAGTGACCTTAACAGAGTGCCCTGACAATGGGATAAGAGTATACTGAAGCAAGCACAAGAATAGTAACTTGATCCATCTGTACACACAAGGCAGAACAAACCTTACTCGCCTGTTACCTCCCTTTCCCACCACTCACAAATGACCTTCCTCAATCTGAAGTGTCATGTTTCTGAATCACTTTGTAAAACGGGGTGAAAATATCCATTTTATTAATGTACCTTCTGAAAATCATTTCCCTTTCAGCTTGATGTCAGTATTGAGTTTCATTATTATCGAATAAATAGGGCACTGCTTGTTTAAATTTGAGTCTTGATACGTGTCTTAATGTACATCTCCATTTCATGTACCTATGAAATGTTTTGATCAGTTAAAATTCAGGTCACCAGTAATAATTTACCCTCTGTTTCATGATAGTTTCTCGTGTGATGGCTATTTTTAAATTGCTTTAAATTGAGTTAGTATTGCCTTAAATGTGTGGTTATAATTGTATCGACAGGCATAATATTCAATATTTATAATGATTGTTGCAGAATGTCTTTATAGTTTGTCAGATTAATCGTGAAACTGAAACCCCACAATCAAACCCCACAATAATTGAATTTGAAATGACAAACACCACCAAATTACATTCATATAGCGCCTTTCATGTCGGAAAGATATCCCAAGGTGGATATCATCCTGACATGTGTTGGTTAGCTGATCAGAGTGAGAAACAATTACTGTGAATTTTCACTCCTGATCACTATCCTGTGACACTTGCTGGAAAGCGTATACATTTTATGGCAGACTGATGAGAACATGAGGAACTTAAGCTATTTGTCGCATATGTCACCTTTCACTCACTTGCTTTGCTGAAAATGTAAGAATGGCTTCTTGGACAAATTACCAAAGGATGGATGATTCCCATGGAACCATATCTTAGCAAATTTGCCTCAGAGAAGCAGGCTAGCCCTTTGAGAAAGAAAATGATGGGGTGAAAAGCAATCCAATAAATTAATTTCTCCACCCCAGCAAAAATATTGCACTTGTTCATTTTTGGCAAAATATCCAATCAATTAATCTAGTTGTTGTAGTCTCACAAATAACTATTTGTCAGTATGTAATCCTTCCAAGTATTTTCTTGTGGATACAAAGTTTATGCAAAATTAAATTATTAGCTTCACTCATGAACTTATTTTCAAAGCATAAGGGCTGCACCACTTTAATGAGAATTTTGCAATTCATGCTACTCTTGAGGTTATAACGGACAAGTGTTGGATAATTTCCCCCTCTTTTCCTCTTGTGCCACTTCCGTACTTTGTGTTGCTCTTCATCCAACGTTCCCCACCCCCCCACCCACCCACACACACACCATCAACAAAATACCAAATAAATCTTGTCTAAGTTAAAACCAAGATTAAGTTCTTACTGTAATGTCTGCTTCAAAGCGAGCAGAGGCTAATAAATGCACAGCAGTCACAGGACCATCAGAGAGGTGCACTTTGTAACTTCATGTGGGATGCCCATCAAGGAACCCGGTAATGTTCACTGTTCATTTCGTTGAGTGTTAGGAAAGCAGCGGGGGTAAGTAATGTTTTGTTAACGATGGAACCAGAGTGCACCAATATTCCACTAAGGTTATGTTGATGGAGCCAAGTAAGTGTACAGAGCTACACAAGTAGATGCAATCAGTATAAATAGATGCAGGGCATCCCTATACCACCATGAACCCAGCTTACAAAACATGGCTCAAGCCCCCCACCCCCAAAAAACGCATGGAACAATAATTGTTTCTGCTTCTGGCCCCTTACTGACAGGTAAAAAATGAAATTGTCTTGATAAAAGTAGCAGACTTTTATCACAGGATAAATATAAAATTACTGATATGCATACCTCATTTAGGCAAACAGGCAAATTTATAAATGCTGTTGGGAAGAATGGGGTTAGTCCAGGCATTGTTCAATGCTTTGCCCCTTCCTTACCAGTCTTCAGATCACAGCTGAACACCTTCCTCTTTGTTCCTCAGTCTTCAGATTACACCTGAACACTTCCTCATGTCTAAAATTACCTGCCCTGCTGGTCTCAGTGTCAAGCTCCACCACTATTAAGTGCTCTGAGATGCTGCCATTTATATAATGTTCTTCGTCTGAGATATAGGGTGCTATATAAATTCCAGTTGTAGTATTTTAGAATTTGGCAATGTGTTGAATTCATCTTAACTTTAAAGTCAATTTCTGTAGTTCTTGAGAGAAATTGCAGAAAACTGGTTTGAAAATTAAGACACTTAAGAATTTTCCTAATTCTGGATGCTCTGAAATGATGGATGAAATGTTAATGGACTAAATCTAAACCCAAATGGAATTTTCCAGGTGGACTTTCACCCCAAGAACACATTGATACTTACAGTCATGACTTTATTTGCCTTAACCCTGATCTACAATAAAAGTCTGTTATTTTTATCTATAGACATATGGAATTTCATTTGTTAGCAAAACTAGTAGCATTTTTAGTTGGTCTTCATTGTGTTTTTTAGAAATGATATTGAAGAGAAAGAAAGCTTGTTCCAGATTTTTTTCCCTCTCTGTGTTAATTTTCTAGTATTGCAAAGGGCTGCTATTTTTGTCTTCCGTTCCAGGGAGGGACCACATGTACCCTGTAATTGCAAATCTATTGACTTTTATTTATGGAATTACATAAATTAAGGAGAACAATTTTGAAGCAATTGTCACTAGACTTTCTTTGCTCTTTAAGGAGAAACTACTAGAAACTTTAGAAGAGTGATAACTGTCATCCGAAATGTGCTTTTGGAAAACACTGCTCTAAAATTTAGTTTTCTCTTTCAGACAGAGAATGTGGAAAATCCATCACCTGTTCCAGATATCAAACTCCATAGTAACCCCTCTGTCTTCAATGTTTACTGCAACGTACGTCACTGTGTGTTGGAATGGCAACGGAAAGAAGCCTCGTTGACTTTAGCCTCAAAGAACTCTGTCCAGAGTGGAGAATCAGACAGTGATGAGGAAGAGGAATCCAGAGAAACTCCAATTAAGTTACCTAAGGTACATGGGCCATATTCTATTTGTTGAATATTGATTATGAATTGGATTTGTGTTTTTTTTGATGTAATCAAAAGTGCATTAGTTCAGTATTACAAGATTAGGTGTTCTGGTGATGAGCAGAGGCAGTTCCAAAGTACCATGTTGTCTGTCCAGCGATACTGAAAAGCTTCATGTTGGCAAAACTGGCTGAGAGCTGCATGGGTTTGCGAGTGACTGAAGCATATTCTCACCACCACTTTTGCAGTGAGCTTGAACAATGTTAAAAAATAACTTTATCAAAATAAATCCTCATATCAAGTATAATTCTATTGTAAATTTTGCTCCCAATAAATGTGATTAACTTGTATTCATTTAGTAAATTATAAAAAAAATCAGTAGTTCAATGTGCTATCGATATAAGCAGCTGTTAATTATGATTAATGTAACTTCTTAAAGTTTACTACTCAAAGTGCTTTGCTTCTGAGCAATTTCTGCCTGGCAGCATCTGAGTGCTTATTTTCCCCCCAGACTGAATTTGTTTTTTTCACGGAAGTTATTGTAACAAGATCTATTAAGTGGAATTTCAGACCCTCATTAAAGGGTTATTGTGTGTGTGTATGTGAGATGTGTCGTACAGTGCAGTCACAGTCTTAACTCTAAAATTTACAGTTCCACTCTTCTATACATAATAGAGATTTTTACTTCCAAAATCCATAATATGATCATTTTTCATTTGATGATCTAAAAATTATTATCTAATTCTTCATCGTATACACTTCCAGGAACCAAGTGCTTCAGGTTTATTTGGTCAATGATTAAACTATCGTGACTTGCTGCTACTCTCCCCAAAACATCTTTGTTTTATCATTCATTTACTTGATCTTCTTCCAGGTAGTGCTTGCTTCACAGTTTGATTAAGATTAAATTTCATCACAAATTTCATTGAATTGATTCATCTGATTGAATCCCACTCATCTCCAGAGCAGTCAAACTTGGATTGATTTTAATCGTGCTTTATCTAGGACCAGTGGGATAGTAAGCATCCTTGGGATACATATATTCTTATGTACTTAAATATATATAATATATTCCTAGAATTGTGTTTACAAAGGTTTTATGGCTTTTGTTAGACTTAAGTGTTGTTACCAACTTTGTAAAATACTTGTACTATTCAAGTTGCGAGCATGTTTATGCCCCCAGATAAGAGTATGGTGAGAGGGACGGGGAGGTAGTGTCACAGAATAGTTTGTTGTGAAGTGGGCTCGCTGAGCCGATTGACCTTTTCCTGTTCCTAAATTCCTGTACGATTATTTGTGTATACTGTTGTCTGCTTTCTCGCTTTTCCCTGCAATTAAATTTCATGAATTTGTATTCTAAGTTGCTGTTTGTTCTTGGCTACATCCACTCTTTAGTGTCCTTCTACATCTCTGGTCATTCATTGGCATTTGTTATTTTGCACCAGTAAATCATGTAGTGCCAACTGTTTTTATGTGGGATCCAAGGGAGAGTTATTTGGCAGCACTGTTAGTAGCTGCAGTATGGCTGCCAGTGGTTTTATTGGCAGAAGACTAATCAAGCTGATTAAGAAAATTGCATTTTGTGATATTTATTTATTGGCAAGCAGCAGTCCAGCTGTAAACTGTTTCATGTGTCAGCCTGGCACAGTGGTAGCACTCTCATTTCTGAGTCAGAAGGATGTGGTTTCAGGCACCAAGTTTGGAACTTGGAATAAGTTTTAATTAGTCTTAAGGTGCTGCTCGAATGCATTGCTGGAATGTGTTGCATTGTTGGAGATGCTGTCCTTCAGATGAGACATTACATCAAGGTCCCATCTGGCTGTTCAGGTGGTCTCTAGTTAGCTTTACTTTTTAGTCTTCAATCTGCTCAGTTTTTTTTGTTGAGGTTGTGGCTCATGTATGGTTTTAAAGCAGTGACCATTCTAATATCCTACCAAATACCCATTCTTTGGATGTCCACGTAATATTGACGTCTGCATTACAACTGAGCCTGATGCTATCCTCACGCAAAGATTTTCCACTCAGACTTTCCATCTGAGTCGCTGGATAATGATAAGGAAAGAGAATTCTCCCAAGCCCAGGAATACAATAACCCAATTAATTTATCACAATGTTGTACCATCTGAGACCGACCTCAGCACAAACCAGTGACTCAACTTGTAATTTACAGTGGGGCATTGGTATAAAGTAGTGAATTGGGTGCAGAGTAGAAGAAAGGGATGGGGGCATTTTGGGGGGAAAGCAGCTTGGGTCGGGGGCAGCGGCCAAAATGTGCACGCCAAGCCTGGTGGCAAAGCAGTTGGTGGGGCTTAGTCAGCCCACAGGCATGGAGACAGTGGGGGCCAGAGGAGACAGCGGGGGCCAGATGAGACAGCACAGAGAGAGGAGAGGGGATGGAGCACTCATTGTTTTATTTACCAGATTGTCCAACCTGGAAAATAACACAGAGAAGTTTACAGGGAGAAGAGAGAGGAAGGGAAGGAGATAATAATAGACTCAACCTGATTCCAGTAATTCTGAACTGGCGGGCAGAAATGACATCACGGGGAGAGTTTTAGTGGTCAGTTCAGGCGGGAGTTTTTGAAATGGTGTCCCCGCACCTGAACCCACTGATGGCCGCAAATCCCGCTGATTTCCAATTACCCTCAAATGCCCGTGTCTAGTCCTGTGACCTCGACCCTGCCACTGACCTTGCTCCTGGAGGCCTTGCTGCCATACTCACCTCCGCACTGACCCGGCTTCCACACAAACCTCACTGATCCCACATTGGAACAACTTGCTTGGTTTGCCCCACCGATCCTAGTTATCTATTGCCCGCCGGCCTCGAATTGGTCCCGCTGGCCTCCTGCTCACGCTCCCCAGTCCTGCTCCTCTTCTCCGACATCTCCTATGGCACTCGCCTGTTCGTGTCTGCAAATGGTACATTTCTTTGGGATCCTTGGGGATTCTGAAGTTAACATTAATCATGTAAAACGGTTTGAAGCGCTTTGAGACGTCTCGAAGACGTGAGAAGGTGCTATATCAAATGCAACTATTATTATAACAACAATAACAAATTACATTTATATAACACCTTTCATGTTAGGAGAATGTCCCAAGGCTGTGGACAGTGAGGGGCTTGCACTTGAGTTGTGTGCATTGGGATCAGAGAGTGGTGAAGGACAAGAGGGAATGGAGGAGGAAAGATGATCAAAGACATGGTTGAAAAGGAAGGTTTTGAGACTGGTCTTGAAGGAGGCAAGGGAGGAGCATGGCGGAGAGGCTCCGGGGTGGAGTTCCAGAGGGTGGCGGCAGAAAGGCTGGAGACCCAGCCGTCGTTAATGGAGCAGGCAGGTCTGGGGACGTGGAGCAGGCCAGTGCCTGCAAAGCAGAGGGTGCGGACAGGTTGGTGAAGTTTTAAGAGGTCGCAGAGGTAGGAAGAAAAAGAGGTAGGAAGGGCCATGGAGGGCTTTAAAGATGAGGACAAGGATATTGATCTCGGTCCTCTGGGGAATAGGGACAATGTTGCCAAAGTGGGGAAAAGCAGAGTGGGTAATAGCAGGGATGTGAGGTTTAAAGGACAGTTGAAGGTCGAACAAGACACCAAGGTTCCATACTGGCTCAGTGAGATGGAGAGTGCATCCACGAATAGTGATGCTATCAGCTTTTGAGGTGAGAAGGTGCTGACAGGAACTAAGCAGGGGAGCCTCAGTCTTATCAACATTGTGGGAAATTGGCTTTCATCCAGAACTTGATTTCAGACAGACAATCTATCAGGATAGCAGGGGTCCTGGAGTTGAGGGTGGAGCCAGAGAGATAGTTGGATATTATCCGCAAACGTGTGGAAGTTAACCCCATGCCTGCGGATGCTATCTCCAGTGGGAGCATGTAAATATTAAGAAGGAGAGGACCAAGAACACAGCCCTGAGGAACATCACACATGACAGGTACAAGGACTAGAGGAGAAACCATTGGTGGAAACCTAAAGTGGAGACAATTGGAAAGGTAAGAATGGAACCAGGCAAGGACAGAGCTATGAAGATGGAACTGAGGAAAGACGATGGAGAATAGGGTGGTCAACTCATAGAATATAGAATTTATACAGCACAGAAACAGATCGTTCGGCCCAACTGGTCTATGCCGGCATTTATCCTCCACATGAGCCACGTGAACTTCTTCCAATATCTTGGAAAGAAAGGGAAGGTTGTAGATGGGTTGGTAGGTTGACAAGAGAGGTGGATCAAGGGGAGATTTCTTGAGGGTGACTGCTGTTTTTAAGGGGGTGGGAATTGTACCAGTAGATAGAGAGGTTCACAATGTATAGTTATATTTAATGAGAATATACATAGTTTAAAAGATCTGAAGAAGGAAGCTGAAAGATTTTGTTGGACATTTTTGACTTACATTTTAACTGTAAGCCATAGATATTCACTTTTCTGAATTGTCAGACTAAATTTCTTTTGAGAAGGTTTCTTAAGTCTTTGCTGCTGGGTCTTTATATATAATTATTAGAAATTTTAACTACAGGTAGAAGGTTAATTTACATAAAAATACTTAATCACAACTATTATGTTTACTTTTTCTTGTGTGAAATTTTATTAAATGTTCTTGTTTAAACAGATCATAGGAATTGGACTTTGTGGTGTGTTTGAACTTATAAAGGAGACTAGGTTCACTCATCCTGCCCTGTGTCTGAGGAGTTTACAGGCATTGCTTGACATGCTTCAGGGGCAGCAGCCAGAAGGCCTCCAGTCAGAACCTCCTGATGTTCTAGGTAAGATTCCTAACAAAATATGAAGATTTTTTTGAATGTAACACAAATCGAATTGAACAAAACATTGTTGAATTAGATTTTTCTGTTTTATGCACAGTACACTCCTAATTTGGCAAATAATAAGCATGTAATAGTGGATTCAATATGGATAGTGGAAAAAAGTATGCCCCAGATGTCCTTGACGATTTTCAATGCTGTCCTGTAATATATACTTGTTAGCTTTGTTTTCCCTCACCTTGCAACATTACCTCCCTCTGCCACTGCCTCAGCCCCAGGCTGTCCCATCCCCCAGCAGATCAAATTCAAAATCCTTGTCCTTCCTCACTTTCATATCCATCCACTTAACCTCGGTGCCCCCGGTGATTTTCCTGTACTCCCTCTGCTTCATTTCCCGACCCAATCCATCCCACAAATGTTGGGTGAGCTTTCAACCCATTCTGTCCCCTTTACATTCTGGTGATCTTCCGCCTTGTCCCTTCAAACCTCATCTTCTATATTTTCGACTGTGCTTTTGGCTGCCTTTTCTATTGATGTTTATTGTTTTTTTAATGACGTTCTCTACATTCAAGATATGAATAGGTAACGCCTCTGATGGCTTTGTGGGTAAAAGCACTGCCTGGTGCAATACTAAGCCTTACAGACCATAATAATAATAATAATCCTTGCATTTGATATAGCGCTTTTCACATCAGAATAGACTGTAAAGCGAATTGACCGTATATTTGTGGGCGAAACGCAGCAGCCAATTGCGCACAGCAATGTCCCACAAACGGTCGTGGATTGAAAATGACCAATTTATTATTGTTTTTTGTTTTGGAGGGATTATTGTTAGGCGAGTAAGGAAACTTGCCCAAGGTTTCGCCCTGCCTGGATTTGAACCCAGGTGTCTCGCTTGCAAGGCGAGTGTTCTAACCACTGAGCTACAGGACTGAACATATAGACAGAAGGTTTGCAGATCATTGAATATAGAGATTTGTATATTAGTTTATGCATCTAGTTAGGTGATCTCAGCTAACTTAATTAGGTTATTATTTTTAAATAACACTCTTGGTTAGAGATATTATTGAAAATGAAAAAAAAGACCATGCCCATTTTATTTTTGTTAATCATAAAGGGCAATGTTAAGCTTTTCATGTCAGTAAAGCAGATATTAATTGACATGTAATGTGAATCGATTTCTCCACAGAATCCCTTTTTCATCTACTGTTAGAAACGACAATAAGAAGCACTGGAATGACAGATACGGTCAGCCAGTCACTGACAGCTTTATCATGTGCCTGTCTCTTCAGTTTGGTGGTTGCTTGGGGTGATACCGGCAAAATTCTGCAGGCTGTGTCAGCAATCCTTACTAGTAATGGCAGCCATGCTTGCCAACCTATTCAGGTAAATCTTCTGTTCTGTTTTTAAATTCTTGTTTATCATTTTGATTAGTAGTTCTGTATGGTTTGAAACTCTTTAGAATGTCACAACATTGTGTGAAATGGAACTCTGTTAAAGTATTATTGTAACAACCTGAATGTAGAAACTGATTTAACTCAGACCAGGATATATTTTATGCAGCCATGTGATCTAGTACATTAAGATTATATGTGATCATACAGGATTGCTGATTCACTCATGACTTTTAAAGGTAAAATCCTGTTTCAAATATAAATACCCTGTACATTTGTGTTTAAATGCTTGAAACCTAAAATAGCATTCATATCAGCATTCTGACTAATTTGTCACTCAAGGTGAGATTGAGGGATATGTAAATACCTGAGTTGGAATGTAGATTATTTTTAAAAAACTGAAACTATGTCCCCTGGAGACACCTAGTAGAATTAGTAAAACTATTTAAATATATATGTATGTTAAGACAAAATATTCCAAGATAAATTACTGGACCAATTTAATTAGAAGTGGGCCCGCCAGGATTAAAGATGTAAAATGCAATTGTGAGGTAGGGCTTCCTTTTTGGATTTTCATACTCATAACTGCTATTTTTCACAAGGATATTTATACTGTATAAATTAGATCAAGTAGGTTTATACCTTCGTATTTTATTAAAAATATTGTATTTAAATAGACCAGGGCCTGCAAATATAGTACCACAAATAAAGAGATTGGACTGTTGTGCAAACAAATGTGAATGCTAAAAGAAATAATCTATAGTAATGCAATCTTTAATATCATATCACAGAAGAGTGAGATTTAGTGTTCAGACCTATCTTTTCAATATGCAAGTCCTTATGTTTGAGTCTGACATGTATATTTCAGTACTCCATAATTTATGTGTTTACATGATTAATTGATATATTTTTCTAACCATTTCAGGTGCCAACCATCCTGAATGCTCTGCAAAGAAGTGTACAAGCTGTCTTAGTTGGTAAAATTCAAATTCAGGACTGGTTCAGCAATGGAATAAAAAAGGCTGCGCTAATGCACAAATGGATTCTTAAAGACGTGTTTACAGAAGAGGAGGATCAGTGCCTGTTGCAATGTGATGGTTCATTCCTCTATCTATTGGCTAAAGATGGACTGTACAGAATTGGTTCTGGATATAGTGGGACAGTCAGGGTAAGAGAAATGTTATAATTTTATATTATGGATTTTTAAATATTTTGCCTGATATCTGAGCATCTTAACACATTGATATTTTTAAATCCATCTTCCTCATATAGTTTTGGTCTCCTTATTCAAGGAAGGATGTACTTGCCTTGGAGGGGGTACAGCGTAGATTTACTAGGTTAGTACCAGGGATGAAGGGGATGAGTTACGAGGATAGGCTGACCAATTTGGGCCTATATTCTCTAGAATATAGAAGAATTAGAGGGGATCTTATAGAAACCTGTAAGATCATTGAAGGGCACGATGGAGTAGATAGTGGGAGATTGTTTCCCCTGATTGGACAAACTAAAACCAGGGGTCACAACCTTAAAATCAGAGGCCAGCTCTTTCGCACTGAGTTGCAACTTCTTCACCCAAAGGGCTGTTGATGCTCAGTCCTTGAACATATTCACGCTGAGATAGATAGATTTCTTATTGTAAAAGGGATTAAGGGATATGGGGATAAGGCAGGGTTAGGTTATTAGCTGGAGTTAGATTGGAAGATCAGCCATGATTGAATGGCGGGGCAGGCTTGAAGGGCCGAATGGCCTACTCGTGCTCCTACATGTTATGTTATATCGTGGGAAGTTGTATAATCCAATTAATATACTGAATCTTTCAAATAGACTAAACAGAAACCTTCTTTAATCTCTGCTAGCATCCCCATCAGATCATTTTTTCCTAGGTGTTCTGTTTCTATTTATTTTGCGAGAAGTATGATCCATTTATCACAGGTTGGTAGCTGTGGACTTTTCTGTTTTAAGAGTCATTATATTTGGTTTCACTCTCCAATAATCTTATTTTGGATGATATTAATATGAATACTTAGCCATAATGTACATAACAAATAGAAAAATAACAGGATGCTAACATTTATTAAAATTGTTTTTAGGGCCATGTGTATAACTCCACTTCTCGCATAAGGAACAGAAAAGAGAGAAAATCGTGGTTGGGATTTGCACAGGTAAGGTTTAAAAAAAACTACTTAATTCATTAGCAAATACTGCAGAATATGGCTCACATAGTCAATGGGCAAATAAAGTAAATGGGGGAAAATCATAAGATATTTCTCTTATTTTAAGAGTTGAGCTTCTAAATTGAGCACTTCAAGCTTTTGCCAGTTGGTTGGTTAGTTAGTTGTGACCATTGGAGAAATAGTCAAGGCTTTGATAGGCCTGTCTTCTTAATTGAGGAAAGGAAGTACGCCATTGGAGACTTGGAAGGAAAAGATGAAAAGAATTTAAAATAAGAAAACCGAGACTGGCATTTAAATACTCATTGTGTTTAGTTGAGGTAATGTTTTTATAATAGTTACATTGGACCCAAAAAGTGTGACTTTACACCACATTTTGCAGGTGCTCTGTACTTCTCCTTTGAAATGTTATACTGTAGTAGATATGTTTATTCAGTCTTGCTTTTAACACATTAAAGTTGTCTAACAGAAGCGAGTCCTCAAGAGCACATACAATGCACCTTTTTATATTTTAAAAGAATCTGTGCCCAGTGTAATGGTAAATGAATGTGTATTTTAATAAGGTGTTGCATCAGAGTTCAGTCTTATTGGGATAGTAGACAACAGAGTTATAGATGTAAGAAAAAATCCATCAGTATAGAAAAATTGGCTTCTACATATAAATAAGCCACTAATAAAATCAGTATGCTGAATTACTGAATTATGAGGTCTTTTGAACTGAGTATTTTTTTACAAATTGATGAAACGTATGTAAATGTTCCTTTTTGTGTCCATTTAAACAGGGTTCTTTACTATATAGAGATTTAAATAACCACAATATGACTGCCATATCGATAAACCCAGAAACATTGGAACAAGAAGGCACAGTCAGTCTTCCAGGTATGTAATAATAAATATTTGTGGTAAATAATAAACATTGTTTGCGAACATAGGGAGTGCAATACTTTATGAGGGAATCTGTGAGGGAAGTCGTAATTGCATTATGCTTAGCTTGCCTGGCTCCCTCTCCTGAGGAATTGGTCTTGTCAGATTGACTGCAACCCTTTTAAAATGTTTTGCCTATTAGTGATGTGAGCTGCAGCCTAGCTTTAGTTCAATCTCTGTTTACCCATTCCCTGGTGTATGTGTCGCAGGCAGCGGTATTGCACCACATCCTTCAAAATAGTCGAGTCCTACGTAACCAACCATGTTCATTTCGTCTCAGCAAATGGTTTCTCTTGCCCCCGCCCGGTCATCTGTGGGGTATCCCAGGGCTCTATCCTTGGCCCTCTTTTCCTTATCTATATGCTCCCTCCGGGCGATGTCATCCACAGACACGGGGTAAACTTCCACATGTATGCGGATGACACACAAATCTACTTTGCCTCCTCCAGTACCAACTCCAGGTCCGATGTTCTATCAGTTTGTGTGGTAGACATCAAGGCCTGGATGAGTGTAAATTTCTTGCAACTGAATATGGACAAGATAAAAGCCATACTTCTTGGCCTCCATCAATGTCACTTCTGTGGATCTAAACTCCTCAACCTCCCTGGGCTCTCCCTCAGACTTACCGAACCAGTGCGTAACCTAGGCATCCGGTTCAAACCCCAGCTTTTCCTCCTCCCCCACATCCAGTCCCTGACCAGGACCGCCATCTTCCACCTCCGCCACATTGCCCGCCTCCGACCGTACCTTACCCCAAATGCAGCTTAAATCCACGTGAGTGCACTTGTCACCTCCGGCTTGGATTACTCAAACGCACTCCTCGCCGGCCTCCCCAGCTCCACCATTCACAAGATCCAGCTCATTCAAAATTCTGCTGCCTGCATTCTGACCCGGACCAAACTCCGTACCCACATTTGACCAGTTCTGGCCAGGCTCCACTGACTCCCCATCACCGAATGGATTGACTTCAAGATCCTCAAACTCGTGTTCAAATCCATTCACTCCCTGGCACCTCCCTACCTCTCCGACCTCTTCACTCACCAATCCTCAACCTGGCACCTCTGCTCAACTGGCACCGGCCTCTTGCTTGTCCCTCGCACTCTCCGCCCCACCATCGGAGTTTGCGCTTTCAGCCACTGCGCCCCAAAACTCTGGAACACTCTCCCTCAATCCCTCCGCCTTGCCCCCTCCCCTTTTTCAAGACCCGCCTGAAAACTTTCCACTTTGACCGTGCTTATGTGGCCACCTCCCCCCCCCCCCCCCCCCCCCCCCGGCTTGGAATTAGACTCCGCCACTGTTAAGCACTCTGAGACGCTACCCTGTGTCGAAAGCAGGTTATATAAGTGCAAATTTTTGCTGTAGTTGGCCAATAAAAATGTTGGAGCAATTACCACATTTTTCTCTTTACTGCTTGGTGTCCAGCTGACAGGATAGCATTGGGTTATCCAGAGCACCGGTTCCTATCAGACTCTTGAGAAAAACGTCAGTTGTGTCACTTTCCTTACTCCCTGCCTCAGTGCATTTGCCCCATAACACCGTCCCTTTCCAATCTATATATTCTGACCCCAACTCCCAGCTCTGGTCCAAAACCCCCTGACTGTCCAGCACCCTGGGATGTCTTTCCGACCTGAAGATGCACTATACAAGTGCAATTTGTTGTTATATATCAATCACTTGGATCAATTTCAAAATCCTCACACTCGAGTACAAATCACTTCATGCCCTGGTTACCCCCCCCACCTCTCTGACCTGCTTACAACCCACTCCTCTCCATTTCACCATAGCCAGCCACTCAGCCATTCAGCTGGAACTCTCTGCCTCGATCCCTTCACCTTGCTGCCTCCTTGTTTGTCTTCAGATCACACTGAAGACCTTCCTCTTCAACTGTACCTATAGTCACCTGACCCTAGCTCAGTGTCGAGCTCCACCCCTGTAAAGCACTTTGATATGGTACCCTGATTGAAGGGCACTATAAATGTAAGCTTTGTTTGTTGTTGTTGGTCTCCTGGCCCTCTGTTGCCAGTTCTCTGAGACACACAAGGTACCTTTTTAACTGAAATTAGTCACTGCAGATTCTTCTTCTTTGAAGAGCCTTGGTTCGAATTCCTCTCCTGTATATGAAATAATGCAAGAATTATGAAGAGATATGGCCCACTTGGATATTTAACTAGTATTTTAATATTATCACTCTGAACATCAGGTTGGAATTTAGTGTTTGTCCAATATTCAGGAATATTACTCAAAGGATAAAGGTTATTTTAAAGACATCTTGGCTTGGAGGTGATATTGCACAAATGCTATAACATTCCTATTACAAAATTTGGGTGTTGACATGTTTTATACATAATTGTATATAGATTATAGATGTTTTATTTTTAGGGTGCCAAGTTGAAGGACAGAACATCCTTTTCACTGATGGAGAGTACATTAATCAAATCACAGCATCCAAAGATGTAAGTATATTATTTATATACTTATATACACAGAGCCTAATAATAATCCCTCCAAAACCAAAAACAATAATAAAATTGGCATTTTCAATCTACGACTGTTTGTGGGACATTGCTGTGCGCAATTGGCTGCCGCGTTCGCCCACAAATTTACAGTCAATTCACTTTACAGTGTGTTCTGTGAAGCGCTTTGGGACGTCCTTCCGACGTGAAAAGCGCTATATCAAATGCAAGGATTATTATTATTATTATTATTATTATTATTATTATTATTATTATTATTATAATAAGGCAATCCCTTTGCTCTGACACAATGTCCTAACATATAGTTGTTAGAGATATTTCTATAGTGACAATGTTCTATTTAGCTGTGACTTGGTTTGTGCATTGCTATGTTGCACATTTTTAAATTATGCTTTCATTTTCTTCATAGGATGGTTTCGTGGTTCGAATATATGCAACAAGCACTGAGTCCGTACTTCAACAGGAATTGCAACTCAAGCTTGCAAGGAAGTGTCTACATGCTTGCGGTCTCTCTTTATTTGATCTGGAGAAAGACTTGCACATTATCAGTAAGTGTTTTCTTTAGATTGGTTCAAGTATTATTTCAACAACTTTTTTTTTACATTAGGCCTAGTTTTTAATTGTTCCTGACTTTGCAAGTAACTTCATTTTCTCAGCAATTTATCCAGTGGTGGTCAGGGACTTAGTTTAAAGGAGGAATTGGGTGTGATATTGTGTTGTGTTGTAATAAGATAATCTCTTTACAAATGTTTGCTCTGATCAGGTACAGGATTTGACGAAGAGTCAGCCCTTTTAGGAGCCGGAAGAGAGTTTGCACTAATGAAAACTGCTAATGGGAAGGTATATATAGAAATCTCTTGCTACACCAGATTTTTAAGAAAAAGCATTGTTGCTTTATCGCTTTTGCCTAAATGTCATTATTTGCATTTTTTTATTTTGTGTTGTAATAATCCCATACAAGTTTATTTTAAAAAATGCTATTTTAAAAATGATGAGAATCACCTAAATCACAATGAGATCAATCGCTACTTCCACTCCCTCTAAAGAGGTTGAACATTTGAGGTCAGGTAGAGTTCAGGTTTGCATTCTAATTTTGTCAAGAAATTCATCTGAGGATGGGTACAATTAACCTTGACATTCTTTATACATCCGGATGTTGATCAAAGTGATTCACCATATACAATGTTGATCAAAGTGGTTCACTGTAGAACACAGTACAATCTGGAACTTCCATATGCTCTGGTGTGGCTCACAGTAATTATTGGGGCTTACCTCTTTAACTGCCTTATTGTGGGTGAGTCTTGGGTGTAGGCTACTGCATGAGTCATCTTCTGTTTTTTTAATTTAATATTGATGTTATGTATGGAAAACGTGAAAGTATGTTGCATAAAAAGTATTTTCACATACGAGTGTATTCTCTTTCGGAGTTTTGGATATTTTGGAACCAACTAATTGGATAACTTAGATTGGTTTGAGTGCATTTTTGTACTTTAATATGCTTTGTTTTATGATTTTTCTTTAGAATTACATGATTCTTATTTTCAGTAACAGTATCCATGATGTTTATTTTCATCTTTTTTTCACTGTTTGAGAATTCAGATATTTCAATTATTTAATAATTTTGAAGATTACACTTTTTTTCTTTACAACAGATTTATTATACTGGCAAATACCAGAGTCTTGGAATAAAACAAGGAGGTCCTACTGCAGGGAAATGGGTTGAACTGCCCATCACAAAATCACCAAAGATTGTACAGTTCTCTGTGGGCCATGATGGTTCTCATGCCTTAATGGTGGGTGACGATGGAAGTGTTTTCTTCACTGGACTAGCTAGTAAAGGAGAGGATGGTGAATCAGGTACATGTTTTGACATCAATCATACAAAAGACAAACTTGAACTTCTGGGTATCTAGACTTCAATACTAAGGGAAATATTTTACTATTTTTATTTATAAATCCGAAAACAAAACGATAATAAATCGGTCATTTTCAATCCACGACTGTTTGTGGGACACTTGTGCGCAATGGGCTGCCGCGTTTTGCCCACAAATATACGGTCAATTCACTTTACAGCATATTCTGTGAAACGCTTTGAGATGTCTAGAATACATGAAAAGCGCTATATCAAATGCAAGGATTATTATATGTATCCTTGACTGGACAAGCCACCTTTCACTTCATTCGTTGTATTTTAGTTGACACAAATATGTTTTGTTGATTGGTATTATTAAGACCTTTTATTAGACACCTAATAATAGTCCCTCCAAAAATCAAAAGCAATAATAAATTGGCCATTTTTAATCCACGACTGTTTGTGGGACACTGCTGTCCACAATTGGCTGCCCCGTTTCGCCCACAAATGTACAATCAATTCACTTTACAGAATATTCTGTGAAGCACTTTGAGACGTCTAGAAGACGTGAAAAGTGCTATATCAAATGCAAGTATTATTACATTAGTTTTGTTGATCTAGTAGTTAAAAATGAAATTGTCCTTCATAGAAGAAACCTGTTAATTAGGATAATAATAGTGGAGTACATATTTGGGGTTATGGGAGGCTTCTATTTGTAAAAAATCAATGTAAGATGCTATTGATATTTATCCATACTTATTTTCCACTTCAAATGAATATTGCCATTAATCTGTCTATACTGAATTCAAAATGTGTAAATTGACTCAGATTTTCTTACTTTTTATAGCTAAAAGCAGGCGCCAACCAAAGCCTTACAAGCCGAAGAAAATTATTAAAATTGAAAGTAAAATAGCAGTCTACACAGCATGCAACAATGGAAGCAGTGCTATTACAACAAAGGAGGGAGAACTGTACATGTTTGGAAAAGATGCTGTTTATTGTGATGGTGCAGGTTAGTTATTTTAATTGGTTTCGTACATACAATATTTTATGTTCTGATTCTGATTTTATGTTCTGATGAAGATGATGATCTCAAACTTTTTTTAAATATTATAAACAGGGCTTGTGACAGACTTGAAGGGCCACTGTGTAACACAAGTGGACCTGGGTAAAGCTCATGCCTGTGTCCTGACTAAAAATGGAGAAGTATGGACATTTGGAGTGAACAACAAAGGACAATGTGGCAGAGATACAGGTTCCTTGAACCAAGGGGGGAAAGGTAAGTTAATGTTAATGTGTTTTTGCTATTCTGTGCCAGGGGATTCACTACAATTGCCTCAGGAAAATACACCCCCACATGTAAAAATATATAGTTTTAATAATACTAATACTTAAACAATTCAATAAGAAAGGTAGGTGGTGGGCACATGGTCAGCCAATACTGTATAAATATAATGTTTCAGGACCTAGTTTTGCACATATTGCTCTTGATTGAGAGCTTGTTTATGTCAAGATAAACATATGCATTTTAATTTTTAACTTCTAAGTTTTAGTTTAAACATATCTACCTATTTTCAGATAACTGAATATAGATCGCTATCTGGGAACATTCATTTAATTCCATAATGCTAGCCAGGTAAACTAGTTTAGTGCAGATAGCAATCTAACTGAGGAACAAACTAATTGAAGATGGTCTAGATTGTGTTCCCATGTTGTTTAAAGTGTTGCATTTTAAAACTAGGATTCTTTTGGGCTCTTAGAAACTTAGAAATAAGCAAAGTAGTTCGAGACATTGTATGTATATTGTTGCATTATATCTGAGGAAGTTCTACAGAAATAATTTAGGTACCTTCCATTTCAAAATTATTTGAAGGAAATGTTATCCCACACTCTGGGATGATAGGCATGGGACTAAACACCATGTAATGTGCAAGACGCTTTGACAAATCATTAATGGGATTCCTTCGGGTTGGGTTAACAAATCACTTTTTCCCAGGCATTATTCTTGATGGTTCAGGGTCTTCCATTGGTAATTTTGTCAGCACTAATAAAATATATTATTGAGATTTATTGCAGTTTTTCATCTTTCATTGTATGTGTTCCTGAAATATAGGTTAGGGAATGAAGATGTTAAGTTAATGGTTATTATGATGTTTAATCAACAAGGCGGTAAAATAGAAAGACCACTGTGATTGTATTGACTCCTTACTATGTAAATAGTCCGTTTTGTAATACATACATTGAAATTAAATTTTAATTGAGTCTACAAAATTTAGTTTCTTATCTATAAAGTGAAAGCATTCCTGACCATATTCAATACTTTATTATTCAATAATTTAGTTTTAGCGTACAGGCCATTTTTTTCAAAAATGTTGATCCACAGCATATGCATCCTATTATAAAAACAACCTTTCTTGGGTACTTGCCATTGAAAATTAGTGACTGTCCTGGATTTCAAAAGGTGGATCGTTGGTATAACGTGCATTTGATGCTCTAAACAGTTTTAGAACACGTAGCATTAAATGATAAAACTATTTTGAATAAAAGGACTGTAAAGTGTGGTTTATTTTCAGCGATCCGAGATGCTACCCTGTATGAAGGATGCTGTATAAGTGTAAGTTGTTATTGTTCTTGAGTAGGTTTCAATGTGGAAAACATGGCAACAGCGATGGATGAAGACCTGGAAGAGGAACTGGATGAAAAGGATGAGAAATCCATAATGTGTCCCCCTGGAATGCACAAGTGGAAGCTGGACCAATGCATGGTTTGCACAGTGTGTGGAGACTGCACAGGCTATGGAGCCAGTTGTGTCAGCAGTGGTCGCCCAGACAGAGTCCCAGGAGGGTAAATTGTGCAATTGTTTCATATTGAACTAACAGTTATATAATTTGCTGCTGTTAATTAAAATTTTAGGACAAATGCCAAGAAGTGTTTTTTTATAGAGAGTAATCAAGAGATTACCAGTTAGGGAAGTTGCAAGTACTCTGGATTTGGAAACACCTAGATGTTTTATGGGAAGATGGTATCCCGCAATAGGGGAAGATCACCTGGCTAAAGTATTAATACAATGATAAAAAATTATCTTCCTCTGTTAAATGACAGCAATATTCCATGTGAATGAACTATAAAAAATCAGGAAGTCCATAATGATTGATAATCTTCTATATTCATAAGCCGGAGTTCTTGCTTTGATATTGCATGCTTCTGAGATTCTCCCATAATCTTGCTTCTACATTGTTATAATTGATTAAAAAAATCTGTGCTGCTTCGCCGCAAGACTGAGGCCCTCCTGATGGCTCGCGCCAGCGCCTCTGCACCTCAGGCGCTGGGAGCATCAGCATCCACGGCTGCACACTCAACCTCACTAAGCCAATCAGGAACCTGGGTGTCCTGTTTGACTGTCCTTTCTCCCCCACATCCGCGCCATGACTGGCACTGCCTCCGGAACATTGCCAGATTCCGCCACTGCCTCACCCCTCAGGCTGCCGAAACCTTACCTATGTATTTGCCACATCAAGGCTCGATTATGGAAATTCCCTCCTCATCGGCCTTCCCAACTCTTCCCTTTGTAAGCTGCAGATCATCCAAAACTCTGCAGCTTGTGCACTCTTGTGCATCAGGCTCGTGACCCCATCACTCCCACTCTCGCCCGACTCCACTGGCTGCTCATCCCTCAGAGGATCGAGTTCAAGGTCCTCGTCCTCACTTGCCCCCTCCTATCTCTCTGACCTGCTGACTCCCTACCAACCTGCCCAAGCCCTCTGTTCGGCGAGCTCCGGCCTCCTCCATGTCTCCCGCCCAACCTACCCAACCAACGGTGGCCGAGCTTTCAGCTTCTCTGCCCCCACACTCTGGAAATCCAGCTCACAGTCCCTTTGCCTCACTTCCTCCCTTGCCTCCTTCAAGGCCGGTCTCAAGACCTCCTCTTCAATCGTGCCTTTGGTCGCCTTCCCATCCCTCTGCCTTCCTTCACCCCTACACCACCCCTCCCCCATGCTCGGACCCTTGACTGTCCAGCGCCTTGGGACATCCTTCCGACATGAAAGGCACTCTATAAATGTAATTTTGTTGTTTTTGTTGAATTATACTGCTTTAAATAGTTGAAGTTTATATTCATATGAGCAATCGCATAAGTATTTGGAGAAGCTAAATGCTTTATATATAATAGGATATTGCTTTCTTTCAAAAAGAAAAAGGAAAAAAAGACACTGCATCTATTAATAAAAGTTGTCCTGTCACTTTAGCTAGGCTATCTTCCATTTGGAGAACCACATGCACAGTCCTTCGACTGGAGGAGGCAGAAGAGAAATTGTTTAAAAATAAACTTCATCTCTGCTGCGTTCCAACTCCAGAAAACACTTTATTAGAATTAGTTTGTTCTTTTAAGGATCTCAATATCAGTTGCAGTTGAGTTTGTTTTTTACACTTGCAGAGCAGATTACACCCATCTTTCTCATTCACAGCTTGACTGATTTGTTGCTGATTGACTGAATTTCTAGTAGTTTGCTGTTGATCTTTTTAATCTATAAATTCTAAGAATAATGTTTTTTTCCCGTTGGTCTATATATAGGCTGTGTGGATGTGGTTCAGGTGAGTCTGGTTGTGCAGTATGTGGCTGCTGCAAGGCCTGTGCCCGAGAGCTGGATGGTCAAGAGGCAAGACAACGGGGTATCCTTGATGCTGTCAAGGAAATGATACCTTTAGATCTATTATTAGGTGAGTATTTTTAAATCCAAAGTAAGATTATAACTTTTATATAATTCACTAGCTCTTGTGCATCTATCAGATGCTAGCGCATATTGATTAAAATGAGATAGAAGGACAGTTTAGAATATAATTCCAAGAATATTAATGTAATTTAACATCTCAATCTTAACTTGTTTGAAAAATATTTTCTAATTTGATAATACCAGCTTATTTATCTGTGCTGAGGTACAGTATTTAGATATGAGCAGTTGTTTGCAGCAACCTAATACTGCAATTGTGTATCATTGGACTGTCAGTCGCAGATAGAGAAGGGGAGTCATTTAGCTTTTGAATACAGAAAAAAGATTAATTGTGTAACCCTCTCCTCCCCAATGTTATGTATAATGTAACAGACTTAAACTTGTGTGCTAAGGTATAAACTCATAAACAATCTCTTGGAAATGTGTAATTTATATCAAATTCTTTCAAATGAGGATACTGAAAGAATGAGAATATTGGTTTTGGCTTCCAGTGCATTACTCNTTTTTTCCTAAAACATTGTTTTTTTTCTACAGCAGGTCCTGTACCCCCTGGGGTCAATATCGAAGAGCATATTCAGTTAAGACAAGAAGAAAAGAGGCAACGATTGAATAGAAGACACAGGCTAGAAGAAGTGCGAGGTATGCTTACTTCAAAGGCAGATTATACCCATTTCATGATAGTCCGACACATTGTAAAACTAAGTACGTTTGCAGTGAACAGTCTATTGCTACTAATGACTGTAGTCTAGTCTTCAGCATCTTCTGTATGGAGAACCGAAAGCTGATTAAAATCCTTGACATAATCTTAATCAACATCACTCTCTGTTCCAGCAAATTGATTCTGCTGGAGACTCCACTGTCACAAGGGCACTTCATTTTTTTTTCTGGTCTTAAAATGCTTCTTTCCCCTCTACCCTTGAAAAAAAATGGATCAATAAATCCTCAAGATTGCAGTAATGTCTATAACACCTGTGAACAAGTAAAGATTATTATTACGCAAGCTTGAAATAATCCTTTCCTAAATATAACTAAATAGCTCTGCTTGCAAGATGACACACTCAGATAATTTCAGCCACATCGCTTAACTATTCCAGTGTTTACGTAACATAAGTTCCAACACATTGTTCAGCACAGTTTTGTTATTCAAAGATACCTAACATAATTTCATTTGTTACTAAATAGGATATGGAATCATTGTGTATTTTGTGGCACTTGCTTCAAGTATCAGTACCAATCTTCAAATATAAGTTACTTTTTTTGCAACATGGATTCATAATTGTTAAGAGGATCTTAAGTAACATCCAGGACTTGTCATGTTTCAAAATGCCTATTTCCATCTGTTTATGCCTTTTAATAGTATGCTTAATGATCATTCACTTTAAAACTGCAACCTGCTGAAAACTGAAGATCCAATTCAAAACAATAAATTAGTAAAATTAATGCTGGTGAATCGGGTTAATTCCAGTTTGTTTGATGTGAATGTTTGTTCTTGTTATGTTAGTAATTGTTATTCCCCAGGTATAATACGTAATCTGCAAATATAGGTAGAAAAATTCTTTGGTTTTCAGTTCCTTTAAGGGATTTATAAAAGACAAGAAATACACAGGGAAAAAAAGCCATGATTTGAGGCTAAATCTAGGAATATCAATGATTTTTCTGGTTCAGTTGGCAAACTTGCAACACACACAAAGCCAGTTAAGCACATGAATAATGTGCAATATTATTGAAAGCATTACAAGATTACTGTTATTGTTCCAAGATTAAACACTGATATTTCTTTACATTGAATGATGCATTTACTACCGTAGCATTTCCTACCGTAAGATGAACTCCAAACTCTGAACTTGGGAATGGCATTGTTTTGTTTAGTATTATAAAGTTTCTGAAGCGTATATTTTACTTGTACTGTATGGTAATTACACATTGAGTGCAAAATACTTCGTATTTTATTTGGATTGCTCTGTATATAATAATAATCCTTACATTTGATATAACGTTTTTCACGTCTTCCAGACGCCTCAAAGCGCTTCACAGATATACTGTAAAGTGGATTGACTGTATATCTGTGGGCGAAACGATTGCGCACAGCAGTGTCCCACAAACAGTCATGGATTGAAGTGACCAATTTATTATTGTTTTTTTTTCTGAAGGGATTATTATTAGGGGTATAAAGTAAGGAAACTTGCCCAAGGTTTCGCCCTGTCGGGAATCAAACCCTGGTCTCTCGCTTGCGAGGCGAGTGCTCTAACCACTGGCTACAGGACTCCAATCTATGCTATGGATTGTAAAACATTCCCAAGTTATAAAGAAGCTTTGGTGACAGAAGTTTAATGGAACATCTTAAAATATTCCATTGGTGCTGACCCATTCTGGTTAACCTTGAAACATTATTATTGGGACTACAGCTGTGGTATACATATTTTGTACACACGTTAATACCTCAATACCCCTCACTTTCACTGGTGTTAATCTTGTGATGGTTAGTAAAATCAAGGGGCTTATTGAATGTCATTAATGTTTAAACCAAGAGCATAATGGATTTAAAATGCAGTAACATTTGAAAGTATATGCCTCAGAAACGAAATTTGATATGAAAAGATTTGTATCAAAAAGTTGATATGTTCCATAACATTTTTTTTCAGTTCAACGAACCTTCTTACATATCTGGAGTTTGTGCATTGAACAAACATATACATTGGAAAATATATATTCTCTCCAAGTGCATTGAAAAAGTATTTAATGTATGGTTAATGAAACCAAAATATTGATTTTACAGAGTACATCAAAATGTGTTCAATATTTGTCACGTTATCATCAGACCTGTTTCTAATATACAATTAAATGTTCACACATTTCTTCATTATTTTACCAGTTGCCTTCAATATAGCCTTTAATTATGGTGTCTAAAATACAGCGAACCCAGTAACATTATGGACAGTCTTTTTTTTGCTTTTTATTTTGACAGTTTAATTTGTGAGCTTTCCTATGCATGTGCAAGTTATTTCTCCTCAGGCCCTATTGTATTTCCTGGTCCCATTTATTTGAATCATCGAGAACAGGCCCTAGCCAGGCTAAGACCCCTTCCAGCAAAGCTAAAGCATAAACGGGACAAGCATAAAGGTACTTAGTCTTCCTTCCTTTCTGGCTGGAGGACTACAGCCTATCCTGCCAGTTGTCGTCTTCTGTCAACTGAGTCTCTGTTTAATGTGGAGAACTATATAGAACTGATTCTGTTTTTATATGTTTTAGTGTTAAGTAATCTGAAGAGAAAGAAACAGCCATCTCTGCGTGGAAATTGAATAGGATAGAATGAGATTCTTCTTTAGTTGCTTTCTTTTGTAAAAGAAAAAAATGTCTCTTGCTTTCTTTCAAATTGTTGCATTTTTATCATTGTTTTATTTGTTATTTTGACTGTTTATTTGGGGAATGGAGTATGCTTCATTTCAAGGAATGGAGGATTGTGTAGTCAAGCAATGATGTAGAACAGTCCTTCACTTTCAAGTTGCTGTTTTACTCACTACATTACTAATTTTGCTTTTTGTTTTGTGAATTTGCTATTAACCCTTTCCAGCCAAAAGGTTTCAGGATTGCAATGAAATCCTTTTCGTATTGCATTAACTATGTAACTTGCTTGCTGCGCATACACCTGCTCAGGTATAATCTTGAAAAGTATTGTTTAAACCCATGGGTGGACTATGCATTTCGTAATGGACTATGTTATGTTGGTTATGAAAATCTTGTTCGTGAATATGATGAATTAGTTTTCTGTTTTATGTTCTGTTTTGACACAAAGTATTACATTTATTGAAAACTTCTTTAAAGTGTACGAAAAGACTAACTGACTTTTGATGATCCTTACCTGAAAAAGAATAATTTAGTGATTTTATTGAATCATGAAATAATGATTGTGCTTTCTTCCCTTAATCTATGCTTCTAAGAGCACATAAATAATTAATTAATTTTATGATGACACAAGTTCAACTTCTGTGATAAAAGAACAGTTCTACTGCAACAAATCTTTTTTTGTAAATCTTCAATTGTGATTTATGCCGGCTAGTATGGCATAAACACCCGATTGAAATTTATGATTTGAATTCTGTTTTACTTGTTGAGTGGGGTATCAAATTCTTTAGATATGTTAGTTATTCTTTGCTTTATATTTTGGTCAAAAAGGATTACATGAGTGGAGTTTCTTTATGAATCCAAACGCTTCTTACATGATGCAAAAAATGTTTCATTTCATTAATTTGTTTCACCGGTTTAATGAAACCATTACAGTTGGAGTTTTACAGAGTATCAGTACTTGGTAAAAGCTGGTTTGTGCTAGGGAACACATCTATACTGTCTCAAGCAACCTGCTTTCTTAGGATTGATTTTTCGCAAGGTTGTGTTTGGGTTTCAGAACTCAAGTTTTCCGAAATGTTCACAGTCCTCTTAATTTGTTACCAAGTATTACAAAAAATATAATCATAAAAATCATATAGACATCCAAAATATTTTTGTTTTTGACGTTATTTTACTTTGAATTCAGATATATTGAAAGTAGTGTTCCCTATTCATACACTTTGAAACATTAAACCTTACTCTAACCTGAAACTACCATTATCTCCTACTACAAATGTGCAGTAAATTTGATTGTTTCCCTCATTAGAGATGTGTAAAGGGTTAGTGATGAGAATACTGGTTATTTTAGTCCTTAGAGCCTTTTACAAATATTTTAAGTAATCTTCCTCATTTTTGTTATTGTCCACACATTATGCATTCTGCCTTTCATACCAGAGGGAGCGTGAGAGATCTGGGAACACGTGCTTAGCTATGTTTAAGTTCTTTTTATAAAGTTTCCTTCTGATCTGCTAGTTTCTCAACTGTCTTTGGCAGCAAGTATATTTTTTCTACTCCTGACCTAGAAAAAGCCAAAACATCTATATACTACTTTTTCACATGACTTGCGTTTTTATAGTGAACTTATAGGAAGGCACGTTGGTGATTTTGAAAGTAGATAAATGCAACATTGTAATGTTTAGAAAGCACCAACAAAGCTAACCTCATTCTAAGTATTGTTGTTAAAGTGGCCGTATGGGCAAGATCAACACTTGACCAGGTCTTCCAAAAAAAAGTCACAGTTGGAAGCAAAGAAGAATTTGCTCCAGGGTGAATATTTCCCTTCTATTTGAGAAAAATACCTGTCATAGAAATACTGGCCATAGAAAAGGTTCTTTAAGAATAGAAAGGGTTTTCGTGCAATGTCACATCTTAAAAATTATTCATGAAGCATAGCAGCATTAATTTCTTTATCCTGAAGAAAATGTTCAAAGTGATTTAACTACTGCAGTTTGTATAGGTGAGCAACAAGTAGACTGGTGCGGTCACCTGAAAAGGCACATACCTTGGTGTAAATATTAGGGAAATCATTGAGTAGTACAGGTTGCTTTGTTTCAGTATCAGTGCAGTGCACAATCAGTGCACAGTACTGTTATTAGCTTCTAGGATATTTACCCAATGTTTGTTGTAAGAACAATTTTTCTCAAACACCAAGGACTACATATGTATCTGTAAAACTAGTTGGTATTTGTATTCTCCATAACAGTAGTCCAATGCTGCTGAGAGGTAACAGACTTTCCATCGTTCAAATGTATTCTAAAATTTCTAAATATCCAAAGAGCTGTCATACATTGAAGCTGGCTTTCAGATGGGTAAGATTGTGGTTTCTCTTCCACTGAGCAGGGATACAACCATTTGAATGCTTTGCAATGTAGGTGGGTTTCATGGCGCAGCACAGTGTTTATCCGAGTACGATAGATCTGATTTTATGCTATAGTTGTATAGAATCTTGTTACCTTGGGACATCCTCCCTAGATGAAAGGTGCTATACAAATGTAATTTTGTTGTTGTTACCTGGTTATTTACGTGGTCCTTAAAGTAGAATTTTCTTGAATGTGATCATTGCCTATTTTCTACTGCCCTTGGATGAAATAGATCAAGAATGTTCATTGATGGATACAGTATTAATATTAGTGGCTATCTCAAAAGTCATTAGGCTTAAAAGATGCCATCAAATTTAGGTTTATAGAGGGCCTCTTTGAAGAGGTTTGAGAGCAGGATTATACCTTGGCCACTGATGATGGTTTGAGGGGGTGGGGGTAATCTGTGTTGGGGGCAGGAGAGGCCAAGTAGCAGAGCGAGATAGAAAAAGATCAGCGATAGGGAGGTGGAGTTTACTGTCAGCTGGAGATTGTGAAAGGTAGAACGTGTTAGAGCCTAAGGCCATTTACCCCAAAGCATGACAGATATTGTATTGGTTTGGCTTGAATATCATAATTTGATCATTTTAGCACCTATAGGAGAGCAGAACAAAGCAGTCGGTTTACAGTCTATGCCCATTAACAAACCTTGGACTCTGAGGCAAATCATTTGATGCTCAATAAATAGCGCTATCAGGTGATTAACATCATTGTTGCATTTCAGAACAAAATGTGTGGATTCAAACTAGCTATTACGCAAAACTAATTCCAATTCTGCTGATGCAATAATCCCTCAATCTTGTTTGAAACACATTAACAGGCCATAGTCGTAAAAATCTGCACATTGCATGCAAAGACTTTTCTATTCTAAAAAAAAGTTTACTTTTCTGATTTGCTGTTTTATTACACATAACCATGTGTCTCATTTACTTGTGGCTGCTTTCTCCGTCTGAATTTTTTTAATCACTGAGTGATATGCAGTTATTTTATTTTGCAGATGTTAATGGAGAAAGGGGGGATAAGGACACCAGCAAAATTGCAACATACCCTCCGGGTGCTGTACATTTTGACTATGAACTTCGAGCAGTACAGGTTAGCTGTGGATTCCATCACTCAGGTATGAGTACATGTCACTTGTTTTAGATTATAAAGATGTGATTTAGTCAATTGATGCTTCAATTCTCATAGACTAATAATCTTAAAGTCCTTAATTTCAAACAAAGATTCAAAACCAGCTGTTTAATGTGAAACCATGTGAAACGTTTTATTTTTGCTTAAAATTGATACTTGAAAGTTAGCAAAGAGGTATGTTTTGCATACTAAATAAACAGATTTTTTTTTAGAGTATCTCCTACACTGATACAAGACTTGCCAGGCCCTTGCACCCAAGTAGCTGCAGACAGTAATCACACTGCTCTCCTTTTGACAGATGGACAAGTTTTCACATTTGGAAGTCCTGTAGCTCAGTGGTTAGAGCACTCGCTTTGCAAGTGAGAGACCTGGGTTTGATTCCCGGCAGGGTGAAACCTTGGGCAAGTTTCCTTACTCCACACGCCTGATAACAATCCCTCAAAAAAAATAATAAACTGGTCATTTCAATCCACGATTGTTGGTGGGACAATGCTGTGTGCAATTGACTGCCGGATTTCGCCCACAAATATACAGTCAATTCACTTTACAGTCTATTCTGTGAAGCACTTTAAGAAGTCTAGAAGATGTGAAAAGCGCTATACAAATGCAAGGATTATTATTGTTTCATGTTTTCAAATGACTATTTTGCAGTGATCCTCATGGAGAATGGTGATGTTTACACATTTGGATATGGACAACATGGTCAACTTGGGCATGGCGATGTAAATTCAAGGTGAATTTGAAGTAGAGACATTTTTCTTGTGTGGGCTTTTTTTGCTGACCTTTTTTTGCATACTAAACAAATGGATTTTCTTTTAGAGGGTCTCCTACACTGATACAAGACTTACCAGGCCCTTGCACCCAAGTAGCTGCAGGCAGTAATCACACTGCTCTCCTGTTGACAGATGGACAAGTTTTCACATTTGGAAGTTTCTCTGTAAGGTTTGATTAATTGTTTAAACAACTGATTAATTATTTAATAGTAATGTATTGATATTTTTGATTATGTAAATTATGATTTTATGCACAACTGTTGGAAGCAGTGCAAATCATGCAAGAAGTTGTGCATTAAATTGCTTGACATTTATTCAAAAAAGAATATTATTTTTTATACTGCCACCATTACAAATTGACACTGTTTATGTTTCTGGTTCTTTCACATTGTCTTAAACCCTGAAAAATCATTTGAATAATGCATTTTATTACATTAATAGTGAATTATTAATGTGGAGTCCTGCAGCTTAGTGGTTAGAGCACTTGCCTCGCAAGCGAGAGGACCTGGGTTCAATTCCCGGCGGGGCAAAATGTTGGGCAAGTATCCTTATTCCACATGCCTCTGTAAGTAAGTAGGAAACCAGTTGTTAATCAATTGGCAGATCACTTTTCCGGGGGTAATAATTCCTTCAAAATATTATTTTTTAAAAATATGGTCACTCAATCCATGACCTTTTGTGGGACATTGTGTTTTGCCCACAGTCAATTCACTTTACAGTATATTCTATGAAGTGCTTTGAGACATCTGTGGAGTCCTGTAGCTCAGTGGTTAGAGCACTCGCTTTGCAAGCGAGAGATCTGAGTTCAATTCCCGGCAGGGCGAAACCTTGGGCAATTTTCCTTATTCCACACGCCTAATAATAATCCCTCCAAAACCAAAACAATAATAAATTGGTCATTTTCAATCTACGACTGTTTGTGGGACATTGCTGTGCGCAATTGGCTGCCGCGTTCGCCCATAAATATACAGTCAATTCACTTTACAGTGTGTTCTGTGGAGCGCTTTGGGACGTCCTCCCGACGTGAAAAGCGCTATATCAAATGCAAGGATTATTATTATTATTATTATCTTGAAGACGTGATAAGGTGCTGTATCAAATGCATGGATTATTATATATTGTATAACTAAAGCTCTGACATTAGAGATTTGTTTTGTATTAATTAGATTATCTAATTTCTCTACTCTTACCACATTAGCCAATAAACAACTTATTGTTCTTATTGTCATCCAGGAATAAAATCAGATGCAATTTGTGCAATGCAGTACACCCAATGTAATAAATTGCGAAGGCCATTAATTCTCCATTCCACTGATTGCTTCTTTTTATATAATAGTAATAATAATCCTCGCATTTGATAGTGCCTCATCACCTTGTGACGTCTCAGAGCTTTATAGAAGGCACAGATGGGATGTTTGGTTCCCATCAGCATCTTATCACCTCAGGTGCTGACATTCTACTAATCATGGTAGCACACTCCATCTCACTGAGCCAGTATGGAACCTTATTCAACTCTCAGTTGTTCGACTAACTTTTTGACTTCACCAATTCTTCGTCTGACTTGTCCTTTAAACCCTACATCCATGCCTTGGCCCATTCAGCTTTCCTCTACCCGCACAATATTGCCCGCCTCTGCCATTACCTCTCCCTCAAGTTACCGAGACACTTATAAATGCTTGTATCATGTGCAGGTTTGACTAACCTAACTTCTGGTCTCTGGACTTCCCAATTCTTCCCTCCACAAGCTATAAGCTATTCAGAATTCTGCAACTTGTGTCCTTTCTCGCACCAGGCTCCGTATGACCATTACCTGCGTCCTCACCCAGCTCCACTGGCTCCCCATCCCCCAGTTCAAGATCTTCGGCCTCACTTTTAAAGTCCTGCATGTTTTTGCCGCATCCTATCTCTGTGATCATCTAAAATCTGCCTGTCCCCTCCGCTCAGCAGGCATTGACCCACCCCACCATCTGCGGTCGGGCCTTCAGTCTGCTACCTCTCTATAGAACTACATGCCAGAGTCCCTTTGCCTTTCCCCTTCCCTTGCTTCCTTCAAGATCCAAGACCTTCCTCTTTGACCACGCATTCGATTATTTTCCCACCCCCTCCTTGACTCCACACCTCTCAAATCCGACCCCGATCTCAGGTGCAAACCCTCGACTAATGCTTTGGGACGTCCTCCCGACCTTTTTGGTTGGCCAACAAAATAAGAATAGAAATTACAAAATAGCATAGATTTGTCATAAATCAAGAAATATTCAAACATTTATTTTGTTGGCCAACCAAAACGATTAGACACCTCTGTTCTAAATCGAGAAATGTGGGTATTGATATAGTTTGTTTTTAAAGAACATGCGGATATTCTATGTTAAGATTGTTTTTGTATTAGTGTAGCACTCGGTAATCCACCATAAGAGCTTCATCCATTTTATTGTATAATCAAACTTCCGTTATATTGCTACAACGTTATTCAATAAAGATAAAACTTGTGGGAATGCTAAAATTGCTGATATGGCAAGTTAACATTAAACTTAATTAAATTGGTGAATTAACTTGATAATAAGATTATATTAAGATGAGTTTTAAATTCTATTTTTCTTGTAGAAAGGACAACTTGGGAGACCAATTTTGGATATGCCCTTCTGGAACACAAAACCATCTCCTATGCCGAACATAGGTTCAAAATTTGGTCGAAAAGCCACCTGGATAGGTGCAAGCGGAGACCAGACCTTCCTCCGGATTGATGAAGCACTTATCAACTCACACGTTTTGTCAACTTCAGAAATCTTTGCTAGCAAGAATATTGTAGGCAAGAAAACTATTGTATTTTGAAAATCATTGATTTTAGATTTGCTTTTAAGACTGAGCAAAAAAAATCCACCATTAGTAAATCAAACCAGGGGTTTTCAGATTTAGATTTTTTTTAGCATATTGCAAAACAAATATAAGTGGAGCTAGATGAATCATTTAGTGTAGGGTGGTCCAATCTTTTGGCTACCGTGGGCCAGATTCCCTATTTGAGAAAGGTCCACGGGCTGCATAAGCAACATTTTGTGTTTCCCTTCCACAAATATAACAACATTTACACAGCACCTGTTTCATGTTGGAAGGACATCTTGACACTGTTATTTGGGCACCTGAGCTGGGTGTGGGAGCTGAGGGATGGGGAGGGGAAAAGATGACCGAAGCTTGGTCAAAGAGTTTGGTCTTGACGTGCCTTGAAAGTGGTGGGGTGGGATCCTCACCCCTCTTCCCCTTTACCCTCCTCTCCTTTAGCCATCTCCCTCCCCCCCTCTATCCCCGACTCTCTCCTATCCCCCCTACCCCAACTTCTCCCCACTCCTCCCTACTTCCCCGTCGTATCCCCCTGCTCTTTCCCCTCTCCCTCTCTCTCCTTTCTTTTTGGCTTTGCATTAACCTCTGCCATTGTTAAGTGCTCTCGAGATTATACCCTGAGCTATTTAAAGGCAAATTGGTATTGTTGGTAAACTGACCTGAAGTTTGTTCAAACAGGATTGGTTCCTTCATCCATCACTGAACCACCGCCATTTAAATGTCTTTTAATAAATAAAGTGGATGGGAGCTGTAGGACATTTAACGATTCAGAACAGGAAGATTTACGAGGGTTTGGTGTTTGCTTGGATCCAGTGTATGATGTGATTTGGAGGTAAGCTTCATTTTTTCCTACAATAGAAAAAGCAGATAATACTAATTATTCTGCAGTATACTTCATGCAGTTATCAGGGGGGTAAATGATTGAGGTTTTTTTTAAGATTCAAATGTTTTTAGATTCATTCATTTAGGAATGCATACTATAGAATTACAAAGTTAAGTTGCCAGTTGGGATCAAATGATAACTGCATCAAGTATTGCAAAATAATTTATCATCTGCATGTTTTTGGGTCCAATTCCTAAAATTATTTGTTTCCACTAACGATACGACTGCACTGCAACCTAAATAACCTATTAAGGCCAGGAGCTTATTAGACATCTTAGTTCTAACATTTTTCCTGGTCTAACTACCACTGTTTAAATTGTAGGGAGCAAGAGAAATGATCAAAATGTTCATCAGCATCTGAACAACCTGTATTCTACTTATTAATTTTCCCACGGGTTGGCTGTACATGTTAACTTTGAAGCTATTACTAGTGCATTTCAGTCCGTACTGATCCCCAATAAGTAAACAGAAAAAATGACCTTTTTGAAGTCTATCTCCAATTATTCTACAAATCTTAGTGGATTAAAACAGATTGATCTCTTCCCTCTAAAGATATATGCCAGGCACAAGAGAAGTTTGGTGCTATAATGCAGTGACAGCTGATGCCAGACTTCCTTCAGCATCGGATATTCACGCCAGATGTAGTGTATTGAGTCCTGAACTTGCACTACCAACAGGATCAAAAGCGAATACGACCAGGTCCCATGGAGCTTTGCATATTCTAGGTATGGATGGTTTGGTAGTTTTGCAAAACCCTTGCGAATCCAGAAGCATTTCAGGTAATTGTTCAAATATTAAATATTGTTTGAAAACTCTTTGACTTCTAATTTTCCACTTTTAAATAGGGTGTTTGGACACACTGGCTGCTATGCAGGATCTGAAAATGGGAGTCACAAATACAGAGGAGGAGACTCAAGCAGTTACTAAAGTCTATTCCAAGGAAGATTACAGCGTGGTTAATAGATTTGAAAGTAGGTCTATTTTAAAAATAGAGAAAAATATATCAAAAACTTTTTGTTTTCATGAAACATGGTTTCACTTATGAAGGTATTTTTGTAGTATTGATAGATTGATTATATTGATATACTATTGATGTTTAGGTCATGGAGGTGGCTGGGGGTATTCTGCCCATTCTGTTGAAGCCATTCGATTCTGTGCAGACACCGACATATTGCTTGGAGGTCTTGGTCTGTTTGGTGGGAGAGGTGAATATACAGCAAAAATAAAGGTGGGTTTATGAAAAATCAAAACGGTGATGCATTTTTTTGATCAAGTTATCAACATAATTTGATAGATCCTGTGTTTGCCTTAGTGTAGCATTGTCAGGTAGACATTAGATTCTGTGAAAAAGGAAGGAGTTTCTCCCTGTCTCCTGGCCAGTATTTTCCGAGTTAAAATTGGTGATTAACTTCATGGCTGTTTGTGGAACATTGCCTACAAGATTTGCCTACAAATACGTTCACTGCACTTCACAGTAAATCCTGTGAAAGGCTTTCAGACATTTCAGTGATGTGAGAATGCACATATTATTCATGAGATAGGTAGGAAGACTTCAACTGAGTATAATTCGTAGCTGCTTTTTAGATACACTGACGTTTATATAAGAGTAGAGGGTCAGTTATAACCTTGATTGGCTTCAAAGATAAAGAAAGAAAATTCGGTATCTTGCTAAACTTGTCAGAGTTACCTCCTTGCATTAGTGTCATGGTAATCATGTAGTTATCTTATTGTGGAGTCCTGTAGCTCAGTGGTTAGAGCACTCGCTTTGCAAGTGAGAGACCTGAGTTCAATTCCAGGCAGGGCGAAACCTTGGGCAAGTTTCCTTACTCCACACGCCTAATAATAATACCTCCAAAAACAAAACAATAATAAATTGGTCATATTCAATCTACGACTGTTTGTGAGACATTGCTGTGCGCAATTGGCTGCCTCGTTCGCCCACAAATATACAGTCAATTCACTTTACAGTGTGTTCTGTGAAGCGCTTTGGGACGTCCTCCTGACGTGAAAAGCGCTATATCAAATGTAAGGATTATTATTATTATTATTTAGAGAGAATGAGGAAAAAAATGTCACAAGCCAAAATTAAAATGGGTTTTGTTATAACCTGTTTCACTGCAGGCAAATTTGTTTAAAATGCTGCACTGTATTTGATACATATTCATAGGAACAGGAGTAGGCCATTCAGCCCTTTGAGCCTGTTCTGCCATTTAATTAGATCATGGATGATCTGTACCTCAACTAATCATTTCAATTCCAATTTCCTGCTTTCTCCCCATATTCTTTAATACCCTGACCTACCAAAAATCTATCAACCTCACTCTTGAAGGTATGGATGGCCTCTTGGGGGAGAGAATTCCAGATTTCTACCAGCCTTTGAGTGAAAAAATGGTTCCTGATTTCACTCTCAAATGGCCTGGTTCTAATTTTAAGACTATGTCCCCTTGTTTTGGATTCCCCACCAGAGGAAACAGCTTCTCTGTATCTACCTTATCGAATTCCTTCATCTTAAATACCTCAATCAAACCTTCTAACCTCAAGGGAATACAATCCAAGTATATGTAACTTTTCCTTGTAACTTAATCCTTTTAGGCCTGGTAACATTCTGGTGAACCTGCGCTGCACGTCCTCCAGGGCCAATATATCTTTCCTGAGGTGTGGTGCCCAAAACTGAACGCATTAATCTAGATGGGGTCCGACTTAACGCTCTATACAACTGAAACATTATTTCTTCCCCTTTGCATTTCAGGCCCCTTGAGAAAAAGGCCAACATTCCTTTCACCGTTTTGATTACTTTGCACCTGGGAACTAGTTTTTAGTGATTTCATACAGCGCGTTTGTTTGCTTTCTGGAGCATGTTTTATTTTCTGCACATCAGCTGAACTTCCCATTAATGTGGATGACTTCGGTTCGTTAGATTTTTATTAGTAAACCAGCTGGTAGAACAGTTGGCAGCTGCGCCATGAGCAGTCAAACATGCTATTGTACTTTGGTACAATGTGCGTTGGGCTTAATGGACAGCATTATAACAGAGCTACAGTGTGGTAGCGATGTATATAATATAAATTAGTGATGCTACCTGTTTTTTTGTGTTTATTAGCTGTTTGAGCTGGGTCCTGATGGAGGAGAGCATGAAACTGATGGTGATCTTCTTACAGAAACTGATGTTCTGGCATATGACTGTGCTGCAAGGTGGGTATCTACTTGGCGTGTACTGGAATAATATTAAAATGAGGCATTTATTCATTAAGGTTTGTCATAATGTTCAGTGACTTGGTTTCTTTGAATTCAAATAATTTCAGGTTAAGACTTGAATTATTGCACTTAATGCATGTCTTGATATCAGGATTGAACTAGTTACAAAACGGGATTGTCACTTGGATTTCAGTGAAATATAATGATGGTTCTTGCCACTTGCAAATTATTTGTTTTGATTCTTTTTATTTGCATTTGTTCTTTGTTTCCCATCTCTGGAACAACAAGGTACATGCAATAAACAATGAATATATTTCTAAATTGACTCTAATATTGCTGAGAATTACTGTAGAATTGGAATAATTCTGTAGTTTTGTTTCAAAAGATCTAAACCATATCTGGTCAAAAATTTAAATTTTTAAAATTATTTTTTCTTTGTTAGATATTTTCAGAGAACATGTGTTCTCTGAATTTCACTTCTCAGCATATGCAGAACATTGTTTTACAGTAAAACAAGATCTTTTTGCAGTTTATGCTTAGAATTTCAATATGAATATTGGACACTGTATCCTATATAGTCAAGATATGTACGGAATATAGTTTGGGACATGACCTGTGCATGCAAGTGCCGGGATGGTGGAAGGCGAACTGGATGGACCTTGGTCTTCTTTTGCCTTTACTGGGCATAGTTTGTTGCATAACTTTTTATTGGATTATTCTTTTCCAGAGAAAAATATGCCATGATGTTTGATGAGCCAGTTTTGCTGCAGGCTGGTTGGTGGTATGTGGCTTGGGCTCGAGTATCGGGGCCCAGTAGTGACTGCGGCTCTCATGGTCAAGCCTCCATTACCACTGATGATGGGTAAGAGTTGATTTCTTTTAAATAAGTGCAGTGTATTTTTGCAGTTATCAACCTGACACCTCCAAAAACCAAAAACAATAATAAATTGGTCATTTTCAATCTACGACTGTTTGTGGGACATTGCTGTGCGCAATTGGCTGCCGCGTTCGCCCACAAAAGTCAATTCACTTTACAGTGTGTTCTGTGAAGCGCTTTGGGATGTCCTCCCGACGTGAAAAGCGCTATATCAAATGCAAGGATTATTATTATTATTATTATCAGAAATAAAAAGATATTGTGCCTGAACCATAATAAAGTTCAATAATTCTGTTTATCTGTAAACAAATATTTGCATGAACTTGTAATAGTTGAATAAATATTTCAAATGAAAGAAGCAGAAAGCTGAAAAACATATTGTATTTCTTTTCAGGGTTATTTTCCAGTTTAAGAGTTCAAAGAAGTCCAATAATGGAACAGATGTGAATGCAGGCCAAATCCCTCAATTGTTATACAGGTTAGTTAATTTTTTTTAACAATGTAAAAATATCTAATTGATTCTGTCTTTGTAACTCTGGTATTATATTTGCTTGTTGGATGATTGGGTGGAATTAGATTATCTTTTGGCCATAGGTTACCTTCAAATGACAGAAACTCTGGGAAAGGAAAACAGCAACCAAGTGAACCAGTGCATATTTTGAGGCGATCTTTTTCAAGAACTGTGTCAGTGGTGAGTAATCAATATCTAATGCAATTTATTTACAACTCAATCTAGAACGCTGAAAGCTAGCATACAAGAGTACTGAGTCACACATCTACCAAGACTTGCTTTGAGTTCGACCTCAGCACCCACTTCATAATACAGATGATTTTTCAATAGTTTCTAAATCAATAATAATGTTATAATTAAACAATATGTAGTCATTATAGTGAGTTCCTCACTGAGCAGAGAACTAGTTTTGAACAACTCATAGGTTGGAAAGGGATTTTGGACCACAGAACCTTGAAGTTTAAATCATCCCAATGAATGGAACCATTTGGTGTCAGCTGGGTATCTCCATGCTTGTCTGCCTAACTTAAAAGAGAATTTGACATGGAAGTTTGCTCTCCTTAAGATAAGCTAGTTGAGCTGGTTGAGACACAAGATGGACGACGCTACATGTTCCACTTGCTTCAGATTTGCCTTCCAGTTTAATTTTGGCTAATGCTGGCACATCAGGTTAACTGGAGCATCTGGGTTTCTGGATAACACTCCAATAGTTTCCTTGCAATACTAGTGCAGACATTCGCACTGGCAGAGCCAGGTGCCTTGGCTCCAGATTAGTTGTCATTTCACAATGACTCCAGTACTGAACCCTATTTGAAATGGAGCCCTCCGAAGTGCAGGTATACTAACGCCAATATTCTGCAGAAAGAAGAAAGGAAAGGTGACAATGAAGATTATCTGACAAAACGGTGAAAACCAATGCACCCATTATCATATATCCACCCTTTACTGTTGGAGTAGTTTTGTTATCTGACTGGTAATTGCCATGTTCACCCTTACCTCCATATGGGAAGGATCTGGGTGGTGGTCAAGGCAGTAGGTGCAAACTTGACCTTCACTCATGGGTCTATTAGGAGATAGTGTATACTTCAAGTACTCAAAACAAAAATAGCAGAAAGATCTAAAATGTGGGTGGGAAAGTGCAGATTTAATACAAACCTTATTGGATGGGGTATATTTTGAAAGAAAATAAATTGTGCATCCTTGCCGGATGGGGTATATTTTGAAAGAAAATAAATTGTGCATCCTTGCCTTTAATAAACTGAGCCAAAGAAAAGATTTTGAAAAACAACTGGTAGTTAAAGCAAGTCTAATACTTACTGCAGTTGAAAAAATAACTTATTCAAATTGCAGGTTTGTTTTTAAAGTTTACCGTTCTAACCTTATTGAAATAAATTTAAGTTGCAATTACATTAAGTACATATAAATATAACTAATATTTTTGTTAAATACAATTTTTTTTAACAAATTACTGGGAAAATTATTTAAACATTCTAGTTTTATTCTTTATAAAATAAAGTTTGAACGTATTTTGTAGATTTACATTTAAAAGTAATTTGATTGAAATACATTAGCTTTGTTAAAACTGCTGCCAATTTAAAATGTAGGAGTGTTTTGAATCGTTGCTGAGCATTCTGCAGTGGAGTTGGACAACACTTGTATTAGGAGTGGAGGAGCTCCAGGGATTGAAAGGTTTCCAATATACTGCCACTTTACTGGATTTGGAAAGGCTGAAATTTGTCGGTACTTGTTGTCTACGCTTGCTGCGTGTCTACATCTGTGAGATATACCCTGTTGCAGGTAAGCCCGGTAAATCAAGGTATTACCCTTAAAATTTTGAAATTACTCAATACATATAAATGTCATCAATATCAAGTCTGCATTCAGATTTAAAGTTCACTTCTGTAATCAGTGCCTTGATTGTTACATATTCAATAGTTGGTGAAACATGGAAATTGTTAGTACTGAGAATGGAGATCATTTCCAAGCATATTTTTGGAAAAGGTTCATCATGCACTTCATGCGAGTTTTAAAAACTACACGGCTTAAAACTGGATAATTGAAACTTTGATTTTCCTAACTCCCATCTGGTGAATATGGGAAATATGCTGAGAAAGTAGCATGTAAGGGCATCTTCATTCCCCAAATCAAAAGCACCTAGACACGCTAGTTTCTTCCTGTCCCTTTTCCACAGGTATTTATTTGCAGAGAACGTATTAGTTGGAATGGGCATAAGAACTTTTAAAAATGCTGCTAAAGAGGCATTGCAGAGCAAGTGCTGCCCAAAGCTTTGGTTGAAGCAAATAGCATCGATGTATTTAAGAGAAAACTTGATGCATACAAAAGAGAATAGAGGGGATTAGGAAGGGTATACCAACAAAAACATATTCATTAGTTGGTGAATTAAAAGTTGCAAGTGTATAATACTGAAACCCTGGGTAGCCGGACTAATGAGGGACGAGATCTGCTTCAGTGAGCAAGAATATCCGGCAATTACAGTGCTGAATATAATAATAATATATTCATTTGATATAGCGCCTTTCACGTCTTCTAGACGTCTCAAACGCTTCACAGAATATACTGTAAAGTGAATTGACTATATTTGTGGGCAAATAAGCTATCTTCTGCTTGTGGGATTGAAACTGAATGTATATCAAAGTCAATATCCCTGGTTCCTGAAGGCCAGCGAGCACGGTGAGGTGAGGGCGTGCTCTTGAGAGTGGACTGGCAGTCATTTACACCTGCACGGAATTGCAGATTTTTTTATTTCTTCCATTTAGACCGATCTGGCTAGGGTCGAATTTTGGATACCCAGTCAGACAGGGGTTTACTGTAGTGTCCCTTATGAGGGGTGATGCCTTTTAAGAGTTGTGTGGAGTATAGACATAGCACCGACTAGCGTATTTCAGTGGCCTTTTTGTATGCTGTGTCGCTCTTAACTTCTGACATAATGGCATAACGCCAGAATTGCCTTAATAAAGAGATTGGCTCTTGGGACAAATGTTGTTGTACTATTGTTCACCTCAATCCAACTGTATTTGGAGGATGTCTTTTACACCAAATATTGAAGAAAAAACTATCAGGTAGTTAATTTCCCTCAAAGAATTAGTTTACTCAGTTGTCTTAGACCATACTATCTTATTAACTGTTTGATTTGCTTTGCAGTTGGGACTAAAGCTACGGTAGAGGAAACCAGCAAACTGTCAGAATGTGTTGGAAAGACCAGATCCCTCCTGAGGAAGATTTTATCGGAAGGAGTTGACCACTGTATGCTGAAGCTTGACAATGATCCTCATGGCTACCATTCCCAACCCAAAACTCTGTTGGAAGCAGTTCTCCAGGAATGCCACAACACATTCACAGCCTGCTTTCATTCTTTTTATCCCACCCCAGCGCTGCAGTGGGCTTGTCTTTGTGACCTCTTGAATTGCCTAGATCAGGTAAGGATAGCAGTGTATTATTTAATAATAATCATTTTTTTTACGATACTGTCAAATTAGTGCATTTTTTATTATGCTATAGCTGTACCGTTTCATAGCAAGATTTTGTGTGGCAACAAGTAATATGCAGGGATGATTTCAGAAAAGCAGCAAGTACAGTACTTTAATAAAACAATCAACTGAACATGTTGTGAAACAATTCTCTTAAGGACTCCAGTCTCTTAACCTCAGTTTATGTGCAAAAATTCACCCATTTAATGATGTGACGGTCACCCAGTGCCAATGAAATCCTGTCCAGCCTGTAGAATGTACTAACCTGAATGACCCCTGGAGGAAGAGGTTTCCTTCAGATGGCACTGTGGCTTGAAGCTCCAAGCTTCCACGCTCTTGAATGAATACTTTGAATCCCATTCACTCACAGTGAAGTGCTCATAATTGCAAAGCTTGCTCTCCCAGCTCTGCAACCAGCTTTCCATCTGGACTGTTATAATCAGTTATAATAATAATAATAATAATAATCCTTGCATTTGATATAGCGCTTTTCACGTCGGGAGGACGTCCCAAAGCGCTTCACAGAACACACTGTAAAGTGAATTGACTGTATATTTGTGGGCGAAAGCGGCAGCCAATTGCGCACAGCAATGTCCCACAAACAGTAGTAGATTGAAAATGACCAATTTATTATTGTTTTTTTTTTTTTGTTTGTTTTGGAGGGATTATTATTAGGCGTGAGGAGTAAGGAAACTTGCCCAAGGTTTCGCCCTGCCTGGAATTGAACTCAGGTCTCTCGCTTGCAAAGCGAGTGCTCTAACCACTGAGCTACAGGACTCCAGTTGTTGTACCGTCGTATCTGTTTGGCCTTGGGTGTGCCCTGCTGAATATTGGTACCGAGGATTTTTACTGGCGACTCCACATTATTCTTGCTTCACACAAATTTGTATTCTTTAGTTCTGCTATGTGCACAGGTTCAACATACTGTAAATAGAGCATTGTGATTTGTGGTCGTGTGGAGTTAAAATACTGGCTCCCATATTCTGTGCTAATTGTAAGAAAGTAGAGTTCTACTCATGGAGTCTGCTGTACTGGAGCTAAAATGTAAGGTTTTTTTTAGTGCAGACTTGTTCAATCTTTAATCATAAATTTAAAGCAAAAGTTTAATCTTGACTAACATGAGTCAGCAGTTTAACTGCATGACGCCATGTATCAGACAGTGGAGGGTCTTGTCTGCCACATTATCAGTTCCTCTGCTGTATGCCATCCTTGGGTTTGGTCTAATAGCTCACTATTAAGTTAATTTTAGAAATTCCTCTTATTATGGATTTATTCTGTTTTTTTAACCTAAAAACTTGGATCTACTGGCAGAATTTTAACTTCATGGCAGCGGTGGTAAAGTTGAGGTTAGAATGTTTTTTTCTATTTAAAAAAGCAAGTTGGAATACATTCTTGTACATAGTCTACACCCTGGATAATTTCACCATATACATTTTATTTCAATATTTGATGCGACAATTTATGTGGAACTTGTTTTCTACAGGATATACAAGAAGCCAACTTCAGAACCTCAAGTAGTCGGTTACTCGCAGCAGTCATGTCTGCTCTCTGCCATGCTTCAGTTAAACTGACATCGATCCTTCCCATTGCTTATGATGGTGAAGTGCTGCTTCGGTCCTTGGTGAAGCAGGCAAGCACAGAGAATGATTCTTCACTGGTTTACAGATTCCCCCTGCTGGTTGCTCACATGGAAAAACTTAGTCAGGTAAAGAAAGAAGTACAAAAGCAAATTCAATGTTAATGACAACTCTGTATTTTAGGGATCTCTGTTTCTTGTGTGTAACCTACCTTGGTCAGTTATGTGAGATGATTCAATGTGGGCTATTCAGTGTTTGAGAAATTCCTCAAATGTGAACCAATGAAAGGGGCACTTCACAAATTGTATTCTGTAAGTCTTTAGGTTCTGACATATACAAAAATAACTGACTGCATTAGTTCTCCTTTGTAAATTTAGATGACTACAATGGAAGTCGAACACTTAAGTAATCACATTAGAAATCATGCTGGGTAATAATGTGTTTGAAATTCTAAACCCAAATTCTCAGGACTCTCATTAGATCTTTTCAAGAGTCTACATTTTTTTTCATTGGTGGTTGAATTTTTGGAAATGGAAGAAACTGTAAAGGGCCCCAGTCTCTTTAAGAAGCTTTAAGGCTGCTTGTCAGATGGCTCCTGTGCAGGTATCCTGTATTATCAGCAGGGCATCTTAACTATTTTGGTCCATTCAAAACTGCTTCAAGACCTCTCGTTTTCAAGGATTTTATTTTAAAACTTTGCTTGCAACCAAAGGATCCAATATGCAATGTGGTTTGACACACAGACTATAGCGCTATATCAAATGCAAGGATTATTATTATTATTATTTCATCTTTATTTATACTCATCTGGGAGGACTCCTGTGGGAGGACTCAGCGCTTTAAAAATATAATTTTGTTGTTGCCACAGCTTAGCTTTGTCTGTGTTCGTTATTTTGTTCCCATTGCTTGGCTACGTGCGTGCTCTGTGACGCACAATGCCACAGCGCCATTGTCAGCCGGCTTGGCCACCATGTGTAACTGCAGTGTGCGTACATATGTAGGTGCTCTGTAACACGCTATACCATAGCACTACTATGACTCGACAGTCATCAGGTGTAACTGCAGCGAAAAACGCACAACTGAAAATAACTCATGAACGATAGAAAATTACCCCAAAACAAATATGCCCATGCCACTCCCAGTCCAAGACCATTGAGGTATAAATCATGTCTCTACGTCAATCAGTTATTGAGAGCACAGACAGACATTGTAATTTTATTAGTATAGAAGAAGATAGATGACACAGTTTGGGATTTGAGGACTCCATTCTTGAAGGGTTTTTTTACTTGTTAATATTTTGCAATTCAAAGCTTTGGGTTAGAAGGAATTCTAATTAACAGTGAAGTTAAAATGTGTCAAAATATGTGTATTCTCTTTCACTTCCCTCCATTTTCCAAGACTGAAGAAAATATTACAGGAATGACAAGTTTTCGAGAAGTGCTAGAAAAAATGTTGGTCATTGTTGTGCTTCCAGTCCGAAAAAGCCTGAGAAGGGAAGTGGAACTTTTTTCTCCTCTTTTAGTCTCGAACACATGTGGCTTACTTGCCAGCATAGTGAGTGAACTTACCGCTTCAGCGTTGGGATCTGAGGTAAAAATCTTAATCTAAGATGAGCTCTTTTGAGCATGTTTTTATTGTGTGTTTATTTAGAATTGAAGGAAGTGTATATATATAGGATTTAGCATGAATGGCCAAAGTGGGAAATTATATTGGCAGTGACCTGATGACCTGCAAGTAGCTTAAAAGGATAACTTCTGGATCATTAGGTGCAATGGATGTCACTTTTTGCTTTGTGCATGTGCAGGAAGCAATGTCATTGGTGACCTAATGAACTAGAAGTCAGCCATCTTAGTGCGCAAGGCCAGTCAGAGCACAGAAAGTGAGCAAAAAGACTGCATGTGCAATGAACGTTTGCATTATAAGCAAATTCATGATATTGTGAAGTTATAAAGGCCTGCCCTATTTTAGGCTCAAAACACATAACAACTAACATCAACTCACTTATCAACTCAGTGTAAAATGGAAAAAGAGACGCCTGTTTCAATAGTTTGGGCTTCGGGAGAATGTTATGAAGAATATTATTTTGTAACTCCAGCATTCTTCGAAATTTTGGTTAAGAAATGTAGATTGTTGAAGATTTGCTTTTTGAACATCTTGATTTTTTGTATTGTAATACTTTTTTCTGCCATTTCTTCTTTGTGTAACAGACTGATGGATTGAATTCTCTCCATTCTGTCAAAGCTACATCAAACCGATTTGTTAAAACAAGTCAAGGACGAAGTTGGAATACTGGCAATGGGTCACCTGATGCAATCTGCTTCTCTGTTGACAAACCTGGGGTAGTTGTGGTCGGATTCCATGTATATGGAGGAGGTGGCATTCATGAATATGAACTGGAAATGTTGGTGGATGATGCAAGTAAAATTTTTTAAAACTTTAATATTTTTAAAATAAACTTATTTCTGTAATCAATAATATATTCATCCTTGTTTGGTTATTTATAATTGGCTATTTTTGACAGAGCGAGCATACTGGTGATTCAGCACATTCTCACAGATGGACTTCCTTGGAATTGGTAAAAGGAACCTATAGTACTGACGATTCTCCAAGTGACACGGCAGAAATCAGGCTGGATAAAGCTGTGCCATTGAAGGTTTGACTTGTTCCATGTAACTGCACAGATTGATTTTCCAATTAAATTTCTTTCTGAACTCTGAGAAAAAGAGAGGTTGAATACAGTAAATCCCCATTTTTATTCACAAGCATTATCTGTAAAAAGCTGAAGTCAAACACTGATTTTAGCTATAAGTGCTGTATTATCAGCATTTAGGTACATTTAATTTTAAATCACAATAGTTAAGAGATTAATAGTTTGTTATAATCTCGTCTCTCTTGGGCAGAACTAGACCAATCTGCACGCTGAAATAGCCTGCTATTTATATTGTACCCCTTGCCAATTTGAACCACTCACGTCACTCTATAGATTGATTAATAATAATAATTTATATTTGGTACAATACCTTTCACATCAGGAGGACATCGAAAGTGGATTCCTCCCGATGTGCTCTAACCACTAAGATACAAAGTGGAATCCTGTATTTTAGTGGTTGGAGCACTCGATTACAAGGCCGGGTGAAATGTTAGGCAAGGTTCCCTACTCCACACACCTCTGCTTACCTAGCAGTAAGCAGGAACCCAGTTGTTAGTTGATTGGTGGATTGCTATTCTGGGGGGTAATTATCTCTTAAATATAATAATAATAAAAATAATATGGTCACTTAATGCATGACTGTTTGTGGAACACTGCTGTGCGTAATTAGCTGCCGTGTTTCGCCCATAAAACAATCGATTCACTTTACAGTATGTTCTGTGAAACATTTTGGAGACGTCTAGAAGATGTGATAAAGCAAGGTTTATTATATAAATATAGGACTCTGCCGCCTGCATACTTACCCGGACCAAACTCCGTACTCACATCTGGCACCAGCCTCCTACTCGTCCCTCGCACCTTCCACGCTTTCAGCCACTACACCCCAAAACTCTGGAACACTCTCCCTCAATCCCTCCGCCTTGCCCCCCTCTCCCCTTTTTCAAGTCCCGCCTGAAAACTTTCCTCTTCAACTGTGCTTACAGCTACCTCCCGCTCCCAGCTCAGAATCAGGCTGCGCCACTGTTAAGCGCTCTGAGACGGACATTGAAGATCCCATGACGCTTTTGAAAACAAGGATTTTTCTCCAGCTGGCCTTAATTGAAAAGGATTTAGAAAAACATACATATTTGCCATTGAAATTAAATCCTATATGGATTTTTTAAAGTTTTAATTTTCTTGCATTAACATCTCAGAAGTTTGTTCCCAATTAAAATTCAGCGTAATACCTACTCACTGGATTATATTTCTAGGAAAATGCAAAATATGCAGTACGTCTGAGGAACTATGGAAGTCGTACTGCAAATGGAGATGGCGGATTGACTACTGTTCAATGTCCAGATGGTGTAACATTCACTTTCAGTACCTGTAGCCTCAGCAGTAATGGGACCAATCAGACTAGAGGTCAGATCCCTCAGATACTTTATTACAGGTAAGAACAAGTGCATCACTTTTTCAACAAGATAACTAAAATACCCCAATTTGTTGGCATATTATCAATACAACTGTAACCATCAAAAAAATGTGGTGATTCAACTTGTACTTTGGGGCTTCTGCTAGCTGGCTGAAAATTAGTGAAATGTGCCTTAAGAGAGTTAACTAAATTTTAATACCAGTTACTAGGATTAAAACAGAGTTGATTTTTTTAACCAGATTGCCCCAATGTATTGATTTAATCCCTTCCTAATGCAATAGTTACTTTCGTTAATACATCGAGAAGATGACTCATATTTATGTGTGACAATGTTGTCAATGCTGTTTCCCGGCTAACCACCTAGAGCGATTAGAGCATTCAGGGATAGTGCTCCTGGTCTATTTTTATTTCCTCATTGCAGTTTGCTAATACTTTTAAGCTCTTTCTCAACAATCGGGAAACTGCAGTGTGAGGGTCGGTACTATTTCTGAAGTTATATGCACACAATTAAGTAAGGTACAGCTGCTCTGTCATGGCAACTGTGGTGAGGCCGTGTGATCAAGCACCGACACTGTGATGTTTTTTGCTTCACACATCCCCCATTAATAATCCCTCCAAAAATAGTACAAATCAATAATAATAATATGGTTACTCAATCCACGACTTTGTACAATTGGCTGCCGCGTTTCACCCATAAAACGTACAGTCAATTCACTTTGTAGTATATTCTGAAAGCGCTTTGAGACGACTAGAAGACATGATAAGACGCTTTATCAAATCCAAGGAATATTATTATAATTAAGTCTACCTTCATCATAACTTTCTGAAGTGGTGTCAAAATGTTGTGACTGAAAATTTTTCTTTTAACTATTTCTGTTCCAATTGTTAAATGTTCTTTCATTTTGAGATGGCTCATATTGCTGAGACTTGCCTGAAAAAGATTCACCTCTGAGAATATCTTGCATCCCATTTTTCTTATAAAGGATAATCACTTTCTTGTCAGAAAAGTTTGAAAATTCTTCAGTGTGAGGTGTGATATTTTGTGTACAGATCCTGTTGACTGTCCTATTGCACTGAGTCCTGTTCATTTCAGTGCAGGAACTAGATGCCTTTTAAGCTCTATTATTATAGAGTGATGTGAATGGTCATATAATTTTCTGATTAGTATATTAGATGAATCCACATATAGCAAATGAAGTGATAATATTTTACAGCCATCTGATTTTTTCTTTTTCTCTTAGAAGTGAATATGATGGCGATCTGCAATCACAGCTGGTTAGCAAAGCCAATGAGGAGGATATAAACTGCAGCAGAGCACTTTCGGTTGTTTGTGCTGTGGTTCGTGCTGCCAAGGATGTGTTGCACAGGGCTCTGGCTGTAGATGGTATGCTTTTTTTTGTAATTCATAACTTTCTGGATGGTTCACTAGCAGAATCCAAGTCCAGACTTGATATTTATTGATCATTCACACTCCCTGATAAAATGGAAAAATGAAAATATTTCAATGGTAATGTTTTGTACCTGCAGAATTGGGCTTACATGGGAGCATTCCAATATTATTTCCTTATTTGGTTTCTTCTAAATGTTTTGAGTTTCTGTCCATTGTCTGGGCTGAGCTGGTCCTGTTTGGATTAATCTAGTGTTACTTGACAAGCAAAACCACATTGTTAGAGGAATTATTTGGCGCTAGTTATGCCCCCATTTCTGTTTGCAGAACACAGCAAATATAAATGCTGAAGATTTACACTTCTTTGAAAAATGCCGTAACTGATATGTTGTTAATAATTGATTACTGGTACTCTATAAAATGAACAAAACTTTACTTCTCTCTTTATTTAGCTGAAGATATTCCAGAACTCCTCAGTTCTTCCAGTCTGTTATCGATGCTGCTTCCACTTATTTTGGCTTACATTGGGCCTGTGGCTGCTAATGTTCCGAAGGTATGTGATTCTGCCAATCAACAAAATTAATGCCATTTGTGTCTTAATTCTCATATCCTCCATACGTTGCATTAAACATTTTACTAAGTAACATTTTGCTTTTTTAAAAACAATTCCAGGCTGCTGTTGAAGTCTTTGGTCTTGTGCAAGAGCTTCTTCCATCAGTTGCAGCATTGAACCAGAAATATGCTCCACCTGTCTTCAATCCAAATCAATCAACAGACAGTGCCACAGGGAATCAGCCTGAACAGGGCCTGTCAGCTTGTACTACTTCTAACCATTATTCTGTAGTGGAAAGTGACCATCCTTATAAGCCATCAAGTGTTAGTCAATTAAAGGTGGGTGCTAAATAAAATTATAAAACTCTACTGGAATTGTGCTATATTATATGCATTCTTTTAAGGGACAAAATGTTCATTTTTGTAAAATCAGGTTAAGTGCAGACTTTGAAATTTGCGGCATCATTACTTCCACATACGAAAGTAATTACTTTACAGAGGTATTATTTATAATTTGGTAGCATTAACAGAGCAGTAATGACCATTAGAACTGGAAACGTATAAATGAGGGACTCAATTGAAAGATTTTCATATGAATGTTTACCATTCATCCAATCAATATGAAGCTGTTTTCAGCCAGGCTAATTATAGTGAGTGGAATTGCATTTTTGTCTATGAGAAATATCGATCCTAGGCAACAGAACATTTTCTTACTTAGTTTAGTACATTCTTTAGATCAGATTCTCCCAAAGGAAATGAATCAAGCTGAAACTTACTGTACACTTTTCCAACAATGAAGAGCACTTCCTAGTGTGGGAAAAGCATGGACCTGTAGTATTGACTCCTAAATAAATCACTGGTGTTGTGTTGACTGCGGACCTTAAAAAACTGAATGTCAGATTTGGAATGGGATTGAGATTTGTAGAGGTAAAGATGACTGCTTGATGGAACACAATGTGTTGGGACCATAGAAATGTTATGCCAAGAAAGGCAGATAGTCAAGGATTAATAATGTAGGATATGTGAAATGTTTTTATTGAATCACTGATCTTTTCTACTTCTAATGCTATTCTTTATGTTTTTGCCCATCAAATTTGATGCTGAATAATGGTAATTTTATGTGATGGATTTTTACCCACTAAGAACTGTATTTAAATGACTCAAACCGTTTCTCTTATTGTAATTTGCATTCACACAGCCAGCCCCAAAAGTAAAATTATTTGTTTCAATTGTTAACATACTAATTTAAAGGTTGATCTTCAAAATTGTCATTTTTAGGTAACCTTCCCAGAATGTGTGAAATGGATGACAATTGAGTTTGACCCGCAGTGTGGTACTGCACAGCAAGAAGATATGCTCCGTTTGTTGATTTCTAACAAAGCTTTCCACAGTTCAGGATTTGGAACCAAAAGCATGAGCCATGATAGTGTTAATTCATGGACAGAATTAAAGAAATTCTTTGGTTCTAGTGGGTGGCCAACTACAGTCCTTGTTTTACCAGGTATTAAAATAAACGCTCTCAGATTTTGTATGCTATGTTTTATTTAAGTATAAATATAAGTCCAATAAGGGATGTGGAAGGTTAAACTTCCACATTCCTTATTATATGATCTGTCACTGCTGTGGATATCAGCTATTCACAAATGTTTCTCTGGCGACTATGGAAGTGATAAGTCAGATGCTAATATTTTTTATTAAATCTTTTATACAAGATGTTTAATTAAAAAGAACTGAATAAACAAACTTGATTTTTTATTGCATCTAAAGTCAAAACTTCTCTAAGAACTTCAAAGAAATGACTATCATAAGCAGTGATTTTTTGTAGCCAATATATTCAGAACATAAAATACAGAAAATAAACCAAATTTCTCCTCCATGTACTAGAGAATAAACTTTATTTAATTGGGTATGTCACATAGAGAGTATCCCTCTAAGATTTATTTGGTTGTGAAAGTTATCACTTCATTTGACAACAATTACCTGTGAAACACTTTGAGACTTCTCAACATTACAGGCACTATATCAAATAGAAGGATTGTTTTCAACTCTTTCCACTTTATATAAAACCATGGCCTTCGGGGCACTTGATCAGTTTTATTTTCACTGCAAAAGCTTTGGTTTCTGCTGTATAATGTAAGTAAACATAATATTATTCCAAATTAATAATTTTAAAGTTCTTTGGAGTTTATATCAACTTATTTTTTTTAAATTGAACCAAATTGGCTTTCCTTATTCCATATCAGGTTGATGTCAGCTAAAGAACTTCAATTTGGAGCATCAACTCGATTAAACTTTTGTTGTGTGTATTTCAAAAAATTGCAATGGATCTCAGCAAATTCTGGTAGTCCTTTTAATGATTGCCCATACTGCGTTTTTCTTCCTTCAAAGGAAGAATGTAACTAAATGCATGCTTGTAAGGTTGTAAAGTGGGAAAGATAGTTGAAGAACAAATTGGAGTACAGTATGAAGCTCTGAGGAAAAAAATAAGAGTAACAGTTTAAAAAAAGCAAATTAAACAAATGTGAAATATTTAACAGAAAAATTAGTGAAAGGAAAACAAAAAAAGAGAAAAAGGGACAAGTGTCAACATTTTGCAAAATCAGTGTTTTGAGAATATTGTTTAAATATGTTTTTTCTAGGAAATGAAGTCATCTTTTCTTTGGAGACTGCATCAGACTATGTGAAAGATGAGAAAGCCTGTTTTTATGGCTTCAAGTGTGTTGCTGTGGGGTATGAATTCAATCCTGGATATGATGAGGTAATCATTTATTTTGTTTATTAATAGGATATTAAAAATAAAACTAGTATTATGCACTTATTGCAAGCCCAGTTATTCGTGTGGGTCTTCACTCAATGCATTGCAGAAACAGCTTACTTATCCAGTGGGGTAAATTGCAGGGTGTTTTCTGTGATATAATTGTTGCATCTTTTTATCAAATAGTTTTTTGGACTGGAATATCTCCAGACCCAACACTGGGTCCCGTGCACAATTCTGTCACTGGTACCTAATAAAAAAAAGTCAACTTGCATTTCATGTTTCCCTTGCATTTATTTTATTTCTAATCAATAAGATTGAAGGTTAGGTCAACCCCTGCCACCACTAAATTGCGTCATCAATGCATTGTTCTCAATGCAGCCACTTACAATCAGTATTAGTGTCAGTTCAGCTAATAGCAGGGCACATTATCCTGTCTAACTCTTAAATGGGATGCCTGATTTCAGCCTTATTTGCACCTGAATATCATATTTTCTGCTGACATCTTCTTGAGAGAATCTGTTTTAATTCAATCTTGGGGCCCATAAGATTCCCACTCCAACCTACTAAGTGAGGATATGTGAACAATTAATTTACCGACATTAACTCCTGCTGGAGTGGAATTCTATAGATTATTCAGTACAATAAATATGACGCAGTGAAAGCCGATTTTAATCTCCTATCCTTAAATAAACAGATTTATAGTCTGAAAGCTGAAGGTGAGATTCATCATGAAAAATTGTACATGTTTTTTGTTTAACATATTTTAAAGGGGCAGGTTCCATGTGGTTCTGGTTCAGTCATTCTTCTATGTAGAGGGTAATGTGCAAAGAACAAATGCAACATTATTGAAAGTTAGGCAATTTAATGATGTTGCTGTATTTGATATTTAAATGTTTCAAATAACAAAATCTGCTTTACCTATTTGCTTCCTACCCATTTGCCATTTTGGTATTAAATGATGGCATCTGTTCTTAACTATGAATTGTGGATTCTATTAAAATGTTGTGCCCTAATTCTACTGCACGTTTTGCAGACAATTCACAAATCTGCTGAGGCTAAAGAGGGCAACAGTACAAATTAAATACTTTGGGAAGGAGTTTCTTTGTAACCCATTTGCTGATAAATATTGTGTTTGTAAACTACTTGGATATCACATTTGCTTTTCATTTTAAGGCAAAGAAACTCTGAATTGGGTTACATATTTGTAATTCCCAGTGTATTATATTTATAGATTTCTGAAATTTAAATGAAACAACACTTGATCAAAATGTTTAATTTGCAGGGAAATCTGCAATTAGAAAAAGAGTTGGGATACCTTGGAAGTATGTGTGCAGCATCACTGATGAAAAAAGATCTTGCACTTCCTGTGGGTAAGGACGTGAAAATCTCTGTGAGAATTTATACTGAGGAGGATATAAGTAAAATCTGTTTGATATAGTTTGGACATCGATAGTTTCATGACAGTAAAGCGAGCTACATATTGAAAACAAATTTCAAAGAAAGCATCTTTCATGGATTATATTCAATTTATAGTTGGTAAAGCTCTACTGGCAGGTTTTCTGATAGGGGGGTCGGAGGAAATACATATATTGTCCCTTTAACGTTTCCTTTTCCCTTCCCCCTCCCCTACCACAACCATCAATTATCTTGTGGCTAAATTTATCGGCAGCCTTGTAAGGGCTCATAGTATTTGATTTTTTTTTATGCAGTTAATCCTTACTAAATCCCTTTTTTTGGGCAGGTAATGATCTAGAGGAGGATCTTGAAATTCTTGAAGAATCAGCTCTGCAGGTAAGCCTTTAATTGTTTAATTAGAATTACTAATACAGTAAACTCCGGATAAATTGACCCTGGCTTAACTCATCACCATCACTTAAATTGTCATGCTGTCAATATCCCAACCACCTCCCATATGAACTTATTAATAAGACACGTCGCTTTCTTCTTCACTCTGCTTAACACATAACTCATTGCATTGTAGAAATTCATTTAAGTACTTACAATGTAAAATTGATTGAATAACTTGTCCAATAATAATATAATAATCCCTCCAAAACCAAAAACAATAATAAATTGGTCATTTTCAATCCACGACTGTTTGTGAGACACTGTTGTGTGCAATTGGCTGCCGCGTTTCGTTCACAAATATACGGCCAATTCAGTTTACAGTCTATTCTGTGAAGCGCTTTGAGATGTCGAGAAGAATTGAGAAGTGCTATATCAAATGCAAGGATTATTATAATAAGATGGTGGCTTGCATCACAAAGGCCCTATCCTGTGACCGGTGTGGGTTCTCAGCATAGGTTGCGTACGCATGCTCAGATGCATTGCAGAGGCCTCTGGTCTATCGGAGGGCCTCACCGTGGCCTCCCACCCAGCTTCCCACTCTGTTGTGGGTGCTTGGCAGAGGCTGGGTGCGAACATTCAGTTGTAGTGTCCACAACGGTCAGGTGCTGGCTGAGCAAACAAGAGAGCAGTGCTGAGGGGCCTGGGAGCATAAGCTGAGGACCTATTGCTAACTCATCACATTGGATAATTCGTCACTGGGCCCTTTTACCTTGGTGTGATGAGTTACCCCAAATTTACTGTACTGAAGTATCTGTGCTCATGTAGCTGTTTGTTTTATTGCAGGTGTGTAAAATTCATTGTGGCTTACTAGGAAAGGGCCTAGCTTTGTCTCATTCACCAACCATTCTAGAAGCACTCGATGGCAACCTTCCCCTCCATATGCAGAGCAATGAACATTCCTTCTTGGAGGATTTCATCGCTTGTTTGCCTGGATCTAGTGGTGGACGACTTGCAAGGTAATGCTCAGTTTTAAACATCAAGTTGCCAGTTTTTAAAATTAAAAAAAAAGATTTCTTTGTAATATGGTGTCATTATCCTCTGTAATTTATTTTACTACTTTATTCACAATGTGCCAGGTGGCTTCAACCAGATTCATATGCAGATCCACAGAAAACTTCTCTGATATTGAATAAGGACTACATTAGGTGTGGTTGGCCAGCTACCATCACAATACAGACCAAAGACCAATATGGGGATGTAGTTCATGTTCCAAACCTAAAGGTATAAAGTAATCCATATATCTGCTAACTAAAGAAAAATGCCATTTGCTATAACTTAAAATGAATTAGATTAACAGATAATCAATAATATATTTTTGTATAGTGTTAAGGAATATGATTGTTTTGACAAAGTCTTCCCATTGCTAGAATTGTTCCAGCAGTTACCTTAAAGTCTAAATTAAAAAATCACAATACAAAGATGAAATTGCCGACACGGCTGGGAATTGGGGGAATAATTTACAGTGCAACAGTGTTTATTCATTTGCAACTACCGTGAGTGATATTAAACCTATACATTTATTATTGATTTTAAATGAGCAGTGGTTTTATAATTTTAGTACCAGCTTTAGTTCAACGTGAATGGTATTTTGTGTGGTGTATAAAACATGAAGGATATTATAGATTCAAATAGTTTATTTAAATAAAATTTAGGAATATTAATTTGAATATATTTATGTTTGACAGGTTGAGGTGAAAGCTGTTCCACTTTCTCAAAAGAAGTCTGTGCAGCAAGAAAATATAATAAAAAAACTGCAACGCATCCCTGGTAGCCCACCAACTGTTTCAAGCACAGATTTGACGTTTGGTGGGTTGCCATCTCCAAAACTGGAAGCGACATATGAACCAATGATTGTAAAAGAAGCTCGATATACAGCGATAACTATGATGAAGGTAGCTAAATATTTTTCAATTTAAGGATATTTAGCTTCTGATCAGATCATCTCCTGGCTAAAATAATGGATAGATGATGTACTTGAACAAATGTAAGGATCTGGGGTGCAAGTTCCCTTTCGATTTTGTACATCATGTAAGATCTTGTACTCCCATGACCCAAATGAAATTTGAATTTTGCAAACCTATATCCTACTGTTCTGTCAAGTAAGAAGCGGGCCTGCACCACTACCAAAAATCAACCTTTACAAAGCAGTTAATTTGTGAATATAATAATGTACTTTTAAAATTTTCTTTTACAGGCATATGAAAATTATTCATTTGAAGAACTTAGGTTTGCATCCCCCACACCTAAAAGGTAATGAATAATCTTAAAATTATTGTGAAGCAAATCCAAAATATTTGGCTTTGATGCCCTTTATAATTTTCTTGAAATTTGTGGGAAGTTGTTGGTGCAGTTGAGCTGTCCTATTTTCTCTATACTGTAAACAACAAATGTTGCTTCGCTTTAAAGAAACTCGCTTTTAAATTTTCTCAGGCCAAGTGAGAACATGCTAATTCGAGCTAACAATGATGGCACCTACAGTGCAAACTGGACCCCTGGAGCAGTTGGCCTTTACAGTATCCATGTCACAATTGATGGGATTGAAACAGGTACATTTATAATTATACATATAATTTGTGTTAGCAAACTACAGCAAGGCTGAATTCAGGATTTTTCTTAAGTATTTTGAATTTAAATTGAAGTTATATTAAGTACTTTCTTCCCCCTTTTAATATAATCTCAGAAATCCCAAATTATTTTTGTTTAGAAATATAAGTGTGCACAAGTTCTTTAGGAAATGTTGAAGGGCATCCTGAAGATACTGGAGTAATTTCACCAAATCAATCAAGTGTGCCTTCCTTAAATGTTGACAGTAGTAGATTCCAAGGAATAATTACAAGGCAGTGATCTAATTTCAGTGTACCTTAACCTTGCAAACTAAAATTGTATGGATTATAATAAAATAATAATAATGCCTTCACGTTTTCAGGCAGTGTGTTTTTAACATAAAATAACACTGATTATCCTTCTCAGTGATTTATTCTGTTTGAGATGTATGTTATGCCAACTCCAGCTGTTCAAGTAGTGGCAAGTACTAATTTGTTGCATGTCACCACTATACTGAAGAATTAGCAGCTATGACGTAATCATTAGACATTTATTCAGAAATGCAGGTGATTAATAGGAAATCTGTGGCTAGTATCTCTTGCATTTAATAGGCCATTTAACTTTCATATTATATCAAAGTGCTTCACAAAATATACTGTAAAGTAAATTGACATTTTGTAATTAAATTCTGAACATGTGAGAAACATAATTTCTTAACTCTGAGCAAGAGCACTAAATATCTGATGATTAATCCTGTCTGCTATAAGTTTGAATTACCTTATCTACAGACACTGCCCCAAATGGGTGTTCAATATAATTGATTTTAATAAAACATTTAAAAATCCAAAAGTCCACGTTCCAATGTAAAATGTCTCGGCTGTATCCATCTTGTATCTCGATTGTATCTTGTAGTCTTAAAATCCTAATGTTCATTTTGTTTTGACAGATGCTGGTCTGGAAGTAGAAGTAAAAGATCCACCAAAAGGAATGATACCTCCAGGATCTCAAATCGTCAAACCAAAGGCTGAACCACAACCAAGCAAGGTAGGTTGCTGTACAGAAGTTGAAGATAAAATAAGCAATAGCAGCATAACCAAGGGTTGCAGCAGTAAAGCAGTTGACACATCTCTTAAAGTAGGTCAGATACCTGAGTGACATAAGGATGGTTGTTTGTTAAAGCATGACTTGTATAAACTGTATATACACATCCCCATTCTATTAACGATTATGCTGTCTTTTCAAACTTGTATTTTGTGGTGCCTGGTTTGAAGGTAATACAAATATTAAATCTGTTTGGTTACTTTTTCACATGTGCGACTGTACAAAACCATTTCATCAAACATTTCAGGTGGTTTTTTTTTACCTGCAGTGTACCCATTCAATTTGGTAGCTCTCATTGCCTCAAAAGAAGTTTAACACATGATGAGTATGTTTGGATATATTTAATACTAAAGAGCAAAAAGTCAATATTCCTGTAACTCTTCCCAAGTTTAAAGACAACTTTCTTTGTCAGTGTTGGCTTTTTAATCTACAGCTGTTTTAGTTTACCTGTTGAATCTGCTGCTTTTGATCTGAAGCTTTATCCTCATTTCTTTGTCTTACTCTGTTTCATTGCTTCTCTCAGGTTCGCAAATTTGTGACAAACGACAGTGCAGGGCTTCGTATACGTAGCCACCCCTCTCTTCAGAGTGAGCAGATAGGCATAGTGAAGGTCAATGGAACCATCACTTTCAATGATGAGGTAAAGAACATTACTTCAGATGAGGTTTGGTAGGTGAGGAAGAAAAAGTTCTGCATAACTGTTGAGAAAAGTTACTTTTTATTAAATTTAAAGCAATAAACTTAGTACAATAAACCAAGCAGCTGTGCATCACAAGCTTTAATAATTTTTGCAGCAACAGTTAGACTTGTATGCAGTTTCATTTTTAATTTGCTTTGACACACATGCAAATAACTTTGAGGCTGCAGTCTGGAAATATTTAAGTGGGCATCTAACAATTATTGTGTAGGCACATTACATCAGGGAAACCTATATTGAAACATACCTATTGTTTAAATACCTTAAATTCAAAGATATTTTTGAAAGAATATTTTACCTCCAAAGTAAAAAAAAAACATGCATATCAGTACCTGTGTCCTTAAATCTTTCATTTGAAAAAATCTGTGTGATGCAGTATTCTAAAATAAGCATTCAAGCCAGTTATATGAGTTTAGTCGAATTGTTAGTTACGAATCAAGTGAGTCCAACCATTCATGTAAAGCTAGTTAACCTTGATTAACAGCTACAGATGTATTATAGTTAAGTATAGCTGCGTCCTCATTCATATAGAGAATTAAATGGTCTTGTATTACAGGTCTTCAGACAATCTCTAACTTAGAGCATAATTGTTGAACTCTAACTGTTTACGTAGTACGAGCTAGTACTGACCAGAAATATTTTTTTCTTTTAAATATGTGAAATGGTCATATTGAGAAATTTTATTTCCTCTAGCTCTATATCAAAAATCAGTTTGTGCAAGTAAATCCTTTGGCTAATATATGCACACATAATCTTTAAAAATAGGGTTGCAGTGTAGAAAATGGAATTCCTTAATCAATTGTAACCTAGCATGCAGTGGAGGGTGTTTTCATTGGCCAGTGTCACAAGTCAGAATGTAAGGCACTAAAGAAAGGCAAGGGGTTGAAGTAACCTAGAGATAATTGGAATGGGAAAAATCCTGATATACCATAAAGTAATAAAGTAAAGGTGAAGGTTAGGGAAGAGAACATATAAGGAAAAATACAATGGCCATTAATGAGAAGAAAAACAGTATATCAGAATTCTATAAGCTACTAAATTTGTTTCATTCTGTCCTTACTGGCTCTTATGTACCACAATAGTTCTCATCTCTTCTGTTCCATCTATTTGGACCAATTTTAAATATTAAAAGGATTAAAGTTCATGTGGACTTATTTTCCATCAAGACTATGAGAGTCCAGTCTGTCATCCACATCAAAAAAGATTTGTTCTCTTCAAGAATCCACCTTAGAGCTAAAACCTAGACTCGGAGATGCCCACCTCTATCCCCCCCCCGCCCCCACCGGCCTGCAGCCTCATAGTCCTTTTAGCTCTGGGCAGTTAAAGGAGGGCATGGCTCGTTTTTGTTGCTTTTCCCATAGATCCACAATGATGATGGTGTATGGCTGAGACTGAATGATGAGACTGTAAAGAAGTATGTTCCCAACATGAATGGTTACACTGAAGCCTGGTGCCTCTCTTTTAACCAACACCTGGGCAAGAGCCTTCTGGTCCCTGTTGATGTAAGTAAAGGTGTCAATGATGAATCACCTGTTCAGGCAAATTTAACCTTTACTGCCTGTGAGCACCATGTTTTGCACTATTAATCTGCATTGATTAGAATATGTACCTTTTAGAATCTTTGAATAAAACCATAAAAGCACACAAGCAAAATGATACAGCAGTCTCTCTGGTAATGAGCGATGTGAACCCTCATTGAGTAGGTTGAGTCTGACTGGAATATCCGTATGCATGTGTGTATGGGGAGATAAGGGGAATGTTTTGCATCAATAAGGGATTTGCTGCTCTTGCATCACTGAAATAAACTGAGCCATGCATTGAATTGCACAATAAAGAAATGCACTTTACAGTCCCGATCTGCAGTGTTAACATAGCTTGCAACGGGTACCAGAAATGGTTCAGGTACTTACTGGAAACCAATTGCCAGTGATTGAAGTTCAGAAGAGATTAATGTAACCCTTCAGAGCTGCACGTGTAATAAGTCTGTGTCTTCAACACTAAGCATCAAGGTTTAAATTACTGACAACTGTCATAACATTGAACTAATTTTAAATTATATTAATCATACATCTGTACCCAAGGTACCTATGGTGCAAATGTACCTCCAATCTATAGAATAAATAGTCTGCTACTGATTTATACAAAATTTCATGTAATGATAGTGTTGAGCAGTGAGTTGTACATTATAATATACAAATTTCTATATTCATTGATCTGCAAACCCTCTGTCTATATATTCAGTCCTGTAGCTCAGTGGTTAGAGCACTCGCCTTGCAAGCGAGAGATCTGGGTTCAATTCCCGGCAAGCGAAACCTTGGGCAAGTTTCCTTACTCCACACATTGTGATAATAATCCCTCAAGAAAAAAAATAATAATAATTTGGTCACTCAATCCACAATTGTTTGTGAGACACTGCTGTGTGCTGTGCGCAATTGGCTGCCGCGTTTTGCCCACAAATATAGTCAATTCACTTCACAATTCTGTGAAGTGCTTTGAAACGTCTTGAAGACGTGAAAAGTGCTATATCAAGTGCAAGGATTATTATTATTAGTAGTAGTAGTAGTATGACCACTGAGAGTGCTCCCGTTATTGGGCGGTTTATCCCAATTCCTCTCTTTTGAACATGCACAATTTTGTTATTGCTGTTATTTCATAGTCTCAACAAAATAGCATGCTAGATAGTTGGTAAATGATTTGGTCTGAATATGGTTATTTTAATGTTCAGGGATATCCTTTCTCTTTTTTTCTCTTCCCCTGAGAAACAAATGATAATCTTTCATCATCTTTTGCTATACTCATGCTGCCTGTCAGCCGGGAGATAGAGAACAACACCTGAAAACGCTTAATATGATGGTACTACATTTCTATTAAACGTCAGAATGTAATCACAAATTTGAAATGTAAAACAGAATAACATTTGCTGAAAGTATGATTCAGAATAAAATTTGGAATGAGCATGCCGACAAAAGTAAAATAGAAATGATGATCAAGAAAGGTGAACAATAGTTTTATCAGTACCAGGAGCTTTCTATTTAAAGCTGGTGGATTTTTTAATGAACACAAGTACTAGACTTGCACTGATACTGAATTATGAATTATTTGACAAGCAGAAATAATTCATCTGTTTTCAGATATCCTTTGCCTGCCAAAAATTGGTGCCTGAACTACCTTAGATTTTTCGAAATTTAAGGTTGTGTGTATGAAGTATATTTGTACAAATTTTCTTTTCTGCAAATAAGATGTATAAGGTGCATTTTCTGTTCAGTCACCAATTTTATGTATTAAGACAAATGTTTAATACTACTTACATAAGTAGTAAGAATATCTGAACTCAAATAGTTTACAAATGGCAGCATAAGGGTTAATGGAATATACCAACACAGTAGTGTTACTTGTGATAATGATGAACTGATTATATCTCAATTAAATCACAATTGGTGAATAGTCAGAATTACTTCGTATGCAATAGCATCGGTTTCTGATTTTGTCATTTCTGTGTTGCCAGACTATTGGTGGGATTGTGTGGCAAAATTTTGCAAAAATTGCAGATTAATTATACAATTTGTATTTAGTGTTTTGACAAGAAGTCAAAAGAGAGGTACGAGTTTAGTACATTCAGTGTTAAACAGTCACAAAAAGATTGCTTTGTTGCTTTTTTTTGAGTACACATTTCTGTTGCTTGAGTTTCTACATCAGCTTTATTAAAAGGCTTATGCACATTCAAGGCAACTTTTTGAGTGTTCACATGTTTCTGCACAGAAATAACTGGATGGAAATACTTTATTTTGTGCAGGTACAGACTTAATCTTGAACATACAAGTCCTTGTACAAGTTTGTTTTTATGGAGAGAACAGTATGACATTATTCCCTTTATTTACAGTTTGACTTGTAAACAAATGTGATTAAATCCCTGCACTGTTTGGTGTTGTATGCACCAATTGTGATCATTATGTTAAATGCTAAGAGTTGTAAATAGCATGACCCACCACTGTCACTTCAAGTGTGATTAAATAGGTGAGATTGTTTTCTCATTTTAATCTCTCTAGATTTAGCTATTTGAAGTGGGGTTTTGTTCCAAAACATAACTCTTATTGCTTGTAAAATAATGAAATGTCATTATTTATATATCTGATTTGTTCAAATCTAATAATTGTGGTCATTTTCTACCCAAAATGTAATTTAGTTATTGAATTTAGTTTGATTTTATATTAGCTCATACTTTTGTGGAAAAAAAGTAAATGTTTCAATGAATACTATTTGTATTTTGGGGGTATTTTGGTTTGTATAGTTAGAAAAAAAGTACACCCGTAAAATGCATACCACCTCTTCAATTTTTTTAGTGCAATTGTATTAAACAAAAATAATAATGCAGCTTCTTCCGTCATTTTCCTGTTTACTATACTCCTCATTTTTGAATGACCTTCCTTCATTGAGGTGGGATAGTGGATGAGCAACATGTCATTCACTCCAATTTAAGACACCTTTGGTGTTCATCGCAAACTCTGTTGGATGTGTGTCTGTTATGTGTGTCTGTTCCAGACAGGGTGAAACCTTGGGCAAGTTTCCTTACTCCACACAGAGCCTAATAATAATCCCTCCAAAACCAAAAACAATAATAAATTGGTCATTTTCAATCTCCGACTATTTGTGGGACATTGCTGTGCGCAATTGGCTGCCGCGTTCGCCCACAAATATACAGTCAATTCACTTCAGTGTGTTCTGTGAAGCGCTTTGGGATGTCCTCCCGACGTGAAAAGCGCTATATCAGATGCAAGGATTATTATTATTATTATTATAATTATTATAATTATGGTGCAAAATGGAAGTAAATGACATTTTTAGGGCGAATAGAGGACTTCAGTTGCAAACAGATGAAAATCAATTGAGTGGGTGTTCAGTTGATTAGATTTCAAGAGGCTGACCAATTGTGTGAAGTGAACATGTTAACTGTAACTAATTTTTTTTAAAAATTTGCTTAATTGACTGCTTTGATATAAATATACTGAGTGTTTTATGTAGATTACAGTAATCAATTCAATTACAATATTAGAGTCCTATCTGCATTTGTCTTAAACATTGTCACTCAGATTGTCTTCAGTGCTAGCAAAGGAGTCAGGGACATGGATTTTGTATCCTGGAATTTCCAACCTATATTGTGCCAGGTAAGTTAAAATGTAGGAAGATTTTATCTTTCTACTGAATGAAGATTGGTATAAATGTTATTTTTGAATTGATGGTTATGAATAGATTTTATAAAGAGATATTCAAGTTTATATGCTGACGGTTGTTTCTCTGCAAGCCTGTTGGCTGTTTATTTTCAGACTAGGTTAAACTTTTAACATTTTAGAAATGCAAGCCAGGTGTTTTCAGAAATGCAACTTCTTTTTGGTGGCTTTGATTTGACATTTTATGAATCTTGTAATGTGATATTCGCAAACCAGAACTTGCTATTAGTTTTTGTAGCAACTTGAATCCTTTTGTGAATGTTTTGCTTTGGTGCCCAATAAGTCCGCACTGAAAGAATGAAGTAACAAAAACAAATTGCAGTTTATTGTTGCATTCAAATTCAATATTTTTAAGATTTTCAGATTAAAAAAAAGTTCCCATTTATTTAAAAGGGCGCTTGTACCTTCTACTAACATGGGGTCAACCTGACTCAGTTGGTAACACTCATGCGTCTGAGTCAGAAGGTTGTAGGTTTGTGGATTCAAGCCCCATGTTGGAACTTTGAACTCATGGTCTAGGCTGACACTACAATGCACTAATGGGAAAGTGCTGGATTGTTGAAGGTACCGGCCTTCAGATGAGACCTTGAATGTAAGCGGGGTCTCCTTGGAACTGAACTGGCTCCAAGGTGACAATGGAATCTGGGAATCGAGCCGTCTTTCTGTGGCGGTCTCGGTAGTCCGCTTCCTGAGTCAGGCAGGTCTGCAATATCCCAGGGCACTGCTGACAACAGCACACTAAGCAGGATACATCTCTCCAAGGAGAGAGTGTGCTTTCCATTCCAACAATCTGTCTCTGAGATTTCCATGTATGGGTGGGATGTATGGAAATCTCATCTTGGTTTGGATACTCTTAAGCATGGTGATGCGTTTCCCCATGCGTCAGACACCCAGCTGACCATAAAATATGAGGATTATTATTTTATGATCACATGACATTATTTGAAAGGAGAAGGGTGTCTCCTGATATCCTGACAAACAATCCCCCAGATAAATTGGTCACTCACTAGCTGTTTGGGGCTATTGTGGTGTGTAACATGGCTGCTGCGTTTCTCTACAAATGTAGTCATTACACTTTATTGTAAATCTGGTGAAGGGCTTTGAAACATATTGATGATGGGATGATCTGCTATATCAAATGCAAGAATAATTTGTTTTTCTAATAAGCCATCTAAATGCTGCTCAAAATGCATTAGGCCTGGGACTTTTAGGCTCTGTGTTTGAGGTATTCAATATATCTGGAATGTAATGCTCATTTAACATATAGATCTTTGTCTGCTCTTGTTTTCAGGAGCCTAAATCCATCACCGATGATTACTTCAAAGAAGTAAATTCACGTCGGTCCAATGAAGTAGTCTTGAAAGAGCAGGAAAAGATGTTCCTGCGAGGCGGACCAGGAGTATATAAGGTAGTGAAGACTGGGCCTTCAGGGCACAACATCAGAAGCTGCCCTAACCTTAGAGGTATCCCCATTGGAATGTTAGTTCTTGGGAACAGAGTCAAGGCATTAGGCGAGGTATGGATTCATGAAAGTGTATTATTGCAGGCCAATCAACACATGCAAATGCTGCAAAACTGATGACTTCACAAGCTTATGCATATTATTATGAGAAGGAAATTGGTGTTGGTATAACTTCGTTAAGAATATAGGTACTGTATTGTACTGTTGCACTGATTTAATTGAGTGCCATCACATTCATCAAATGATGGAACATTTTAAACTATTATCTACAATAGTTTGTAATCTGTAAACGCATACACTGGCTTTAATTTATATATTTCTTGCCTATGATTTAAGCTTTTTTTTGTTTGATTATATTGCTTAATGAAAATTTTAGAAAATCTTTTCTGAAGTGTAAATCTTACGTAATGATCACATTATCTTCAAATGTCAATAAAATCTGCAATAAAATTCTTAATATAACTAACATTATGTAAATTAGTGTTAAGCTTTCCCTATGATCCGGTCTCCTCTTAGAGTTTATAATAGTCATTCAAACGGTTGCTGTAAACCAGGTTTTATTGAAATTGCTTGGAAGAACCTGGCATTTTTGTTTCTAAATCATCAACCAATGTTAAATGTTTGCAAAATTTAACCGTTGCAATAAGTGGAACTGTGACGGTTATCTATTTCACACAGTTCTAAGCCTGCAGTATTTTTTAAAACCCTTGACTCGGCCTTGAAGTTAGTTTGCAATAGAAAAGCCACTCCAATGTGGTGATTCTCATCGGTGGCCTATTCTTAATGTTGTTTGTGTTTAACCAGCAGTTATAGTATTTAAGGAACATCTAATAGTGATGCTGTACATTTTTGTTGTATTGTTTTTCCACAAAGCCTTAAATTGCCTGCATAACAAAAGTTACTCCAGTTGATTGACTGTGGTTGAAATTCAAAAAACAATCAAATAATCCAATACATATGTTCAATATTTGTGTTATAAGTGGCAAAGACAAAAAATTATAGTTGAAAAACTGTTCTTTTTCAAGTTAACTGCAGCACAACTGAAAGCTAAGACTTCTGAGAAATACAGTACTGTATTTATATGACTCATCTCTGCAGAGACCCTAAACAGATTATGCCAAATACAGAGCAGGACAAATATGTGATTTGTATAATAGGTGACAAACCCCGAAGGCACTTGGGTCCAGCTTGATAAGAACAGTATGGTGGGATTCTGTGAAAGTGATGATGGAGAGGCCTGGTCTTTGTCAAGAGACCGAGGTAGTAATCAGTACCTGAGACATGAAGAAGGTAAGTTGCTCACATTGGGATCCCATGAGTCCTGCCAAAAAATGGACCTGATAACAGAGAAAAGTCACTAATTGTAAATTAAAGACAGTTAAACCCTGGCTTACCAGGTATTTGGAATTCAGACCTAGCCAGGCCCGACACCAATATTTTTTTTAAATCCCCCCCCCCCCCCCCCCCCTCCTCCGCATTAGTCCAGCTAGCCAGGGTTTAAGCTTTTAAAGACTGAAGTAATGTTGAGTTGAAAACATAAGTCTAATTCTTCATTGGGATAATCCTTGTATTTGATATTAATCAATTGGTGGATCGCTTTTTGGGAGTGCTAATCCCTAAAAAAAAAAAAAGTTTTTTTGGGACACTGCTGTGTGCAATTGGCTGCCACGTTTTGCCCACAAAATATAGTCAATCCAATTTACAACATATTCTGTGAAGCGCTTTTGAGACGGCTCGTCAACATGATAAGGGTCTATATTAAATGCAAGGATAAATTCAATAATGTTAACTGAACATTACTAGACATGTCTAATCCATAGTATTTCACCCATGCAGCATGTCATTTCCCTTTGTGAACTCCATGCCTCGAGCTTCAAAATCTATATCCATTGCATCATGTAAAATTCTGCAAAGAAATTTCAAGGAAACTAAAAAAATGTTTTAAAAAATTCAAGAACTATTAAAACCGAGACTTTTCAAAGTTGAGTGTCCTATCACAGGCAAGTCCAGAAAGAATAGCAAGTATTTCTTCTTTCTGGTTTAATCACTGAAATAATGAAAAAGATCATTGTGAAGGAGATTTGGATAAATCCTTTTCCTAAACAAATCCTGGATACGAATAGATGTCCCATATAGCAAAAAGCTTTCTAACCCAGCATGTTTTAATCACTGCCAAATATTTTTATGGAAGTTAAATAAGTAGAAAGTAGGAAATAAGACCTCTGTACTCATACTCAGATTTTGAGTTCTGAAGTAGATATGCTTTTTAAACATAAGGATTAAGCTATTTCATTTACAATTCTCAACCAGAGATCTTAAAAGTACATTTCTTTAATAGAACAAGCACTGCTGGATCAAGCACCTCAGACACCGCCTCCAAGCCCATTTTCAGCTCAGGCATTCAGCAGGAGTTCGAGTTGTAACAACCCACAAGGTTTTGACTATAGCCTTGCAAATACCAAAGGTAAATACTATTTTTAAGTGTTTTGTTATTGCTATGAATTTGGTTGCTGCATTGATGATTTTTGCTATTCTTTACAAGCTGAAGCAGTTTCACCCTGGTTTATATAGTTTCTTTGTAAATTAGTACAAGGCATCCTTTGTATAATGTGCTATTCTTACCATGGGTTCGCTTATAACCTGGCCAGGCCATCTGGTTGTTTTCACTTTTTCTGCTGTTTAGGAAATGCTAAACTCAGGTGAAGTAAAGATCCACTGCAGTGGCCTTGCAGTGTTTTCACTTCTGATTTCTTACACGTGTTATCTCTCTCTAGTCCACCAACACATTGTGTTGTCTTTTTGACCATTATGCTTTTAAGTATCTTTATCTACTATATCAACTGTGTATAAAAAAGCTAAATTTTTAAAGGTAAAATTCATTGTTGCATTGATTTTTGCATATCTCGATTGCGATAATTTAAGGAACAAGGGTTCCATATTTTCTTGGCTCCGTATTTAGTACTGTAAAGGAGCATTTCATCATTCTCAGGTATAAAATTTGTTACTGTCCCATTTTGGAAGTAGATATTAACTGTAAAATGCAGCCTCATGCATGAGCACATTAAATCATGCTTCATGCCCTATCCACAATTCCATTTGCTTCCACTTGTTCATCAGACACATGAAGTCTTGCAAAACTATATTGGAAGCTTAGCCATGAATTAGCAGTGTTGGGCTAAACATATTTCAATGTTCTCTTTTAAAGATGAAGTCATTGCAGACCTCCATTCGGAGCCCTTTGCAGAACCTGGTAAGTAAGGGTTATATGCATTTGTTTTATACATACACTTGTACATTGCTTTTTCACTATAATAGAGCTGCTAAAGGCTGCATTTTGCCTGGCAACATGATAAAATTGTTCAAAAGCAAATACTGTATGTTCATAACCCTTGTCGGTGGCAAATTAGGTGTGTCCATGTGTGTCCATGTGGCCTTGTTTCAGTTTCAGAATGACATATTTTGATATACTCTTACTGCTGCTCCATCTATTAGTCCAAAGCTTAAGAGACCAATCTTCTTGTTTTCCCAATTTGTATTTTCTGACTTGAACCTGAGCCATTTTCATCAGTTTGCTGTGTTGCTGCAGAAGATCTTTTCTGATCACTATGAAAGTTATTTATCAAGATATTCTGTTTATTCAGAAACGTTCAAGTTAAAAGTTTCATTTTTTCGAGCAAGTTATGAGCATTTATAATAATTTTTAGTTAAATGTTTTAAATATATGATGTTTGTCAGTATAAACTATTCGTAAACTTGCTCATGATCCAAACAAAAAATCTTATTTACCATTCTCATTTTCTTAATTCAAATGAAATTCAGTTCATCTTTGTTGTATTGAATTCCTCCAAGTGTAACACTTAGGAATTCCTAAGCTCATCCCTTTTGTTAAATGTTACTCAACTGTCTTAGTCTTTAATGCGTACTTTTGCCATATTCAAAATGTTACTTCCACAAGAGTGGCACATTTTAGAAAAGGTTAAGACTCCTATTCATTTTTAAATTTCACATTGAATGGGAAAACAAATTGGTATTCAGCTGTGTTTAATTCTTGCTGGAAAGGATTTTAAGTACAGGGTGACCAAAAGTCTTATTTTTCAGCTACCTATTTAAAAAAAAATCATTTCTTTAAGACTTATTAGACATTGTAATGGTATCATGTCTTTTTGGTCACCGTGTGTAACCGTCTTATGCAGGCTAGTTAAGATGCATTTTGTCAAGATTGATTGAATATAAAAAGGTTTGATTGGACCTACTATGAAAAATTGTTTCTGAGTCCTCATTTCATCAACCTTTATGCCTTTGATAATCATTTTGCGGGTGAAACTCACATTCTCCCTCCTTCCTTAGTTGTTTCCACGTTGCGGACAATGCTAGAGCAATAGGTAAAATGGTTGATCTGCGAACAGGCATTAGCGAATCTGTTCTAAAGCTAGCTACTGGGATGTGTGTGGAACTACTCTACCTTGTCCTTGAATATATTTATTGCCAAAGTGAATGGCTTTGTGGAGCTTGTACCAGATATTCTGTTAACGGCTGCCTCACTCTCTTCCCTCCTTATATGCTCGGCAAGGTGAGCATTGGAAGGATATGGCCAAAATCAGTTATTGCCGCTAGATTTTACTATAAATTATTTCTGTAGAACATATACACCAACTTCAGATTCTTTAGCTTCACGTGCGGTTCTTCATTTGTTTGACAAGTTCATCAGAGGCATGGAAACGTACATGTTATGGATACTAACTTTACCCTGTACAGAAACAGCTGGACGATTGGGTTGCAAGAAGTTATTGTGGTAGGAATGGGTAAGGCTGTGGAGGGATTTAAATATAACGTTGAAGATCTGCTGAGGGATGAGGAACCAGTAGCAAAGAGGGCAAAATAATAGAGGGTAGCTTCCACTAATGGGTTGGAAAATAGGTTCATTGCACCTTAACTGAATTTGGTTATTTAGTATTTCCAAACAAAAATATGCAAAATTATTTAACTTTTTAATTCCTAGGAATCTAAAAAATGTTTTAAAACAGGTCTACATGTTTTGCTCTAATCTTAAAATTAGTCCGTACAGTATTTGCAGCGCTACAAACAGTGAACTGCAGTTTATTGGATCTCTCTTTACAGGGTGTATTTTATAAGACTTGTCATGTGTGGAGGAAGCAAATTGAGATGGAAAGTAAATTTCTTCTCCACTTGTTTAGTCTTCACATGCAAATCAATGAACTGTTATTTAACAGTTGGCAGGAAAAAGCCATGGAAAGCTGTACTTTTAATTGTTCAGATATTTGTCCATTCCCTTCAGCAACAAAGGTATCATTTTGATCATGTGCAGCAATGGTTTTGAAAGAGACTGCAAGCAAAACAACCAAACTCATGTCAGATGATATACACAGAAAGGAATGACTGAGAGGCAGTTGTGTCATTGTGTATGTGGAGGATTACCCATAGCAAGTCATCTAACGTGTCAATGCACGTGTTGTTTTGAGCTGCCAAATAAAAGATTGCTTCCCAAAGAGGAGATTCAAAGTGAATAATCATGATAAATTATTTCTAGCAAAATATAGATATAGAATGACTAACACATTACAGTGAACCCTGTGAAAGACTTTGAGATGCCCTGACATGAAATGCACTGTATGAAATGCAAGGATTATTATGATCAGGTGAGTCTTTGATCTTAATGTGATGGTGCACCTCTTTATTCTCCATGACTGTTCTGCTGTCAGCATCTTGCTAACTTTTTTTAACTAGTTTAATTTCAATCATCAATCAAACAGAATTTGAATAGTGAACAAGTCATAGTGTTCGGGTGCCTTTATTTTTGCATTATCTTGTCAATTGTTGATAATCGGTAGCTGTTGGTTTTGCATTGGTCAAAAGATTCAGGTTGAATCATTGGCTTTCTGTGGTATAAGCAGCTTGTATAATTAAAACCCTTAGAAGAAATTAGAACATCACTCAGTCTTTCATATATCGTAAGTTCATAGACTCCAATTCCTACATAAACTTTAATCACATGGCAAATTGGGATTTTTTCTTGAAATTGATTTTGCTCAAAGAGTCAGGTTTTCTAGTTGACCGACAGGCAAATCCGTTGGGCATCCCTTAGACAGTGGAAGAGTAGGATAGTGATAGCTGGATAAGCAGCAACAAGCTTGCCAGGCAATGCTCTTAATGGTGAGATATACATTGTTAGCTGGTTAAATTCCAGCAATATCCCAATGCAATTCTGGGTTCCCTGAGCCTTGACTCTTGTCAACCTGTACCTGATACTGGCTGGATACTTAAGTATTTGTGCACCTGTCCCTGGAGAGAGTGCACATTCTATTCCAGGGAAATTTCCATGTGTAAATGGAAAACACTTAAGCGTGTTGATAGTTTCTGCTTTTATCAGATATCTGGCTAACAAAACCGATTACACTGTGGAAGCATGTCTTTAAGTAGCAGGTGAAAGTAATGCTTGAGAGTTTCTAAATATCCCAATGTAGCCTACAAAATTTAGCCTCAAAACAGTTCCATGTATGACTCCTGATAGGGACACTAGATGGGGCCACTAGAAGCACACAGAGGATCAGGCAGGACTGATACCCATGTTCTTGATGTTATCTCTCCTTTACTGGTATTGCCTACTCATTTGTTCAGTAGTCTTGTTATACTGGCTGTGATACTAGGCAGAGACTGCATCTAACACTTAACAAAGCAATGGATCCTAGCAAAATTAAAGGATACCGTGAGAAAAGTTTAAGCGCTACGTTTCATGGGGTTAGCTGAGATTCAAGAGAACTTCTCCAAAGTAGGGTGTACATATATCAAAGAATTTTAGCCTTTGAGTTGCAAACCTTCTGCTTACTACTCCACAAAATTTTTTATTAGACCAGGACACTGTTACTTTTGCTTCTTATTTGATTCATAAAAGGAAGGGAATTTTTTTTTCCATGCTGTACTTGAGGATTTTGATGTAAATAGCAATCATTGCATTTGATAAAGTGTCTTATTGCAACATCGAGACATCTCAAAGTGGTTCACAGATTTTACTAGGAAATGTAATGGCTATTTGTAGGCAATACGTCTGTTTTCAATTCTAACAATTAGTTTGTGGGACATTGCTGTGCTGTTTGTGGGACATTGCTGTGCACAAAAATGACTTTTGCATTTGACTACAAACACACAGTGACTTCCATTTTGCAGTAAGTGCTTTGGGACATCACCCCCCCCCCCCACCCCCACCCCATGTGAAAGGTGCTATATCAAATGTAAAGATCATTACCATTTTCTATGTTTGAAAAGGTAGTTTTTTTACTTGCAAGACAATTGTAACACCCCACAACTTAATCTTTTGAATTTTAACCATGATTCATTTCCTAATCTTAGCAATGTCAATTATTTCTATAACTGGTTAACGGTGGATTGGACAGTCTTAAAGCAATGTCCAGGGAGAGAGTTCTTTGTTGAGCCTATTATAAATAAAAGTTGGTGTGTTGCTGGTATCATAGTTTTACTTGGGTTATTAGTAGCTTCCGCTCTTGTTTCCAGTCAGATCAGAATTAAATGGATCTTCTCCAAGGTGTTCCCAGCCCTGGAACATAAATGGACTGTCCAGTCGGTAAAGAGGCAGATCTCAGAACTACTCTAAAAGAGAGGATTTCTTACAACAGCTGAAATATAATTTTAAGAACAGTGGTTTTTTTCTAAGATTACTAAGATTTCTAAGAATCAAAAAGATTACTTTTTGAAACAAAAAGTAATTCTGGATGTTACTTGAAAAGGTACTACTTGAAAAGAGAAGGAAATTTCTCCCACTGATTTAGCTGATAATCTCCCGAATAAAATAGGCAATTCACCTCGTGGCTGTTTATGGCTCATTACTAGAAAATTTGCTGCTGCGTTCTACAAAATACACATTACAGTTCACATTACAGTAAATCCTTTATCAAATGCAACGTTTATTATATTATTATACCAATAAAAGGTAGGCATGTAATGACTTAGAATCCTGCATCTGATTGTTTTTAACTTAAATTGTAAATTTGAAAAGGAATTTGAAAAACAAATTGTGACATTTCTGAAAAGTTAGTGAAACCAAACAGGTTTAAATTTCATAAATATAGAATTGGGGGAATTTTGTCAAACCTTTTAAATTGTTACCTGTTTAACGTGAAATCAGTATTCGGGTGATGTCAAAGTGTAAATCTTTCTACAAATAATTCCCAATCACGATTTACAAATTATTTTGGAGATGTTTCTGACAAATAATTGCTCAAAAAGACCTCACAGACCTCAAAACATTGGGGTAATCTACAGGATTAATAACCCAACTAAAGACGAGCAAAACTTTCACTTTTATAAATCAGGTTCAAAAATGTAATGTCTGTAACGAAAATTACATTTAGCCATTTACTGCAACTAAAATGTATAATTGCCGAATTGCATTATTTATAAATTATCAAATTGTCGTGTGACATTTCCTTATTTTCTTGCTAAGTGTGCTACTAGGAACCTGTGGTTTTCTGATTCAATTCTCAGCAAAATGCATTATTTTTAGCGTACCTTTAAAGCACCTTTCAGCCGCTCATTTATTTAAAGCATGGACTTCAACTTTTGTCTGTTTTGCTAATATTGTCATGCTCTAAGTCTAACCCATGAAAGAAATCGCAGAAGGAAAGTGCATGTTGTTTTGGGAAATTGATGTAGAGAAAAAATAACTTGTTTCTGGAAGAGTACAAATGAAGTCACTTTGCAGAATACTAAAGTTTATAATTTTAGCACAATAAATTAGACATGTGACCCAGTGTGACACGATTACACAAAATATCAGAAGAAAGTGGATTAATGGATTGACATGTCTTGATTCACTACATATGGTTGAATTTGCTGCATTACTGGTGACATGAAAACATTAATAAAATTATACCATGTTCCTCAGACTTTCATGTAAATGTTGTATCATTGGAGGGTCTCAATTGAGAAAGTAAGGAACCAAACCTAGTCTTATGTAATTTTACCTGCTGCAGGTGACCAGCTGAGTGCCATGCTGAATACCATTCAGTCACAGCCTTTCCTCCCAGCTTCTAGCGTCTTTGGTCAAGCTGCAAAGCCTTCCTCTTCCCTTATTCACAGCCCATTTGTGTTTGGACAGTTCCTTTCCTTGCCGCAGTCTCAACCACAGCTTCCGAGTAAGTTTGTCTGTCTCGCCTGCCTATCGTTCCATTCTGTGGCTTTGCTGTTGCTGTTTTCATGAATACTCTCAACCATAGGTACAATATTGGTTTTAAAAAAAAGATTTGTATCCCTTTATGCAAATATTACAGTATTGTATTTATTTCATACAGTACTGGTAACTTGCGTGGATTGTAGTGCAGTGTGCTGCTTTCAAAGGTTCTATTGTATATGCAATGACAAAAACAATTGCCTCTTCTGATTCCATTCCATCAGCATTGAGGACATGTCATGACAAACTAATTAATCACACAAACTAAGGCAATTAAACCTGAAGGAATTTTGGTACCATTCATTTGACTAAATCTGTTCTTTTCTCTCAATACATCTCTAAACGGCTTCTTTGCTTATTCTTGCTGCTGTACTTTGCTGCTTATCTACCACTGTTTTCCTCTGTAGACACTTCATCCCGCAGGCTTACTTCACGTGACCGTTCATACAAAAGTAGCGGTCCAGCAGGACCAGGTCTCTCTAAATCTCAGAAGTCAAAGGGTGGGTATGTCTGTAGCTATTAAGAAATGGGTTCTTTGATTATTGAACTCCTGCAGAGGATAACAGTGCAGCTTTTGCTTATAAGATCTATGTTCAACTTTCTTTTACTCATTTTTATATTGTTTAATAACCCTACATAGGCCGTATAAGGCTTTATAGAATGATTACTGGATGATTTTTAATGCTATGTTTCAGTTTGTTTTATATTTTAAAAATCAACTATGTATAGAATTAAAAAGGTATGGAAGATATTAGATTAAGAAGTATTCTCTTTAAATTAAGATGCTGTAGTTTGTTCCCATGTTTATCAACAACGTTGCATGTTTCTCTTTTGAAAATCGTTTCAGTATTGCTGACTTTTCTTGTCAACACGTATGATGGATGAGTGGTGAATATAATCCCAGTTCAGGAGATTAGACTTTCTGTTGTATTTACAAATATTGTATACCAAGTGTGTGGATACCATTATTGCAGTTACTTAAAAAATTAACAGCAAATACATAATGGGATTGGAAACATATTTGGAAACTAGAAACCACTTAACAAAAGGTGTTTTGTGAATGAAATTACAGGATTACGATGAAATTTGATAAATCCAGGAAAAAATCTGATTTTGAAAGCCTGAAATGGCCATTTTGTGGCCAGCGTTTTGCTTTACAAACTTTTGTCAGACACACTGTTTGTTCTCCATCTAGAAACTGCTTTAAAGGAAAAAACTGGCTGTAGTAGCTAGGTGGAAGTCAGCACAAATACTTCCAGTTTGCAGATTTCACGTTTTCAACCCCAATTTTGATACTAAAACAAGAACATTGTTTCTATGAATTTTTGCACACAAATAGCCTTTTAAGATGATTTAAAAGCTGAGCAAATTTTCCAAATCAGACTAATCAAAGTTCCCAGTTTGCTTGTCTTTGTCTTTAAAAAAACCCAGAATATTCTGAATGTATTCTTACTAGATTATTACTGCTGCTGTTTCTTACAATAGTCAATTTGTTCACTTTTCCTTTAAACTGTGGAACTTCTCTAGGAAAAATCTCAGTGCTAAATGCTGGGTTGATGTTCCCAGCAGTGTTGCCTTAAATTTTGTAATGTTAGAATATAAACAGTTACTTCTAGGGAATATACATGTAGGATACATCCGGTGTAAATTGAGCACCTTACCTATCGATAATGTAGGCGAGTACTATTAGAAAATTTCACCCAAGTTTTGTAGTGTACATCTTGTCTTAAAATCTACGGTTGTACTGAACTGTGGAACATTCTTAAATGTAGTCTCAATTTGGAAGCCAATTTTCTTTTTTTCATGAAAAACTTCCAAATTAAGACCGCAATTTTAAAATATCCACAATTCTGTGCTACTTAAAGTTCAAAGATTAAAAACAAATTGATTTCTTGCCGTTTATAGCCATAAAGTATGCTGATTTGTTTTACTTTGTATCAGTTTATCATCTCCCTGCAGAATATAGATGTGAATATCAAAGATCTGCAGAGAAAGGGAAATCAAAATATTTTCATTAATATTTACAAACTAGGAATGTATTATTTAACGTTTTTTATAACTGGATTTAGATTAGAAACGTATTTTACAAAGAAAAGCTCCTCCAATTCCTTTTATCCCTCCACACACTTTCTCATTTTAAGTGAACCATTTTATTTAATCGCAGATTTACTCCCCAATCTTGGTACGTTTAGAGGCAAAAATTATAATCTTGTGGCTATGTACGTAGATCAGCATGCTCATTGCATTTGTGTTAAAGACTATAAAATCTCTTATTGGAATCCTTCCAGAAGCCCAAATGCTGAATTGCATTTCTCTGTAATACATTTAGTTCCTTTGATATGATCTGTTAAAAATAACTCCCATTATAGCCTGATCAGAAAAATGGTCTAATTTGCAATATTCACAATTTTAGATTCATGACATTAATTCTAAATGTTGACTTGCTATATTCTCAAAGACAGTTAGTTATCACAAGTCAGCAAAGTCTGAAAAATGGTTGTTGAGCAAAACAACGATAGGAACGGCCGGCTGTTTTGTTGCATAATCTTTTTTTTGTATCTTGCCAATTTAGGATTCACAATATGTGCCAACTGTTAATTTTGTCAAGTGGAAGTCTCAAACCAAAAGTTTCAGTGAGGACAATCAGACTTAAATATTTAAACAAAATATATACAGGTTCATACAATATATACAAGTTGTTTATACATACACACTGGTTAATTATCAAAAACGATCAGTGTCCATTTCCTGCACACATCTTCATTATTTATCTAATTATGTTGCCTGCCTTGAATTCAAGTTTCTATGATACTCTGTTTCTTCCTAACATTCATAATACGCCAGGCTGTACCATCCATATATTCAAATGTTGATAAACCTATTTCTTTGGAATTTTTTTTAGTTGATTATCCTAGGAATTTATTCAAAAATGTTATAGCCTGAGACAATAGTGCATATTAATAACTGTATGGTCTTTCTTTGCATCTTGCCAATTTAGGATTCGCAATGTGTGCCAACTGCCAATTTTGTCAAGTGGAAGTCTCAAACCAAAAGTTGCAGTGAGCACAAAGAATCAGACCTAAACATTTAAATAAAATATATACAAGTGAGATTATCATCTCACTCGGGTTAAGAATGGTGCATGATATCAGGAAATCAAGACAAAGTAGAGAGAAAAGTAGTCAACCAAAATGAAAATTCTGTTGCAGACAAAAGAGTCTATAGAAGTTTTGCCGTTTCTCATCTTAAAAGATCTAATGTTTCAGAATGTCTTGCTGTTGATACTATTTTAGTTTCCATGCCCAGAAGTAGGGACTTTACAAAATTGTAAGAATTTCTTCCTGTAAAATAAAAACCTATTATCTATGGAAAAGTTTTTTTTAAATATCCTTTCTTACCACGCGTTTTGCCTACAGGAATGGAAAATTAAAATAATGCGTGTAGATAGAAAGTGGTGTTACATGAATTTTGTAATTCTTTGCAACTAGACATGTTGTGATTAATTATAGAAACCTAAATGATTGCTTCTCAAAACTGCTTGTGATTTTCAGGTGACCGAGGGAACGTGGTAATGTCTGCAAGACCTTCCTCACCATCTCGAAACTTTGATCTTTTATACAAACACAAAACTGAAAACCGATCGCCAAAAAATGACAGCCGGGTGAGCAAAGCTGCTACAGAACAAACAAAGACGAAAAACGGAGAAAGTCTATCCGCAAGTGAATCCCTTTTGCTTAAATCGGATGCTGCCAAATTGAGATCAGATTCTCACAGCCGATCACTTTCACCAAACCACAACACGCTACAGTCCCTAAAATCAGATGGGAAAACCACCTCTGGACTTAGAGCAGAGTCACCAGCACCAGTAACACGGTCAGGATCAAAGCAAAAGTCATTGTCATCTGGAAAAGGCAGCCCATCGAGTCCTAATTCTCAACGGTCAAGTTCTCCACTTGAAAGAAACTTAACTCCAAAAGCCAATACGTCCTCAAAGGTGAGATTGGATCCTCCACGGGAAAGATCAAAATCGGATTCATATACTCTGGATCCTGATACGCTGCGTAAGAAAAAACTTACCCTGACAGAGCCTATACGAGGAAGATCAACTTCTCCAAAACCCAAAGTAATGTCTAAAGAAGCAAAACCTGCTGTAAGCCCAGAAAACAGAGCACCATCTCCCCATGTGGTACAAGAGAATCTTCACGATGAAATTGTAGCTATTTGCACATCCAGTACTCTAACAACAAACAGCAATTCAGATTCGGTCACTGATGAAATGGCTGATGTGAGAAGCAGTGAGGACTCTTCTCCAAAGGTCCACTTCAGCATTGGAAAAGCCCCACCCAAAGAGGAGCAAGAAACAAGGTCTTCTCCTAAGGTCAGTCGTAAGAACACTGCCAGACATACCAGACCTAAAAAGGAAAAAATTGGACCTATTTTCAAGGGAGAAAACAGCAAATCTACTGAGCCAGCAAAACAAGCAATGTCGCCTTCTGTAGCAGAATGTGCTCGTGCAGTATTTGCCGCATTTCTTTGGCATGAAGGAATTGTCCACGATGCCATGGCCTGCTCGTCTTTCTTGAAATTCAATCCTGAACTCACTAAGGAACACGCCCCAGTGAGAAATAACCTCCATAGTCAACAAGGTATAGATGAAAGAGAAACCAAGCTAAAGAACAGGCATTCATTGGAAATATCATCTGCTTTAAATATGTTCAATATTTCTCCTCATGGTCCAGACATATCCAAAATGGGAAGTATTAATAAAAACAAAGTTCTCTCAATGCTGAAAGAGCCCCCATTGCCTGAGAAAAATGAAGATGGAAAAGGAGATTCAACGACTTATGAACCTTCTAGCCATCATTCTACGAAGGTTCGATCTCCTTTGCCTCTTACTTTACAGCATCTTGTGGCTTTTTGGGAGGACATTTCAATGGCCACTATAAAAGCAGCAACTCAGAACATGATCTTTCCCAGCCCTGGTTCCAGTGCCATTTTAAAGAAAAAGGAAAATGAGAAAGATGGCAAAAAAAGTAAGAAGGAAAAGAAGAAGAAAGATAAAGCAGAGGCAAGACCAAGAGGAAATCTCTTTGGGGAAATGGCACAACTTGCAATGGGAGGACCTGAGAAGGACACAATATGTGAGCTGTGTGGGGAATCGCATCAATATCCAGTCACGTATCACATGCGACAAGTTCATCCAGGTAAATAACTAACTTTTGTTGCAGTCTTGCCAATAAGTGTCAGAATGCACAAGGGTGAGTAGACAGTACAGCTATGCTAAACCTTTCCAGAACAGGTCACTGGGTAACAATTGGGAGCAGTAAACTTACCTGTTTCACTTTTCCTCCTCCCTGTCCCTTAATCACTTCAACCTGGGTATGCTAAGGGCAGGGATGCATTGCAGAGGCCTCTGGTCTATTGGAAAGCTGTGCCATGGCCCATCCTATCCTGCAACTGGATTGGAGGCAGGGCGGGGGGCTATGATACAGATCTTCAATAGACAGAGGTCTGTCTCTGCAATGGATCTGAGCATTTGCATCCAATCTCCACTCAGCACCTGCACCATTCATAGGATAAGGCAAGAGGCTTCTGCATTACAAGTCTTATAGGACTATTTATCCATTCAACTTTACATTGTAAGTACTTACACAAATTTCTAGATTGTGATAAGTTATGTGATAAGTGGAGTGACCAGTAAAACTGAGTCCCTTATTAACATTTAGCATGGGAAGCAGCTGGGATATTGATAGCATAGCTACCTAAGTGATGGTGACTAGTTAAGCCTGTTTCTTATCAGGAGTTTACTGTATCTGCTTCCATATTTATATTGAATTCATAATAATTAAGCTGCAATTAGATTTTCCGAAGCATAAAAGTAGTAAATGTATGAATCATGTTTAATTAATCTTGTTTAAGATTTCCATAAGGATTTTTTATGTTTCTATAAACTGACCAAATGGTCGAGGTTGACACTAGGGCACTGCTGGTGGAGCACTGCATTGACATAGATTCAATTATTGTGATAAAATATTAGACCGAGATCCCATCTACCTGTACAGGTGTAAAAGGCCTGTACATGGCATTACTCCAAACAAAAAAAAGAGAATTTCTTGCATTTTACAGAAACTTAGTCAAGCACTTTGAAATCTTCTCAATGTTATAGAAGCTATAACAAATACAAGGATTATTATGTTTACAAAAAATGTAAGTTTTTTAATAAAAATGTGAGCAAATGGCATGCGTTCAAAGGTTTGTTTACAAGCTTAGTATAATGTTTTTGTGGCTGAATAAAAGGATATTACTTTTTCTATTCTGAAGGCTGTGGCCGTTATGCTGGGGGACAGGGCTATAATAGCATTGGTCATTTCTGTGGTGGATGGGCAGGAAACTGTGGGGACGGTGGAGTTGGAGGAAGCACGTGGTATTTGGTGTGTGACCGGTGCAGAGAAAAATACCTTCGTGAAAAACAAGCTGCAGCTCGAGAAAAGGTATGTTTTCCACACCCTTTATATAAAAAAAAGCTAATAGAAAGCAATTAGATAACTGGCACCTTGTGGAAAATGTTCCAAAGTTCTACTTTAGACAGCACAATTTGTGATTTAAATCATACTCTCTGATTCTTTGGTTCTCGAATGGCGCTTACAAATAGGGTTATTTGACAGGAGTTGCATCTTAATGTTGCAGATCTTTTAAATATTTTTGAACCTATAAACGCATGTGTTTATGCTATAGGTGCACTGTATATATGCAGCTTGAATTTCACCTGGCTTATTTTTTTTAAATAGTTTATAAACTGGCTGTTTTATTGTTTAATAATAAAAAATAAAATTCTAAATGGTAGTACTTTTTATTTTCAGGTTAAGCAAGCCAGGAAAAAACCTGTACAGGTTAAGACTCCTCGAGCCTTGCCCTCCATGGAAGCTCATCAAGTGATTAAAGCAAATGCTGTGTTCCTCCTCTCGCTGAGTAGTGCAGCAGAACCAAATATGCTTTCTTACCAAATCCCAAAGCCATTCCATTCACAGCTTCCAAGTGTGAAAGAGGGCATCTCTAATGATCTGTCCAATAAGTATCCATGCCTTTATCTACAGACTTTGGCAAGGTAAAGTATAAAGAAATTACTCAAACATAATCAGGTTTCCTTTAGAATAAAATTCTGGCAAGATCACAGTATCAAATCAGAATGATATTGTGATCTCATTAGTTACTACTTCCCCATTACACAACAATGAATGAATATGAAACAGAACGTTACATTAGTAATTTATATTCTGATTTCGTTTTGACTGGTTGAAAGTGTCTTACCCCTTGGAGTTTGAAGTAATAGGATATGAATTTACACTTTATGGAACATTATTGTCACAATCTTCTTCTACACTGGCTGAGATGGAGTACAGGCTAGAAGAGTTTAACCTTGAGACCTTCCTGGTCACTGCACTAAGCACTGTCCACTGAGCAATTTGAGAAACTAACGTAGTAATCTTTTTATAAGAAAACATATGGCTAGGGAGAGGATTATCCATTAAAGAGCAAGTAAGAATTAGCAGCAATATCTCATACGTAAACAGCTTGAAACTTGATACTAATATTTCATGGTCATTGACTTTAATTAATATGGTGCACACTATACTGGGTGCAGTCATCGAGGTAGAATCCATATTAGCTTTTTAGGACAAAACTAGATGGATATCTAAATTGAATATTTTTCAGGGTTAATGAGAAAACCCAGGTAAATAAAACTGAATGGATTACTCTTGCCAATAGGCTGACAATTATGATGAAATGTCTGTGCTGTAGATTTCTAGTGTTCTTTAATGAAATGCAGTTTTATTAAGCTAGGTCCACTGCTTTTGACAAGCTTGAAAACATTTATTGTTGACATTGTATCTTCATGTAAAACTATTTTATGCATTATTGCAATTTAGCTTTAAAGGGTATAATTGTTTAACTTTTCTTAAGCAGACAGCATTCAGAGAATTTTGCCGGGTATCATGATGATCACCTCTTCCAAGATGAAATGAGATACCTTCGCTCCACCTCTGTACCAGCACCATATATATCAGTCACTCCAGATGCTTGCCCCCATGTCTTTGATGAACCAGAAACAAATCTGAAATCAATGCCGCCTAGGTATTTCCATAGTAGAATTGCATGCTGTTAAAACATAGTGTTAAAATAAACTACTTCTTACAATTTGATAAAGTTTGTAAACTTTTGTTTGAAGATTTATTACTGACATATCTAATGCTTCTCTTTACAGTCTTGAAACAAGCCCTATAATGGAAAGTGATACAACAAAGCGAAGTGTCTTCCAGCGATCATACTCTGTAGTAGCATCAGAATATGACAAACAGCACTCAATCTCACCTGCTCGTGTGAAAGCTATTCCAAGACGGAGAGTTAACAGTGGTGATGCAGGTGAAAGTTTCTTCTGCTATTTTAACAATGGTACCTTTTTTTTCATTCAAAATATTTTATTAAGCCTAGATTCCAAAAATGTATTAGATTTCACCAAAGCCATTGTAACACCTTAAAGTATATCAATTGAAAAGCATATATTTGGGTAAATTGTGTGTATGTATCATGCTTGTATTTTGCCAAATGCTGGAAGATTCCCTTAGGTTCTTACAGTTTTTCATTCACAGTCAGCTGTTTTTGAAAGGCGGAGTGGAACCTTGATCCTTCAATTTCATAGAACTGTAAACAAAGAAAATATGACCATGTGCTAAGGAGCACTGTGGTAGTGAGAATTATTTTTGACAAATGCAGTTTTGCATGTATTGAAAGTCATCAAACCTTCCCAAATATGATCAATATACTCTTGTGTCCCATTTCAACAGTTTAGAATCAGGATTATAATTGTTTACAAAATATGTGTCCTGCAAATTTAGAGAACTTCTCTAATTATGAATCATGTACCCAATCTAATCGGAACCTTTTAACAACCCAGTCGTTCAGCACTCCTATCCTCCAAACCATGACAATTGTTTCAACTGTATCCTTCAGATAATTTACTGGATTAGTTGTGTATGAGAATCTGTATATGACCTAGAATAATTTTTTTAATTGAATTGAATGGAATTGAATTGAATTGAATGGAATTGAATGGAATTGAATGGAATTGAATAGTAATTGTTTTAACTGAAAAAACATATATTTCACACGAAAATCAAAAAATTTTAGATTTTTTTTAAAAGAACATTTATTCATCAAGGAGTATTTCAGATTTCAATAAAATGCACAAGGTTTTATGAAAAAGTGTTTGTCCATGAAAAAACATTTATCAATGTTCCCAAGTTAGAATAGCATATTGTGTGAAAATTAAGTACATCTTAATTAAGATCTATACCATTAATATTAAGATCTATGCTATTTCTTCAGCTCTTCTGTCTAGACAACATATTAATTTCATTATTAGTTTGCTCTAGCTCTAAATATTGACTGAATGATATGATCAAATCAATTTGATACAAGTCTTTCAACTTTGATGGTCTTTTTTTAAAAAAAAGCAGAAGTGGGGTCTTCTCTTCTTCGACATCCATCGCCTGAGCTTTCTCGTCTCATCTCAGCTCACAGTTCACTCTCCAAGGGAGAGCGAAATTTCCAGTGGCCTGTACTAGCATTTGTTATACAACATCATGATTTGGAGGGACTGGAAATGGCTATGAAACATGCTTTAAGGAAATCTGCTTGCAGAGTGTATGCAATGGAGGTTAGTAAGCAAATGTGTACAATTTTGAGCATTTAGAAATGTCTTCATATAATTTGTGCATATGACAATGGAATATTATTCCAGTGGAATATTGTTCTAGTGGAGTCCTGCAGCTCAGTGTTGAGAACAATCACCTCGCAAGTGAGAAACCTGGGTTTGATTCCCAGCAGGGCAAAACCTTGGGCAACTTTCCTTACTCCACGAGCCTAATAATCCTGAAAGAAAAAAAACAATAATAAATTGGTCACTTCAATCCACGACTGTTTGTGGGACACTGCTGTGCGCAATTGGCTGCCACGTTTTGCCCACAAATATACAATCAATTCACATTACAGTATATTCTGTGAAGTGCTTTGAGACATCTAGAAGACGTGAAAAGCGCTATATCAAATGCAAGGATTATTAATAATATTGAAATAGAATATTTACAGTGGAACTTCTACCTGCCATATTAGAGAGGACCTTCCTCTGCACCAAAAAAGTCCACGAGATAATTTCAAGTGGAGAATGAAGTGCTACTGTATGAAATCAAGGCATTGATTGTACTTAATGTAGTTTTACTTCCAGCTACCCTATTACATATTAAAATAATGTCAAATATCTAAACTCAACATTTTGAAACTTGTGTTTTATATTTTAACAGGCTTTCAACTGGCTGTTGTGCAACGTCATTCAGACAATTGCTCTCCATGATATTCTTTGGCATTTTGTGGCATCACTAACTCCTGCTCCCATGGAATTTGAAGATGAAGAAATCGATGATAACAAAGTGAACAAAGAAAATATAGAACCGGTTAGTGAATTGCTGTTGTCTGATGCAACATCTTGCTTGTCATAAGATAAATCATTACTCTGTGTGAATGTCTGATCTGTGCAAGGTTTTCCTGAACGATCATTTTCAAAAGTCTAAGATAACCAATCCCAGGGCAGAATAAGAAATTAAGTAAATTCTCTCCATCATTATATGTAACATTTCTCAAAAGCATTGAATTTTGCAATCATGTAGAGGAACAATCTTGAAGATTTCAAATGATACACCAATATGGTACTTATAGAAAATATACCAGAAGTTGATAATAAACAGCCTTCACGGATCCATCTTACAGTGGTAACTAGTCAAATGGCTGTTATCCAGTTGTACCAACATTTATTTCAATTACCAAGTGAATACATTATTTTTTTGGTAGTAATAACTGTGCTGGAGAAACTTAAGTTTGTGGAGTCCTGTAGCTCAGTGGTTAGAGCACTCGCTTTGCAAGTGAGAGACCTGAGTTCAATTCCAGGCAGAGGGCGAAACCTTGGGCAAGTTTCCTTACTCCACACGCCTAATAATAATCCCTCCAAAACCAAAAACAATAATAAATTGGTCATTTTCAATCTATGACTGTTTGTGGGACATTGCTGTACGCAATTGGCTGCTGCGTTCCCCCACAAATATACAGTCAATTCACTTTACAGTGTGTTGTGTGAAGCGCTTTGGGACGTCCTACCGACATGAAAAGCGCTATATCAAATGCAAGGATTATTATTATTATTAAGTTAAATGGCACACTACTCTTGTGAACTCACCTGTTAGCTCACACAAAATGCTATGGCTGCATTAATAATGTCATGAAGTACTTTTGTGGCATCAGGAACTCTAGTATATTGTAGGGGGGTTTTATTTTGTGTTTGTGCAGAATCTTTCTGAAATATTTAAGCAGTAACACTTAATAATTTTTGTTGTGCATGTGGTCCTGCTCGTGAAGTCTCAACCTTAACCTTCAGGCACATTTTTTCCTGTAATGGTGGTGATGCTGTTCTCATATTGTAATCCATGCCTTGCCAGAGTGAAACAACCAAATTGAGATTATTTATTGTGGCAGCACAGAAAATGTGGCTATGGCTGCCAGACAGTAATTACTTTATGTCCCTCAGCACACATCCTGAAGGTGAAAGAATAATACTTTTTGTTATTTATGTAGGAGTTGGTCTTATTTTGAGGTCATCCAACCTCTTGAAAGGATATTTTTTGTTGGTGTTCCAAAGCTGAAAAGGCTGAGATTGGAAGTTAGTTTGGGGCCAAGGTAGAAATAGCTCAGTACATTAAACCTGTTAGTCTGAACAAGGATGTGAAGGTCAATACAAGTATAATCTTAAACCATGCTGCTATGTGAAAGTTTTTGACTATTTTATTTATCTAACCCAGGAAAAAGACACTGGAGTCTGTGAGCACCCTTTGTCGGATATTGTGATTGCAGGAGAAGCAGCTCATCCTCTACCTCAGACTTTCCATCGCCTGCTGCAAACTATCTCAGACCTGATGATGTCACTCCCAAGTGGCAGCTCACTGCAGCAGATGGCATTACGGTAAGTTACCGGTTTGTGTTATTATCTGTGGAAAAATAAAATACCATCCATAAGGAGGATGTGTGATTCATATAACATTTTATCTTGTATTTGATTTTGCAAACGGAAGAGGAAGTACTGAATTAAGTACTGAATAAGTGATTAATTCAGAAGCATCTCACAACTTTATCTGCATAAAATGTTCTGATCTTTTGTGCTTCTGTTCTGTCTTCCTCTCCCTTATTTTGTTCCACCCATATCCAAGCATGCACAGAGCAAAATGGGAAGTGGTTTACCGTTTTATTAAATATGTTCACAAATCATGCAGAATTTTTTAATTTATGTGTACATCAAACTCGGTTTATACATTGGGACTCCAGATTCCATGTGCTATTAGTGAAATATGAAACCAATATAGAACCCAGTATTGGAAAAGAATACTATGTATAGAGGCACTGGATACAATTAAATGCATTACAAAACTGCTTCAACCTGAAGATGTACCATCAGGCTTCCTGTTTGTCAAATACTGTACTGGATGGATTTTCTCTTTGTCCCCCCCCCCCTCCCCCCACACACCCTCCAGTATGGCAGATGCCTAAAAAAAATGGTTATCTATTAATATGTATTGTTTTCACATCTAGATGCTGGAGTCTGAAATTTAAACAGTCTGATCATCAGTTTCTTCATCAGAGCAATGTTTTTCATCACATTAATAACATTCTTTCCAAGTCTGATGATGGGGACAGTGAAGAAAGCTTCAACATTAGCGTGCAGTCTGGTTATGAAGTCTTGAACCAGGTAGAACACATCTTTGCTTTTAGACAAGAACATTATTGTGTTTCAAAAACAGAAATTGTAAAAATGAGTGGTAATGATTTTTATTGTTTGGGGAAGTGAACCATAGGCCACTGCGTTTAAGAAATTGGCATTCAAGTAAAGTGGTAGAAGCAGGTCCATGGTGCATTTCAAGAGGAAAGTAGATTGGTATATGAAAAAAAGGGCTTGAATGGGCATGGGGTAGGGCAGTAGATTAAATGGACAACCTGCTTTGAGATACAAGGATCATGTCAAACTTACATAAGCAAAATGTTGAATGCATTGACAATTTTTATTTTATCATATTACATGATCAATGTTTTTATTTTTTTGTGGGTTTTTATCTCCACAGCAGGAACTAGGTATTGTAACCTGTTTGAAAGACCTTACTGGGATTTTAGATATTAAGACATCAAGTAGACCAGCCATGATTGGTAGTTTGACGGATGGATCCACTGAAACCTTCTGGGAGTCAGGAGATGAAGACAAAAATAAAACCAAGAGCATAACCATAAATTGTGTCAAAGGAATCTGTGCTCGTTATGTGTTTGTTCATGTGGACAACTCTAGAGACTTGGGGGTAAGAACTAGAAATTTAACAACAATGCATTTCAACAGAATGATTATACAAGTAATATTGGGTGCTTTTTGGAGTTACTTAGTCAGTTTCTGGAACTATAGCGCAGTTAGAACTTTTTAAACAGTTATTAATTAACTTTAAAGAACTGCAATACTACTGTTACTACCGGGTGAAGAGTGCTATATATATGCAAATTGTTCTTGATATTGTTTTTGGTCAACAGTCGAACTTCCACAGTAGAATAATTCCATACGTAATTCCTGTACTGGATTGTTTAACTGACCTGAAATCAATAAATTTAAAATTAATTTGGTTCGGAATCATTTTGTACAACATGCCCCAGTCAAAGTCTTTATAACAATACAAGAATGAGGTTAGACACCAGAGGATGAGGATTCGACTGCAAAAGCTGAACCTGTTTCCACTGGAAACGATGATTTTAATGACATTTTTTCAGATCCTAATGCATATAGATAAGGACTCCATTTATATGGCTGATATATGATGACGATAAAGGTTTAATCACCAGCTCAGAAAAATTTTAAAAAAGTTTAAATTTAGTCACTTTACTCAGAACAGGGGTCTGAATGTCGAAAGCAATTTTCACGGGAAATCTATGGAGCTGGATATAGTTGACAATTTAAAAAAGGAATTAGATACATTTATGAAGCTAACTTTTTGAAGAGGGTTAGAATTAGATAGAGAACAATCATACTTAGGAAATGCCACTGGTCTTATACATTCCTTTGTTTGCAGGAATAAAATATCATAAGATAGATCTGAAGGACATTCATGTTTTTCTCAATTCTTGACTTACCTGAAAGATACTGGGGACAAATTAAGCTCACATGAGACAGCAACAACAAGAAGATTATATTTGTACAGCGCCTTTCATGTCGGGAGGACATCCCAAGGCACTGGACAGAGTACAACATTTCAGACTTATGTAAGATTTAAAGAAAAGTTTCTCAAATGATCCCTGAACTTTATTTTCCTTTTTTTAAAAATAATATAGAATAAGGTTTCTTCAATGACCTTCTTCTCTGGAAAAACAACAGAAGATTTAAGTAGAATTAAACAGGTAGGAGTTTTAAGAAACTGATTCTGAATGTTTTTTTTAAATATTTAGTAAATTTTGGACAGATTTGTCATTTTAAAGTTTGCTGCTTTACAGTTTATACAATTTTCCGAAATGTCACTTTACATTCGTAAATCAGAAGATTGAGATTGTTTCTTTGCTATTCAATTTATGTCTGATACACCTGCTAAATACTGATTAATTGCTTTCGTAACTAATATGAAGCAAGCCATTTTCATGAACGAAAAAATCCATGTGTGTGTATTGTATAAAATGGCTATCATCCAAGACCCTGAGATCCACAAGACCTATGTTTTCAATTTCTTCCCTGTTGTTTTCAAAGTTACAAAAACATTTTTTTTAAACTCTGTGTAGGAGATGCTTACAATTTCACTTTTCAACCTTTATCACTGCAAACTCATTGATGGTTGGTGCTGATCTCGTAATGGGATGAGTTCCAAGCTTCCACTTTTTCACCTGACTTCTATAACACTAATTTTATACTTACAGAGTCTGTCCGTAAACTAAACTTGTTTTAGTAATATGCATGGATCTACTTTTTCTTCTCCCTTATCACCCTGTTCTCAGACTGACATGGATTCCAGACATATGGGATGGGTAACCAGCGAGCTTCCTGGAGGAGACAATTATATTATTAAAATTGAGCTCAAAGGCCCTGAGAATACATTGCGAGTACGGCAAGTCAAAGTTCTTGGATGGAGGGAAAATGAAAGCATCAAAATTGGTGAAGAAATTTCAGCAAGTGTAGCTCAACAGAAGAATTGTGAAGCAGAGACCCTAAGAGTTTTTAGACTTATTACCTCACAGGTACATCCATTTTATTAAATACATTAGTTTTGTCTTGGAAGTGCTAACTTTCAATAATTGCTTTCAAGATGCACGTGTTGTGTTATTGTGCAACATTTAAAGGGCAGGCTCTTGAGTATATCAGAAATGTATGGTATTTTAAAATAATTAAATAAAGAAAACCATGCATTTCTGCAGGTAAATTGTAAATGCATCAATTACTCGGCCTGTGCATGTTGCTGAAAAAATCCTTTCCAGATAGGTTTCCAAGGAAGGAAACTAAATTAGTATTGTTTGAATCTGCATAAACATTTATTACTGCTTATGATATGAGCGTTTTACTCAGTTTTATAATCACAAATTAACTTTTTTGCTTTTCCAATGTTTATTTGGTTTTATTTTGCATTACTTTGTTTAGTTAATACAACTTGGCTTCAGTGGAGTATGAACACCAGGATGGACTAGATGGGCCGAATGGCTTAATTCCATTTTATGTAACTCTATGTAACATTTTGATGTGTAGCTAACTTTATATAACTTCTCTAGGTGTTTGGGAAACTAATTTCTGGTGATGCAGAGCCGACACCTGAACAAGAAGATAAGACTATTTTGTCTTCACCTGAAGGAGAAGAAAAGGTATGAATATTATGATATTGGAAGCTTCTTTGCAGATAAATACAACTCCCAGTTTGTGGATATCAGGAATCAAACACTAATGATCCATTTAATAACTAGTTCCTACTTTTTATTTCATGATGCACTACATAGATAATGGCTAAAACATTTTATTCAAGATTCTTTTAACAATAAATATGGGTTTGCAGAACTTTAAACTGGTTTTACATATGTTTAATGCTATGCAAAACATCTTGCAGTTATTATAAGTGAGTCTTCTGATCCAATTAATCTGCACATCAACTTACTAGATTTAATCTTTTGATAAAAGGCACCATCAGATGCAGATTTGAAAGAACATATGGTTGGAATCATATTTAGCAGAAGCAAGCTAACCAATCTCCAGAAACAGGTTAGTTCTATATACGAGTGTCAAAAATGTCTTCTACTAATTAATATGTTGTTATAATTCCTGTTTTTCATGTGAATTTCCTGTAAATCAAAACAAAAGAGCCCTTGTTTGCTAAATTGATTAAACTATTTCGCAAGTTTAAAGACCAATGAATCAATCTTTGAAATAATGTACAGAAATTTTTATAATGTATAAGCCACTTGGCTTAGGAAGTCCCTATACACAAAATTGGATAAATAAACCTAATTTAATCCCCCCGCCGTCCCTCTCTTCTGAACCGCACACACCAGATTTGGACGAGATTTATCTGCGAAGTTATAGTCTATCACTTGTGGCATAAGTGCAATCTGGTCAATGTTACACTTCAAAAATACTTTTTCCCTCTTCAGATACTATCCAGGCTGCAAATTGATTTATTTAGAACAATCCATTTATGCTGCTGGTGTTTTAATTCACGTTACTTAACAGCATATGTTTTTAAGTAGCTTTTTACTCTTCATATAATTTTCAATTGCAATACCTCCTTTGGAAACTGATACTTGTATAAGTATTTTTAAATTTAAAAAAAAACTCTTGATTCGGCTTATGAGACCTGCTGTGCTTTTTTTTAAAAAGGTCTGTGCTCATATAGTTCAAGCCATACGAATGGAGGCCACCCGTGTGCGAGAGGAATGGGAACATGCCATCTCCAGCAAGGAGAATGCCAATTCTCAGCCAAACGATGAGGATGCCTCCTCAGATGCTTACTGTTTTGAGCTGCTCTCAATGGTTCTTGCTTTGAGTGGTTCCAATGTGGGAAGGCAGTACTTGGCCCAACAGCTCACTTTACTGCAAGACCTTTTTTCTTTACTGCATACAGCTTCTCCCAGAGTGCAAAGACAGGTCAGTAATCAATGTTAATTTTCTTGGTTAAAACATTGCACAATACCTGTACCATTAAACATATTGTTTTGAATATGGATCTGAAAGATAATCCCTATTACTGATACTTGTGGTTCTTAAATAAAGCTTTCTTCATGTAAGCAGTAATGGGATATTTGTTTATGAACTTAGGAATCAGGGTTAAAAATTGCCCAAGTGGAGTACATGTACTGACCATGGCTGGAATAGAGGAAATTTCTCAGCGATGAAATTTCACTAGTTGGTCTTAGTTTCTTATTCCATCCCAAAGCAAATTTCTTATTATATTTGCCTCAGTTTTTGCTGAATAAAATAGAATAATACATTAGAACCACAAAATAAATTTTCAAAAGAAGTGGGCATCTAAAAACTTACCCCATGGTATTTGCAGCATTTTCTCTCTTACTCACTTCCCCAAACAGAGAAACAAGTGAACATTGTTAATTTGAATTTATCTCAACCTTTGATCCATTATTACCTATAAAATGTCCAATAGATGTAATCAATATATGTGAGTAAATCTAACTGCAATACCTGAATTAACAACCAGTTTCATAAAGGTTTAGTTGTTGAGTGTAATGTGCTGTGATAGCATATTTATTTATGTGATATTTCTAATGAACCTTTTATGTCAAACTTATATCATTGTAAATTCTTGATTGCAGGTAACATCGTTGCTCCGCCGTGTGTTGCCGGAAGTAACACCAGTACGTCTTGCTAGTATAATAGGTGTGAAGTCTCTTCCACCAGCGGACATCAGTGATATCATTCATTCCACAGAGAAAGGAGATTGGAGTAAATTAGGAATTCTGGACATGTTCCTGGGATGCATTGCCAAAGGACTCACTGTACAGTTAAAAGCCAAAGGCAGTAGTTTCCCTGGTACAGCTGCTGGGAAAGGGGTGACCACAGTTACGTTACCTTCAGTTTTCAACTCTGGGTAAGAATGACTGATTAAATTGATATCAGGTGTTTACTGTTTTGAGCTGCTCTCAATGGTTCTCAGAAGAGCTACAAAATGGTGTAGATTTTTTTCAAGAATGTCTGTGATATAACTTCATATGCATCCTGTCTAATGGAAGAAAAGTTACTCTGGTGGCTGCAACCAATAAATATGCAGATAGAAATGATTGGAGTTTATGGAACAAAAGGTAGATGAAGCCTTACCCTTCTGTTACACATTGTGCTTGTGCATTGTAATTTAGAAGCCTTGTAGAATAATCAAGGGTAACCTTGTATGCTCTTGACAAAAGAACTGTGATGAGGAATGGCACTGCATCAAATGAAAGTAGTCCAAGGTTGTTAGAAGGGATCTGCACAAGTACAGTGGGTTGAATTGGAAAAATCTTAAAATGAGCAGACTGTGACTGCTGTATCAATGCTGGTTTAATTGTCAAACAACGAATATGGAGAAAAAAAAACATAATTTTTAAATAATGTATTATTTCAGTATATAAATAAGGATTATTTCAGTTTTAGTGAGTAATCTGCTTCTCACTCTTTTTTCCAAAGCTGAATACGTATTATTCCACTGTTGTGATGACTGTGAAGGATTTAAAGTAACTTGTTTGTATTGATTCTTAACTATTTTTGAACGTCAGTGAAATGTTAAAGAAGGGCTGTCTTAATGATTTATCTATTCACAGCTCTATTCGCCGAGGTGAAAGTCACTGGTGGATGAAAGGTTCCACACCCCCGCAAATTTCAGAAATAATCATTAAACTAATAAAGGACATGGCAGCAGTAAGTAACTATGATCTACCAATATTGCATATTTAAAAGAAATGCCTACAATGAGCAGCATTATCCATGTAATAACATAGTTGTTATAACATAACATAATAACATAGTTAAATATGATAAACATGATACTGGGAAAGTAACTACTGGATATACATTTGTGACTTGATAAACTGTTTTTGTTATACTCTATTCCCAAATCACAATTAGCTTCCTGAGAGTCTTTCCATCATTTCATATCAGGGTAACTTGCAAAATGTAATTTTATATGTTTTGAAACGTTTTTTATAGGGACACTTATCGGAAGCCTGGTCTCGTGTCACAAAGAATGCTATTGCCGAAACAATTATTGCCCTAACAAAAATGGAAGAAGAATACAGAGTACCTGTCCATTGTATTGCAACAACCAGGGTAATAAGTTATACTCCATTTTGTTTTAAACTAACTAATCATTTAACAAAAGTATTTAGGAGTGCTTTAATAAAATCCTAAGTCTCATCTAGTTCTACGTTTTCTTCCTCAGTTATGGCTAGCACTAGCTTCACTGTGTGTCCTGGACCAAGACCATGTTGATAGACTTTCCTCTGGGAGATGGATGGGGAAGGATGGCCAGCAAAAGCAAATGGTAAGGAATTATCATTGTTACTGTAGAAATTTGGTAGGACACTATAATAAGAATCTTAACGAGATTAGCTTGAAACCTGTTCTGTAACATGGTCATACACGATCTATCAGAACTATGAGAAAATTGTACCCTAGTTAAAGAACTTCACCTCTAATTTGTCAATTGACACATTACAAACAGAATTTGAATTTTTTTTATTAGCCAATGTGCGACAACCACGATGACGGTGAAACCCCAGCTATCATCCACTGCAATGTGTGTGGGAATCTCTGCACAGACTGTGACCGGTTCCTCCATCTTCACAGGAGGACAAGATCACATCAAAGACAGGTGGGGTTCAAAAGTTAACAGAGAATGTATATTCATAGCGTTAGTTATGCTCTAGAGAAGCTTTTGAAGTAATATTTTATATTTGGTAGAAAGCTAGAATATTTCAGAATATGGCGATCTGAAATATCCCTGAACTGCAGCAATATATTTGCACATTTGTACAAATGTCTATTGTTACTATGTGTCCATTGTTAAATTGTGACAAGTTGGCAAATATTGTCACAGATTCTTGTAAAATATTTTAGAGCAAGTGGGCAGCAGTGTTGAAATAATTAGTACTAATTAGCAAAATACATAATAAGAATTGATGTGAATATATTTATTGTATATTAATATATCCAACACCCAGTTTGGGTGCAAACTGTCTAGCATCTTGGGACGTCCTTCCGATGTGAAAGGTGCCATTTAAATGTAATTTGTTGTTGTTTATGACAATTATTGCTCTAAGGGGGCTAATTGCCCCAGTCTAAATAGTTCCCACAGAAGCTTTCTAAATATGACTGGCTGTCTGTTTCAACAGCCCATTTGAAAATCTTTTATTGAATTTCTTCTTGAAAATGGCAGGTATTTAAGGAAGAGGAGGAAGCAATTAAAGTGGATCTTCATGAAGGGTGTGGAAGAACCAAGCTTTTCTGGCTTATGGCACTAGCGGATTCAAAAACCATGAAGGCAATGGTAGAGTTCAGAGAACACACAGGTGAGACTTTGAAACCTGAAAAATGTCTTTTAAACAGCTTGAAACATTTTAGCTAATTTAGTAATGCCCTTCTCAATGTCACAATCTGAAACTGATGGAGGATATGTAGAAAATGGATTTTGAGGAGGAACCTTATTCAAGATGCTGTTCCCAAGAGCTATGCTGTCTAGTAGCACCTCCAATCTGATAAATAATCCTTGCATTTGATTATAGCGCTTTTCATGTCTTCTAGACGTCTCAAAGCGCTTCACAGAATAGGAGAATAGGGGACCTCTGGGGATATTCTGCCCGCCTTCCTTTCTGGACTTTATGTTATCTTCTTGAAGCATTCTCCTACACCATTCACATTTAAAACGTCTCAATAATGTGATAAGGTGCTATGTTAAATGCAAGGATTATTACTTTTACAATGTATGTTTTTCTCATTGCCTGAAGGAATCTGTGGATGTCCTAGACCTGTTAGACCAGGATGCAAATGGTCAGAATCTGGATTAAATTGGGAGGGTGGGTTGGTACTTGCAGATTTACTGTGCTCTCAGCAGGAGTGAGATAAGCAAACTGTACCAAGTAAGTTAGGGCTGATTGTAAGTCTAAGCTTGAAGTAACATATAATGAGATATGTGAAACCTGCCTCTATCCATGTTGGAATTCTATGGACAGAAAAAAATGGTAGTGGGAGTAGTGACAATCGTTTAAATTTAAAGGGGCCGCATTCTTATTAGTCAATATCCAAAATGCATGAGGGGATTATATTGCTTTCAACGATGAAGAAAGACTATATGTATGGAGAGTAATTAATATTTTTTAAAGGTATGAATGGGCAAAAGAAAAAAAGCTATGCTGTTGCAATGTATTTTTATAAAAAATCCAATTCAATGTACAGTAGCTTATTTTCCATTTGCAGGCAAGCCTGCTTCAAGCAGCTCTGAAGCATGTCGCTTCTGCAGATCAAGAAATGGAACTGAGTTGTCTGCAGTGGGCAGTGTCTGCTCTGACGTAGACTGCCAGGTGTGTTAAAACATACAATCATAGAATTTCTCAGCATAGGAGGAAGCTATTCAGCCGACCGTTCTTGTGCCACTTTCCTGCCTTTTCACCTATGGCTTTTTTATTTTATTTTCCAGATGTTTGTCTTAATTCCATTTTAAAAGTATTGTGGATTCTACACCAACTACCCATTTCCATACTCTAATAATCCTAATCATTTGTAAAAAAAAATGTAATAACACAATTTCTTTTGTCCTTTTTTGTATAATTGAGGCATTTTGAATTTTTTTTAATATTTCATTCTATTTCCATCATCTGCTTGACCTCACCTCTGGTCCTAAAATAGCCAGTGTTAATCCTAGGCCACTAACTCAGAGAATACGACTGGAGCAGGTTGCCAGGAACAGTGATTGAGACCAAGACTTTAAAAAGCAGCTTGATGCTATGATGGGAGGAGGGAGGTTGAGTGTTCTGGCAGTATGAGATTGGATGGGCTGTAGGGCCTTCTTCATCCAAACCAATCTTGTGTGATATGTACCTCGTCACATGAGGGTAGAAGATAATCATCCAGGCTCTTTCCTCTGAAGTCCCCCTCTCAGTCTGTGTGATTATACAGTTCCACTTATATTGTCAGTGCTCTTGTACCTCGTCCATATGAATGATGTGCTGGTGAATCGAGTGAGTAAATGGTGGCACATTGATATCAGAGTTGAGTTTAATTATTTTCTTATCTGACTTCCATACCTGCAATTGTCATTAGAGGGCATTCAAGAGCAAGAACCCTGTCTTATTTCCTCCTTTCTTCAATTTCTCTTAGTCCACAGAAATTAAGACTAATTGCAATGCTCAGGCCCACCATAACTGACACAATGTAACTTTCCACTGACCAGGGATTAAATCTAAATTGATCTTAATCTGTATGTAATATTTTTCCATCTGGGCTTTCATGGAATTCCTTAATGGAATCTGAAACAATCTGATCTCAAATACATAGGAATCAAACAACATAGTGTTGATGCATGATATTATTTATATACCTTGTTTAATGTTCAGTTTTGCTAATTAATGTTTGTCTCTGTGGCACTGAATTTATCTTTTTAATTGAAATAAAGGAGTATTCTAAAACCGCCTGCAGTAGAACTCATTGCTGTGGTCATCCGTGCGGTGGAGTTAAAGGCGAGGATCACTGTTTACCTTGCTTACATGGCTGTGACAAGAATGCAACATGTCTTAAGCAAGATGCTGATGATATGTGCATGATCTGCTTTACTGAGGCACTTTCAGCAGCTCCTGCTGTCCAGGTAACTGAGCTCCTTTACAGGATAAATGTGTATATTTGGTTCATGTTAGTCGGGAGTTCAATGATCTAAGGAATTTAGTGAACTTAAAAGGAAGACGGTACACTGATATGTTTTAAAAAGTTTTTTATGAATTATTTTAACTAATGTGGTCAAATTTGCCCATTTTTCTTTTTAAAATGTTTCTTTAAAAATACATTTGATTGTGTGGCTATCACATTTGATTCAATTAAGACTACCATTTCTGAAGCAATTCCAGTTTCATTTTCTATTCACCTATTGTCTGACTCGTGTAACCTTGTGACATATTTTATATCTTCACATTCTACTTCGACATATGGCATAGGGTCACTCTCACAGGCTTGACTGTAACTAACCAAGGGGCGGAGCTCCAGGAATCATTGGAGTGGAGTCATGGTACATTGCCTATAAGAGTATTAAAATCACATTTTAGAAATCTTCATCGGTTTCTATATATACTTTTTCATTTGGGTGTATTGATACAAGCAGAAACCCATTACCATATTTGAGTGTCCAAGACGATCTAAGAGTTCTACGTATGCATGCCACCTATATATGGATAGTTCCCTTCCTCTGGAATGGAATGTGCACTCTCTCCCTTGCTTACCTAATTTTGAAAAGTATTAGGAACAAGGTGGCAGGAGCTATGGCTATAAAATATTCATGTAATCCTTACTCAATCACCTATTTTACTGGATGTTTTAAGAATCTGACTAATTACATTTCCTAAAGTAATGATGACTGATCCATGTGTCTCTTTTCTCTCCTCAAAGTTGGACTGTAGTCATGTTTTCCATCTACATTGCTGTAGACGAGTTCTGGAAAATCAGTGGCTTGGTCCAAGAATAACTTTTGGATTTATGTCATGTCCCATATGCAAGGTGAGCAGCTTCAAATTATTGTTTAAGACACTCTTGATTGATTCATTTATTAGTTAATTTATTGCCATGTTTACATGCAATATTTTCTCTGTTTTCAGAACAAAATAAATCATCCAGTATTAAAAGACCTACTTGATCCTATTAAAGAACTGTATGAAGATGTCAGGAGAAAAGCTCTTATGAGGTTAGAATATGAAGGATTACACAAGAGTGAAGCCATCACTACGCCAGGAGTCCGCTTTTACAATGACCCTACTGGTTTTGCAATGAACAGATATGCTTACTATGTCTGCTACAAATGTAAAAAGGTAGGCATAATAAATAAAATAAATTATATTGAATTCACAGATTTTGGCACTTTTAGCAGTAATTGAAGTTCAGCACCAGAATGAATGAACTTCTGATTTTGCTCGGCTGAGATTTGAATCAATGGAGTGGAGTCCTGTAGCTCAGTGGTCAGAGCACTCGCCTCACAAGCGAGTGACCTGGGTTTGATTCCCGGTAGGGTGAAACGTTGGGCAAGTTTCCTTACTCCACGCGCCTCTGTTTACCTAGCAGTGAGTAGGAACCCAGTTGTTAGTCAATTGGCATATCGTTTTTCTGGGAGTAATAATTCCTTCAAAAATAATAAATTGGTCACTCAATCCACGAATGTTTGTGGGTCACTGCTGTGTGGCTGCTGCATTTCGCCCACAAAATATACAGTCAATTCACTTTACAGTATATTCTGTGAAGCATTGTGAAATGTCTCAAATATGCAATAAGGCGCTATATCAAATGCAAGGGTTATATTATAATCGTGACAAACCTGTTTGTGTTAATACTGTTAGAACAGGAAATAATATGACAAACATATCCAAATTTAGGACTTCACACAATCCGTTAGGTGTCCTACATTATTCTAAACTAGTACATTTCTCTATTGTGAGCGAGGTATAATTGACACACTGTGAACTTTTAGTTTTATTTAAATTAGTAATATTTAGTATATAGTGATTGGGAATCACATATGGCATGTTTGCCATGAAAAGTTGACATTTAGTGATAACCTTTTGCTCCTTTACTTGTAAATTGTAATAGAAATTGCATTGTGGGGTAGGAGCAGAAAAAGAAATCACGAAGTGAAACTGATGCTGCCCTTATCATTTTGGTCAGGTGATCTTTTACACCATTATATTGCAGCCTCATTCCAAACTCCACTCCTAATTAGTTGTGGCTCATTGGGGGCAGTAGCTGTCTTTATTTTTGAGGAGGAATTGTATCACTGGTTTAAATCTTTTATACCTAAGGCAAAGTTCTATTTTAAATTTCCAAAAGTTTGTCAACTCTGTTTTTTTGCTTGTTTAGGCAAGACTGCAGAAACTATCTCATCAGTATGAACAGAATGGGAAAAACAAATCTTAAAGAATTTCAGTCAACGTTCTGCACCTGTAGCTTGTAAATACAACCTATAAACACTGAGGTTTCATGAAATTCTACAAGTGAAACTGTCATCCTCAAAATTAGCTATCTTTTGAATAGGGTGGGGAGGGGACACATTTTATATCTTGAGTATATTGCTTAGAGTATCTTTAGATTCTTAAAAAATCACTTGCTTAAATGACTTTCTCTAATATTGATCATGTAAAAATGATTTGTGATCCCAGACGTTTTATTTGCGCCATTGCAGTTGAACAGAATCTATTCTTGTTTATCATCTTTCAGGCTTATTTTGGAGGTGAAGCACGATGTGATGCTGAAGCAGGCCAGGGTGATCAGTATGACCCTAGGGAATTGATCTGTGGTGCCTGCTCAGATATCTCTCGAGCACAGGTATTCAATTAACTCTGTTGAACCATTTACTATAAAAAACTTGTTGGATGTATTTGATCACAATTAGATTGTTTTGAAAGTGCATTCACATGAACTTCATAATATTTAAATTTTCCTCAACAGATGTGCCCCAAGCATGGTACAGACTTCCTGGAGTATAAGTGCCGGTACTGTTGCTCTGTAGCAGTGTTCTTTTGCTTTGGAACAACACACTTCTGTAATGCTTGCCATGACGACTTTCAGAGAATGACGAGTATCCCTAAAGAAGAACTCCCCCATTGTCCCGCAGGTAGGACTTCTTTCCAATTCCTGCACTGAGTTGGTTTAAGACATCATGAACTATTTTCTGTGAAAGTGAAACAGCTCCTTTATCTCATGCCATGCACACATATCTCTTGTCAGTTTCTTCCCCTCTTGTCATGAAGGAGTTTTGATTCTTATTTTTCCAAGTGTGTGCTCACCCTCTGGTAACTCGCCCAAGTGGACATTTTTAGCAGTGAGTGTCACCCAACTTGTGATCAAACCTGGAACCTCCAGCTTGTATGTCTCAGCTACTCACTGAATAAAGCTGCTGAACCATCTGAGGAACTAACTAAAAGATAAATCAATGTATATACTCTCATGTTCTCCACAAACAGCATACAGCACTTATATATTAGCGCCCTCCACACAGGGTAGAGTCTCAGAGCACTTAACAGTGGTGGAGTCTGACTCTGAGCCCGGGGAGGGGTGAGGTGGCCGTAACCACGGTCAAAGAGGAAGGTTTTCAGGCGGAACTTGAAAGAGTGGAGAGAGGGGGCAAGGTGGAGGGATTGAGGGAGAGGGTTCCAGAATTTTGGGGGGTATTGGCTGAAAGCACGACCTCCAGTGGTGGGGCGGATGGTGCGAGGGACTAGCAGGAGGCCGGTGCCAGTCGAGCGGAGGTGCCAGGTTATGAATTGAGGAGTGAAGAGGGTGGATAGGTACGGAGGTGCCAGGGAGTGAATGGAACAGTGCTTATAATGAACACCCTTCATTATAAGCACTGTCTTGCTTATGAGGTGAATAAGTAATGGATCCTAAAAATCAGTGATGTTAAAGCATGAAAATCCTGTTCGGTGGCATATTGCAAGAGTGTACAACCCAACAATCTTACACTATAATGCAAGGCTGACAAAATCCCATTAACATCAGTTGTTATAAACCTGGAAAAGTACCAATTGAGCAGAGAAGTACTTCGTGAGAGCTGCTGGCCAGTTTATGCACAGTACACACTAGTGATATTACCAGTCATGTTGCAAACCTGAAAGTGCTGAGAGTTCTTTAGCATCTTCACTTATAAGGCTGGTTGGAATTTTCTAGACACATTCTTCGTCTCTTTGTAGGGTTCTCCGGTGTGTGTGTGTGAGTATATGTATATATATATATATGTATGCAGATAGGTTCATTCCTAAAATGTTTATTAATATATTGTATGATTCAGAAATGTATTTCATCTGTTCTACAGGACCAAAAGGAAAACAGCTGGAGGGAACAGAGTGTCCTCTTCATGTTGTGCACCCAGCCACTGGTGAAGAATTTGCTTTGGGTTGTGGTGTATGCAGAAATGCTCACACATTCTAAACACTCGGCAGAGAAGGAACTACTTCAGACCTTTCACCCTCAGTTTCTGAACTGAAGACAGAAAATTGGGGTGGCTCACTGTATCATTTGAGTGAAAGAACAACTTTGTGCACAAAAATGAACTGTTTTTTGTGTACGTAATTCTTGCTGTAAATGATTCAAGTTTTCCAAAAGGCTTTAAACTTGTGAAGTGTTTGCATGCTGCCGTTATAGTCCTCGGCTGTGAAGCATCATACCTACATGGTACCAAATAGAAGGCAACGCTTTTTTCAAAAGCACTAAGGATTTGTGGACAAGGGCAGTAATGACAGCTTCCAAATGACACATTTGAAAAATTGATATATGTACACTGACTACTTTTTTGGTAACCCTGTACAGTACTCTTGGAATTGTAATGACGTCACGGGTGGAAAGTATGTTCTGGTTCATTTGATAGACTGTTGAGGATGTGTTAGGGCTTGTAGTGTATGAATATCATAATGTATATATGGTATCAATGTTAGGTGTATTACAAAGTTGCTACATTACACTGCGGTTTTCATTCAAACTTCTAGGGTTACGTTTGAGCCTGAAATTTTAATGAAGTGCAATACTGGGTGTGCCTCCTATTTTGCAGCTGTAAACATATGGAATGTATATGTCAATAAAACCGCTGTACATTTTTATACAGTGAAAATCTGTTGTGTGAATGGGAACTCATTCAGTCACATAACCTATATCTGAACCTCGAGAAGCATGTGGGACATATTTAGGGTTTTTATTAAAAAAATGAACAGTTATTAATCTAACAAGAGTACACTGTACTGATACTGTGCTCATTTCTATGATGCCAGTGCAAATAATTCCCAACAGTTGCCTTGGATGTCTCAAGGGCGCTGTCGCTCCTGTTGTACACAACAGCCTTTATAACTCAAAACATCATCCATCTTTGCGACAGAAAGGCAGGCTTAGTCTGTCCGTGCTATAATTCATTTTAAGATTGTTTCTGTTCATGTTGCGATGGTTGGAATTACCATGTATTCTGTAAATGAAATACAAATCGTAAAGGTGGGACTTCTTTGCTTAGCCTATTAAAGTACTAAACTAGTGCATTGTCAATTCTGTTATCTTTACGCACCTTACATTGTTGTAATTAAAGTGGGTATCACTCTTAATAAAATCAGACCCAGTGAGGCATTATATTCATTCTTGAAAAGGAAATGTCACAGAACCTTTTAAAGCATAGGTACTGTGCAACATTGTTTACCACAGAAAAATTTACTTCTGTTTCTCACCAGTCACCCAATTTTCATAAAGACCTCACCATCTCTTTCCAAGGTGTAGATGCGTATTGTCTAACCGATGCAGACTGCCTAAATATTAAATGAAAATTCCTTAAGAGCTGTTATTTCGATTACAATTTGGCCAGTAGCTTTTGAATTCGATTTTTTTCTCAACTGGGACTGTTTATGTATTTGATGTCAAAATATTTACAATACTTTGTAAAATGCAATCAAATGATCCCCAGGAAAGAACTGTAAACAATAATGGGCCTACATAAACAGCAAGATCTATTAATGTCTGAAAAATATAATTGCTCAAGGGGGTAACCCTAAAATTCCTTAAGTTCTAATTTTGCTTCTTTTAAAACTCCACAAATATGGAGCTGAAACTTTTACACATGATGTATACTTCACAATAAAATCCCGTGAAGTGCTTTGAGACATTTCAATGTCCTGATAATGCACTACACCAAATGTAAGGTTTGTTATTCATAAAAAAAATGTAAGGAGTACGCTTTGAAACCAACAACTTGAATTTATATAGCAACCTTCACACGGGGCAACGTCTGAGCACAACACCAATCCGGGGGAGGAGAAGGTGACCGTAAGAACGGTCAAAGAGGAAGGTCATCAGTCGTGATCTAAAAGATGGGATGGAGGGGGCAAGGTGGAGGGCAGAGTAAACAACATGTTGAAAAATGACATTAGAAAGATACTAACTACTTGTAATTAACTATAATTCACAATAATCATGATTTTATTGTTAAATATTGTAGCATTTTTATTTTTTGAAAGATTCTTTTGGTTAGTTGATCTGTTTTGATTGATGAAGCTGCATCAGTATTGAATTGTGTGCACAGCCTCAATTTTACTTCAAACCCGCAGGTGCAGGTTGCATGCATGGGCAAGGGTAGCTTACAGCTAATGGAGCCACCACTCAGTTGTGGGAAAACTATTCAAATTAGTAATATTTTAACTTTAATTTCACCTGAATATAATTTCTCAAGTGAATGGAGAATAGGTTACAATGAGGTTAAAGATACTGTAATATTGTTAATTGTAGCAAAATGACATTTGTATAGCACCTTTCATGTCAGGAGTACATCCCAAGATGCTGGACGGTTAGAGATCTGATCTGAACCCAAGCCGGTGGTTGGGATCAGGGAGAGTGGCCGAAGGCGCGGTCGAAGAGGAGGGTGTTGAGACGTGCCTTGGAAGGATGCAAAAGGAATGTGGGATGGCGTTCTCAAGGTTGAGGGCAGAGAGGGTACAACAACAACAAGATTGAATTTATAGAGCACCTTTCACGTCGGGAGGACGTCCCAAGGCGCTGGACAGTTGGGTCGGGACCCGAGCAGGGGGGAAATGGTCAGGGTGAGGGAAGGGAGGGAGCGAGGAGGGGGTAGAGAGTCGAGAGGGGAGCTGAAGGCACGGCTGAAGAGAAAGGTCTTGAGACCGGCCTTGAAGGAGGAAAGAGAGGAAGCAAGGCGAAGGCACTGGGGGATGGAGTTCCAGAGCCTAGGGGCTGAGAGGCTGAAGGCACGACTGCTGCTGGTGGGGCAGCCGCAGCCTGCTGAGCAGAGGGAATGGACAGGTTGATGTGGGGTTGGCAGGTCACGGAGGTAGGAAGGAGCAAGGGTGTAGAGGGCCTTGGAATGCAAGTACCAGGATTTTGAATATCTTCTGGGGGATGGGGAGCCGGGCAAGGGTGGGGGTGATGGGGTCACGGAGCCTGGTGTGGTAGAGGACACGAGCTGCTGTGTTCTGGATAGTCTGTAGCTTGTGGAGGGAACAGTTGGGATGGCCGACAAGCAGGGAGTTGGCGATGTGGAGCCTAGATGTGATGAATGCGTGGATGTACTTCATATGCATGATGTACCAATTTTATACCCATATCAAAATGCTCTGATGGATTGAGGTCCACCAAATGTCATACACGACTACCACATGATATTGAGGTATGATTGTGTACAGTTAATGCACAAGTAGAGTAACCAACATCGTAAAGGCACCTGTAACAGTGGTTTGCAAGTCTTGTTGTGTCCGACCATTTCTCAAACTCTAAACAGCTCTTTATCTGGTTAAAACAGAAGTCGCTGGGAACACTCAGCAGGTCAGGCAGCATCTATGGAGAAAGGAAAGTGAACCAATGTTTCGGTTCCACTACCCTTCGTTAAAACTGGGGCATGTTGGGAGGGAGAGGCTTTTAAGGGCTAACAGAGAGGGAGAGGTAGGGCAGGAAGACAAAAGAGAAAATGGGGCAGAGTACAGGGGATGATGGGTTAAAGAGGTATTAATGATGCACATTAAAGGGGGGGGGGTGGGGGCTGCAACAAAACGGAGAAAGAGATGTTAATAATGCAAAACAAAGGGAAGGAAAATTGTAGCAAAACAGGTAGATCAGAGAGGGAAAAGGTGTATCTGGGACCCGTGATGATGAAGTATTGATCGCAGAAGAGGGGGAGGGGGAAGGTGAGCTCTTATGGTCTGAAATTGTTGAAGTCAATATTGAGGCCAGAGGACTGTATGATCCCTAGCAGATAAATGAAGTGCTGGTCCTCGAGCTAGCTCAGTGGTTCATTGGAACATCGTCGGAGACTGTGGATGGAGAGGTCAGAGTGCGAGTGGGAGGAAGAGTTGAAGTGGCCTAAACCAGAAGCCCAAGGTTGTGCTTGCGGACAGAACAGAGGTGTTCAGCAAATCGGTCACCCAATCTGCGCTTGTTCTCCCCAATGGTATGAGACAGTGGAGGTGAAAGGGTAGGTATTGCATCATCTGCTGGCATGGGAAGGTGCCAGGGGGAGAAGAGCAATGGTTGGTGGTGATGGAGGAATGAACCAGGGAGTCACGGAGGGAACGGTCCCTTCGGAATGCTGAGAGGGGAGGGGAAGATATGTTTGGTGGTTGGATCACACTGGAGGTGCCGGAAATGGCGGAGAATTATTTGTTGGATGTTTTCCTCAACCGAGGATTCCTATCCACTGCAGTAGGCAAGGCCTTTGACCGTATCCGCCCTATTTCCCACACCTCTGCCCTCAATATTTCAAATATTCAATCTCAACAATGTGATAAGGTGCTGTATCAAAGAATTATTATTACTTACTCGTTTCTTTCTAACTTTCTCCCTTTCTCGGACTTTCTTTCTCTGACATTTGCCCTTACTGTTTTACCCTTCACTGACTCAAGAGTTTCTTTTACTTTCTCTCTTGAACCATCATTCAATGGGAAGGGACGTGTGCCCGAGCTGGAGAACGAAAGATGGTGGCAATGCTCTCATACATTTTATGCTGAGATGCGTTGCTCAATGGGAAGCTCGCAGGGCAACCTTCTACCTACCATCCACCTAATGAGGCCTCAAACCCACACTTGTCGGATGTCAAACAATCAACCAGTGATAATTCTCCTGTGGTGGTGGTGAGGGGGGTGGGGTGGAGGGAGAAGGTAAGCGGGGTCTCCTTGGAGCTGAATTGGCAATGAAATGTCAGAATCGAGCCAGTTCTCTGGCAGTCCCAGTAGTGTGGTTGCGGAGCCAGGCGGGTCCGCAGTTTTCCAGGGCAATGCTGATGACAGCACAGTCAGCAGGTGACCTGGAAGTGCAGACCAGTCACTTGGGGCAGAGAGTTATCCCACTCAGCTCCTGTTAACCCTGTAAGCCAAAGCCCTAATGGGTAGGGTGATCCTAGCTGGACAAGTAGCAGGAAAGCTTGCTGGACAGCAATATCAATGGCAAGCTATGCGTTTTTAGCTGGTTCGACTCCAGCAGTATCCCAACCATACCTCTGGGGTCCCCAAAGAATTAGGTAAGCAGGATGGGTCCCTCCTGGGAGAGAATGCATTCCATTCCATTCTTTGGGATTTCCATATGTAGGTGGGATGCATGGAAATCTCAGCTTGGTTTGGATACTCTTAAGCATTGTGATGGGTTTCTGCATGGGTCAGACACCTGGATGCCCCCCACCAAAAAAAATTCTCTCTTGATTGTCTCTGACCCTAAATTATACCCATATCAAAGGATAAATACTTACCTTGTGTTGCTGCTACAAATGAGTAAAGAAGAACCTAAAATTTTATGTCGAGTTAGGAACATAAAAACAAGAGTAGGCATTCAGCTGATTGAGCCTGCTCCACCATTTTCTTTGATCATGACTGATCTGTAATGCAGTACAATTTGCCTGCCTTTTCCCCAATCCTCAATCCATTAAAGACAACAATTGATCTGTTTTCATTTCAAATATTCCCATTTCCTCTGCATTAAAAGTTCTTTGAGGAGGTGAATTCCATAATTCCACAACAGTGAGTAAAGAAATATCTTGATTCCTGTAATAACAGATCTTTGCATCGACATTTCAGCCACAATGTGTAGAAACAGTCATGTTATGCTGAGTGTAGTTACCACTGCCACATACCAATTTCCAGTAAGTGTTCACTCAGCTGTTTTTATGCTTACAACTTGGTTTCTATACAAAAAAAACTTTTATTGACCATCCCTCTGCTATAACAGCTCTCCAATTTGAGGTCTGATTTTTAAATTTTTACTGATGCACAAAGATTCATGAACATGAAAAGGACAAAAATGAGAGCAATTTACGGAATTTTCATGCACAACAGCAGAGCAATAATGCAAATGGATTCCCATTAAAGATTGGACATACAAAAAAAGTCAAAACCCTGGATTCTTGTATTTTTCTGTGGGTCATTCTAACGTTCGATGTGAAAGTATTTTATTTCGATGGCAGAGGGATCTCTTCATATATTATTTTAATATAAGGAAATTTCATTGGTAGGAGCCAATATTCAAAATTGAAGTACAAATAGAATGTTTTCTCCAGTAAAACCTCCGCAATTATTTCCAACAAAGATTCCATCAGTTCCTTCACATGCTGATGAGGTCTAAATGGAAAATAGAAGGAGCGAATTTGTGCTGCTAAAATCTTGGTACCATTTGGTCCAAATATTGTATCATTTCCAAGGTACATGGGTTCTCCACTATAGAGATATAATCTGGTATAGTTGGTTTGTATGGGGCTCTTCAAGACAGCACCAAATTCGAACAGTTTTTGGTAAGTTCTCAATACAAACTTTGAACAGTCATAGGATTCAAACCACACAGTGGCATTTGGAGCACCACTAGCATGAACAGTCCAAGTCTCGTAGTATATGCCAGTTTCATTATCTTCCTTCACCCACTTGGCCATTCTGTTAAATATTTCACCTAAGAACAGATAAACACGTTATTAAACTTTCCTCCCACTTTCTCAAAGAATGTTTAGTCCACAAAATACGGTCAGTCCTCTTTACAGTATATCCTGTAAAGTGCTTTGATGACTGGATGACATGCTAAGCCACTATATCAAATGCAAGAACTTTTTATTATTTCTAACTCTTTTTGAAAATGTAAGAAATACTGTATACTTAGTAGAAATTGAAAGTAATTCTAAGAATAGAATTACAGAACTAAAAATTGAGCAGTTATTGAGTAGTTAATATTTTATTATTATCCTTGCATTTGATATAGTGCTTGTCATGTTTTCTAGACGTCTCAAAGCATTTCACAGAACATACTGTAAAATTAAGTTAATTAATTTAATGTAAAGCCAATTGCGCACAGCAGTGTCTCACAAACAGTCATGGATTGAAGTGACCAATTTATTATTGTTTTTTTTTCTTGAGGGATTATTATCAGGCATATGGAGTAAGGAAACTTACCCAAGGTTTCGCCCTGCCTGAAATTGAACCCAGGTCTCTCGCTTGCAAGGCGAGTGCTCTAACCACTGAGCTATAGAACTCCTATGTACTAATAGGGACCTCGTCGGTCTCCCAGCTCCACTATTTAAAAAATCCAGTTCATTCAGAACTCTGCCCACATACGTACCTGGACCAAACTCCATACCCCGATCTCACCAATAATACAATACAAATTACACTTTTCTCGTCTGGAACTGCATTCCACAGTCCCTTGCCTCCTTGAAGATCCATCTCAAGACCCTCATCTTTCACTGTGCCTTCGCTCACCCTCCTACCCCTACCTTCCCCACCCTCCACCCCTCCTGATCCCAACCACCAGCTCGGGTGCAGATCCCTGACTGTCCAGCGACTTGGGATGTCCTCCTGACGTGAAAGGTGCTATATAAATGTAATTTGTTGTTGTTGTTTCAAGCCCTGTACAGGTATATTTTTATTAAATGTCATTACATTCTATTTTGTTAATTCTTTCTGGGTCCAAATTCAGCTTGATTTAATGCTTGTTAAATCTATTCTGATGGATTTCTCTCCTTCAAACATCTGAATCATTTCAAATGCCTGATGAACACATGATTGATCTTAGTTTTTCAATTCGGATTGTTGTGCGGCCTCTTACCTGTTATTTCAGATATTTTTACCAAGGTCCCGTTTTCTTTCCAGTGTAAATCATCTATTCCCTCGAAGAAACAGGCAGCCCCCTGATTGCACCAAAAAGGAGTCTCCAGTTCTGGTCGAAGATGTGGGAAGGTACAATTTCCAAGCTGAAATAGCTCATACCATTCCATTGTGTAATTTTTACCAGTAAAACTGCTGCGGAATCCAATTGCGTCATGCATAATATGCTGTAATCACAAAAACTTCTCTAACTTTTAACTGCATTTACAAGATACATTTAAGACACTTATGAACACAAGGATGTTCTTCAAGAGGCATTACCTCCAGGAAAATGACAGACAATCCTGCTTACATACAGATGCTGAACTACTATTAAAAAGAATGATGATAACCATATCAATAGTACCTGTCTAACACTATATTGTAATAAAAATGTTGAGTTTCAAACTTGAAAAATAGCTTTGAAATTAAAGTTGTAGCCAGTTTAATATCCCATCATATTCGATGTCCTCATTCTGGAGACTACAAACCCTGAATGGGAGTCTTCATGACCACAATAATTTGAAAATGCACATTTAATTTGTTAGCCAGTGTAAAACTATCTTCTTAATTCTTGTTGCTAAAGAACCAAAATAAATCCCATTGTAAACACTCACAAAATGTCCAAGCAGATCTCCGAATTTGAACTCCCACACCGGTGTCTGAAGTCGGTAAACCTCAATAATGTCTTGGTCCTTCATCTGAGGAATCTCCCCATTAGAAGAGCCTTTGGGGCAGAATGGGTAAATGGGCTGGCAGTATGGATCCGGTTTAGGACGATGATCAAATCGCCTGAAAGGATAATGAAGCCAATGTGAGATTTGATAAAACTTTCTCAAAGATCACATATAATATTTGTGGAGTCCTGTAGCTCAGTGTTTAGAGCACACCCTTTGCAAGCGAAACACCTGAGTTCAATTCCAGGCAGAGGGCGCGAAACCTTGGGCAAGTTTCCTTACTCCACACGCCTAATAATAATCCCTCCAAAACCAAAAACAATAATAAATTGGTCATTTTCAATCCACGACTGTTTGTGGGACATTGCTGTGCGCAATTGGCTGCCGCGTTCCCCCACAAATATACAGTCAATTCACTTTACAGTATGTTCTGTGAAGCGCTTTGAGACGTCTTGAAGACGTGAAAAGCGCTATATCAAATGCAAGTATTACTACGGAAACTGTTACAAAGTATAAAAAGCTTTAAGATTCAAAGCACATGTTGTGTGCCAAGGAGTATAAAAGGATACAATGTAATAAGCCCAGAAACAGGAATCATGTAATGACACAATATTACACAAAAGAAACAAATCATTTGTCCCATTGTGTATACAGCAACGCAAAAATAAAGAAAGAAATGGAATAATCAGAAAATCTTTTTCTTCACAATTTTTTCAGCAAAAGTAACTCAGTGTTGCAAAACTAAACAAGAGCGGTTGCACTGTCAGATGTCCTGTCCTTCAGATGAGACATTAAACTGAGGTCTCACCTGTTTGTCCAGATGGTGTTAAAAGATTGCATGGCACTCTTTGAAAATAAAAGGGAGTTTCTCCTGGTGTCCTGACCAACAATCTCCCAAATAAAATTGAGCTTCATGGGACATTCCTGTGGGCTGTTGGTTCACCTACAAATACACAGTCACTCCACTTTACAGTAAATCATGTGAAGCACTTTGCAATGTCCTCCCAACATGAAAGGCAATGCACCAGATTCAAAGTAATCTTTTAAAAAAACAAATAAGTAGCCAAAAATAAATCTCAAATTAAAGCCACAATCTCAAAAAACAGTCAAACACTGATATGGGAATTTTACACATGCACTTAATTCCACTATCCAAGGACATTTAAGTGAACAATTCAGAGCAGACATGGAATAATTTCACACCTGCTGCCAAAACTGCTCTCTCAAGGCAGTGTTTCACCAGGGAATCCTCAGCATCATTGGCTTTCAAATCACACTGCTCAAACCCAATTTATGCTGTACTTCTTATGCCAAGATTTTACCACAGTAACTATAGTATAAACACTGCATTAAAGTGGCAAATAGGTTACATTTTCAAAGCAAAATAAGTAATTGCTACTTGCAGATGTGCCTTAACATACAATTCAATGCCACTCAACGCAAGACTTTAAGGGGCAGACCACTGGAGGCAGATTTTACCAACTCAGCTCCTACAAGACAACAACATGATTGCATTTATAGAGCGCCTTTCACGTCGGGAGGACGTCCCAAGGCGCAGGACAGTTGGGTCGGGACCCGAGCAGGGAGGGAATAGTTAAGGTGAGGGGAGGGAAGGGAGGGAGCGAGGAGGGGGTAGAGAGTTGAGAGGGGAGGTGAAGGCACGGCTGAATAGAAAGGTCTTGAGACCGGCCTTGAAGGAGGAAAGGGAGGAAACAAGGCGAAGGCACTGGGGGATGGAGTTCCAGAGCCTAGGGGCTGAGAGGCTGAAGGCCCGGCCACCAATGGTAGGGCGGTTGGGGCGGGGGATGTGGAGCAGACCGGAGCCAGAGGAACGGAGGGTACGGGCAGGTAATTAGGGGGATAGTAGGTCGGAGAGGTAGGAGGGTGCAAGGCCGTGAATGGCCTTGTAGGTGAAGAAGACCAAATCCTACCAGGCAGGGTAGTATGAGTTTGCCAGAGAATTGCAATTCTAGCTGAAATCTCAAATTCCTGGTACCTAGCAACCACCTAATGAGGGCTCAAACCCGAGCTTGTCGGATGCCGAACAACCAACTAATGATGATCCTCCTGGCTCCAAGGTGATGTGCTTGGCAAGTGAATGTTGGAATCGAGCCAGCCCTCTGTGGCGGTCTCGGTAATAATAATACTTGCATTTTTTTGCATTTTGATGTAGAGCGTTTCACGTCTTCTAGATGTCTCAAAGCTCTTTACAGAATATGCTGTAAAGTGAATTGACTGCATATTTGTGGGCGAAACACGGCAGCCAATTACGCACAACTGTGTCCCACAAACAGTCCTGGATTGAAAATGACCTTTATTATTGTTTTGGAGGGATTATTATTAGGCGTGTGGAGTAAGGAAGCTTGCCCAAGGTTTCGCCCTCTAACTGGAATTGAACCCAGGTGTCTCGCTTGCAAGGCGAGTGCTCTAACCACTGAGCTACAGTTCCTGAGCCAGGTGGGTCCACAGCACTGCAGGGCACTCCTGATGACAGCACGGCCAGCCTGGCTCTTTGGCAGTCCCTGGAAGGACAAACCAGTCACTGGGGGCAGGTAGTCATCCCACTCAGCTCCCGTTAACCCTGCAAGACATAGCCCTAAAGGGTAGGGTGGTCTTAGCTGGATAAGAGTGGGAAAGTTTGCCTTCAGCAATATCGATGGCAAGCCATGCGGTTCCAGCAGTACCCGAACGCGCACTCTGGGGACCCCAAGCCTCGGCTCTTGCCAACCTGTGCCTAACATTTTTCAGAATCAGGTAAGCAGCGTTACACCCCTCTAAGGAGAGTGCGCACATTCTATTCCAAACGCAGGGAAGTTTCCATGTGTAAGTAGCATAGAAATGCAAATTCTCAAGTCTGCGTTAGATACTCTTAAGCCCGGTGATGGGTTTCTGTATGTGAGAGGCAACCAGCTGACCAAAAACAAACCTCTCCTTCTACACTGTCTCTGCACTATGCAGAACATTCTTGTAAATCTAAAAAACGTCTTGGTTCAGCCATAAATCTTTTTTCAGCCGCCCACAGCCAGGCCTGCGAAGTTCCTGCTCTGCAGCAAAATGTCAAACCCAATCCGTTTGCAAAGGAAAGTTCTGCAACTGTACTTGTGTGAAGTTCAATTTTCAATCTGATGTTTTTTTAAAAAAAAACTGTACTGTCAACATTTAAGTGCGCGCACAACACGAGCTTTTACACACGAGGGGTTAATAACCACACAGCCCGTGTGTGTGTGTGTGTGTGTGTGTGTGAGGTCAGTCTGGGCTGCACTTACTTGTAAGGCACCGGCCATGTCTGTGCTCCTGATCTGTGTGCAGCGCCGCCCGACACTCGCTGACAACCCAACACCAACACCAACCCCAGCCACAGCCACACAGAGCTGCACACAGCCGCCCTCATCCTCCCGAGCTCACCCCGTGCACAGCTGCTCTCGGTGCCCGGGCTGCACCGGCTGCTTCCCCGACTCTTTAATGCCATTTGAGTTCCTGCTTCCGCGCTGCAGTCACATGAATGATCGTATGATCGCTTCCTGATGTCCTGCTCAGTAACTCTGCTGCCCCCCAGGCTCCCCCCACACCCCCCCCTCCTCCTCTCCACCACACACTGAGCTTCAGCAGAGAGGTTTGAGCAGATTCTGGTTCAGAAATGGAGCTCATTTCTGCTCTTTTTATATTTAAAACAAAGCTATTATTGTGCAGACATGATCTTTACTTTCTCACTGACAGATTTGTCAAGTGTTAACTCACTTTAATTTAGTTCAGAATTATAAAAATCTTCAAGACAGTGGAAGCCACACTGTAACAGTGTAATGTTTGCTTCTCCATTTAACCTAATCTCAGTTCCCAGCACTGTGTCAGTAACCTCTAGTTTACTTTACCCAAAAAAACACACTCATTACATATGACTACTGCAATTACTTGGGAAGCTCCTTGAGCCGTTTAAACAAGAAAATTAAACTGTTGAGTTGTTTGATTACCAATAATAATCCTTGCTATTTGTATAGCGCATTTCACATCAGAGGGATCACATTTAAAGTGCTTTACAGCATTTACTGGGGAGCGACTGTGTACCTGTAGGCAAACACAGCAGCTATTTAGCACACTGGAGTGTCCCACAAACAGCCATGAAACAAATGACTTCTGACATTGCAACATCTCCCATTACATTGGAGTGTCAGTCTAGATCATGTGAATTCAGGTCCTGACATGGGCCACAACCTTCTGATTTAGAAGCGAGAATGCTACCAACTAAGCCAGGCTGATCCAAAATGTGATCTTATATATATATCACTGATATCAACTAGCAAACTGAAAGGCTTGGAGTTTGGGAAACCTCCCTGTTATTAATTGAAAGTGGTCAGGGTTAGAAAAAAGAAGACTTTAGATATGTATCAGAGAGGTTGTCAGAATATTAAGCCGGCAGTCAAAGATGCCATTGCTTAATTTAATAAATTCAGATATAAAAGATGCAGTTTGATGATCAGTCGTACGATGTCTTCTGAAGACTCAGCAATCATGCAGCACTTTGTGGAAAAGAAATTTAAAAAGAGCAATTGTAAATGATGTTACATTAGAATAAAGCAACTCACAAACAGAAATATTTAAGTAAAAGGTTGAAATATTGTTAAAATTTGCATAAAAAATGTAATGGGACTTAAATGCAAGGATTTTATTTCTGGGTAAACTTGGCAGTTACTTTGTGCACAGCAGTGTCCCACAAACAGTCAGGTCGTGAATGACCAATTTATGTTTTGAGGATTGTTGACCAAACAGGCACATGAATAATGAAATATAGTGCACATTTAGGTCAATGAAAGTTGCCTTTCATTACATACATACATACATGTTGTTCAATGGCATAATTTCTGCTGTGTACTATATTTAAGATTTTCAATAAACTCCATGATATGTATCAGAGATCTGAACACATTCTCTGAACAATAAATCAATAAGGATCATACATAAGCTATTAATGTATGTTTTTCTTTCATATATGTATGTTGAGCGGCTGTCATTCCCTTTTTAAAAAATAAATGAATAGTGACAAGTTCCAATGCAGTGATGGCATTGTGCTGAATTGTCGGAGGTGCCATTCTTCAATGGGATGTTAAAACCAAGTCTGTCTGTTCAGGTGGATTTTAAAGATCCCATGGAACTATTTGAAAAGAGAAGGGAGGTTCTCCTGGTATACTAACCAACAATAATAATAATAATCCTTGCAATTGATATGTGCCTTATCATGTCTTCGAGACGTCTCAAAGCGCTTCACAGAATATACTGTAAAGTGAATTGATCGTATATTTTGTGAGTGAAATGTGGCAGCCAATTGCACCCAGCAGTGTCCCACAAACAGTTGTGGATTGAGTGACCAAAATTATTATTTTTTTTAGAAGGGAATGTTACCCGCGGAAAAGCAATCTGCAAATTGACTAACCTACTTACTGCTAGGCAAACAGAGGAATGTAACAAAACTTGCCCAAAGTTTCGCCCTGCCTGGAAATCGAACCCAGGTCATCTTGATTGTGAGGCAAGTGATCTAGCCAATAAGCTACAGGACTCCACTGATATATTTCTGATACTGAGCAATCCCTCTGGTAAAATTGGCTGTTCGTGGGACATTGCTGTACACAAATTAGCTGCCATATACACCTACATATACACATACATACTTTACACTGAAAACTTGTGAAGCGCTTTGAGATGTTGCAACAATGTGATAAGGCGCTATATCAAAAATGCAACGATTATTATTATTATTAACAAGCCTGTGTATGGCTCGCTTAACATTGCAAATGGCAAGAAAAGATAGGGTCAGAGCGAACACAGTAGTGTATTGTACAAGCAATATAACCACCGTAATCTATATTTAAAACTGAAAAGAAACCTGCTGACACTGACCTACATAATGTTTTGCACCGTAATCTTTATCTGTGTAATCATTGGTGTCTTTGTGGGCAGCATTATGATCATTACTGGCCTCAAGCTGCTCATTGCAGACGGTAATGAGTATCTCGAGGACAATAATAACCCCAAATTAAATAACTTTTTAAATCTAAGTGACCTTACCCAGTCTTTGAAATTGTTGGAGATTGTTGGATTCAATAGCGCTGCTTTTAAGTTGCTTAGAAACATAGGAATGTACTGAACTGAAAGACTAAAAATGAGGTCCGTCTGCCCATCCCAAGTTCTCTAATACTCGTGACATATCTTGAATGTAGCTCTTTGTGCAGTCTTTCGCATACCTGGGTCAATGTGTGCGTTTTTGTGTCAGTATACAAAAGAGTTATTTGTCTGGCCAATTGAAAAGGGCTAAATTAATTAAACCTCTTATGAACGGGCTAAAATATAATTTTGATTCTGGAATGATGGTTACATTTGAATTTTGTATATAGGGCAATGAATTTCTTCCTCTCGCCATGCCATTCTCAATAATATTCTCGGTGAAGCTGGGCTGATGCCTTTGGACCTGTTTTATGGATTATAGCCTTTGTCTGCTGTTTAGCAGGATTTAAGTGCTCCAAGAAACTGAAGACTTTCTTCTTCAACCATACCTACAGTCACCTCCTCTTTCTCCCAGTTCGACAGAAATCAATGCCATTATCCAACGCTCGAGGATGCTACCTTGTGTAAAGTATGCTATATAAATCAAGTTGTTGTTTTTGGTTTTACCAAATGTGAAGGGTCCTATAGAAATGAGAGATATTATTGTTGATACCAATGCTTTGTAAACAAAAAACTCAGAATAGCTGGTATCCTACTAATTGTCAGTCAAATGTTGCAATCTGCGAGCCAAAAGACCAATTCCATGAGTCTGACTTCACAGACATCCCTAATGAGAATGTATAGGAGACAGCACCGAAGATGTAGAGATGCATTTTACAGACCAGCAGCAAGTAGGTTGAATCCTGGTCCATATATTGAGTTCAAAATGGGGATGCAAAATAGGCCTCAGTCTTCCCAAGGTTAGGAAAGGGAAAAACAGCCATGGATCTGGCTCCTGTCCCACTTCAGCACCCTCTACTGGTTATGTGTATTTATGTGATCTGGAGAGGGGGGGCAGCCAGCTTGGGAGAGATCATCAGTCATGGGACTTGAAATTTAAGATTGTACAGAATTTTTGCAATCCATAAATTCAATCTTAATTTAGAAATAGTTTATTCACAATTCTTTCAAATATGTCTTGAAACCAGCATGGAAATTAGTTTGCACAATCTTAAATTTTAAGACAATGGTCTCCATCCCCTCTGGAACTCCATCCCCCAGTGCCTTCGCCTTGCTTCCTCCCTTTCCTCCTTCAAGGCCGGTCTCAAGACCTTTCTCTTCAACCGTGCCTTCAGCTACCCTCTCGGCTCTCTACCCCCTCCTCGCTCCCTCCCTTCCCTCCCCTCACCCTGACCATTTCCCCCTGCTCAGGTCCCGACCCAACTGTCCAGCGCCTTGGGACATCCTCCCGACGTGAAAGGCGCTCTATAAATGTAATCTTGTTGTTGTTGTAATGCTAACATATGAGAAATCTCAGGTCTCAGAAACCAAGGGATCCTCAAGTTAATGACCAGTCTTTTATGTCTGATTATTGTCTGAAAATGCTTCATCTGCTAATATCAAAAAATGCAAGGATTTTTATTATAAATTCTGTTCAGATTAGAAAATCCAGGTGATAATGTACTGTGCTGTACAAATCAACTAGCGTTGCAATGCTTTGCAAAGTACATTTGTATTGTAGTTAACACCACTCGGAAAGATAAGTGTGATACAGATAGAAACATTCAACTTGTAGTTCATTTTTCTTTTCCACAATAAGTGAATGCAATTAAAATATATCTGTCAGACCCAGGTACGAAAATATTCAACTGTGTTATACAGAATCAGTATCACAGTAAAAGACTGTTTTCAATCATCTCATTCCTTAACATTTTCCTGTTGTCTCAGTACAGACATGAGGTATTACACAGTACAGTTCCCATATTGTTGTTCCCCCAAATTCTAGTGGGATTCCTTAACCAGACATAACAATAATAATAATAATAATAATAATCCTTGCATTTGATATAGCGCTTTTCACGTCGGGAGGACGTCCCAAAGCGCTTCACAGAACACACTTTAAAGTGAATTGACTGTATATTTGTGGGCGAACGCGGCAGCCAATTGCGCACAGCAATGTCCCACAAACAGTCATAGATTGAAAATGACCCAATTTATTATTGTTTTTTGTTTTGGAGGGATTATTATTAGGCTCTGTGTGGAGTAAGGAAACTTGCCCAAGGTTTCGCCCTCTGCCTGGAATTGAACTCAGGTCTCTCGCTTGCAAAGCGAGTGCTCTAACCACTGAGCTACAAGACTCCACAAACATCACATACATCACTTGCATCATGCCAACCCCTAGAAACACCATTCAAAAAGTACATCAGGTTGACTTCTAAATTAATACTGAAATTAAGAATTTTCCAAAATTCTGCACAAGTGTAAATTTTAAGGCAATAATCTTAAGACAAAGACAATGATAAACATCAGGCCTTGGGTTCTAGAAATGTTTTGAAAAACACAATGGTTTCATTGTCTAATGAAGATTATCCAGCC